ATGGTACGAACAAATACATTTAATACCTGTAAATAAGTACCGTCTTTTTCTTTTCTCCCCTACGCAAAGGTTGACTGGAAGAGATAACTTTAACGATAAGTCTGTCTTTTGTACTTCATAAGTGTAATATGTATATACAACACGAGCACTAGGGGGGAAGGGATTGTTAGTAATGGGGAGGTTAGTCCCCATTGCTATCAATATACCCTATCAGGTCGACCTCCACGCAGTTCTACCTGGAAACTATCGTGACAAATTTATCGTTGAATTCGTCACGATGGGCTAATTGACCTGCCTTTTCATCTTCACCTATCATCTCTCACTGGTACCCCACCAGTGTATACTGATAGCGCAGGCAGGGTTACGACGCCATTTTCGCCCATAAAAAAGTACTAGCGCTATTATAACGATACTGTTGATTAAATAATGACGAGTACAGAGTAACACGTAGTACCGGAATAGACTTGTGTCTGAAATCGAAACTTCACTCCATCAAGTTTCGATCTGGGGTGAACAAAATCTTGTCCAATTTAACCCCAAAAAGACACAAGTCTGCGCGTTTACCGCAAAAAAGACGCCGTTTGTCGTATCTCCTCACTTTCAGGGCACTTCCCTTGATAAAAAGTCGAGTCTAGGAATTCTGGGCGTTGATATATCTTGCGACGTCCAGTTTTGCGGTCATCTGGAGAAGAAGGCTAAGATAGCTTCCAAAAAGTTAGGAGTGCTCAATAGGGTGAGACGATATTTCATGCCAGAACACCGCCTGAAATTATATAAAGCCCAAGTCAGGCCGCATATGGAATACTGTTCTCACCTGTGGGCAGGAGCGCCACAGTACCAACTCCTTCCGTTAGACCGCATTCAAAGTCGGGCGGCTCGAATTATCGATAGTCAACGCCTTACTGTCCGACTTGATCCACTGAAACTGCGCAGAGATGTTGCATCTCTGTGCATCTTCTACCGAATTTATCATGGGGAGTGTTCTGAGGAATTGTTCGGATTGATACCTGCTGCTGATTTTCACCACCGTACAACCCGCCACAAACTAAAGTTTCATCCCAATCATCTGGACGAGTGGCGGTCTTCCACCGTGCGTTTTTCAAGGCACTTTCTTCCACGCACAACCATTCTTTGGAATCAACTTCCAGCAGCAGTATTTCCGAACCGATACGACAACATAACCTTCAAGAAAAGAGTATATTCCTTTTTAAAAGGCCGGCAGCACACCTGCAATGCCGCTGGTGTTGTGGGTGATCATGGGCGGCGGTAGTCACTTACCATCAGGTGAGCCGCATGCTCGTTTGCCCCCTGTGTTGTAAAAAAAAAAAAAAAAAAATGAACTTATGAACTACTCTATACCGACAGGATAATACATTGTAGTACGTTAAATCAATCCATAGCTGGGCCCTACTTAACTAACTTATACAAATATTATAATAAGTCACTATTGAAAATGTTGCTATAAAAAATGTAATTTACTATATGGTATATTTGTTTCAAACTTTTATTCTAATTCCTTTAGCCATTTAAATTTACTTATAAAATAACATAAAATTAAGGGATCACAAACAATGGCAACTTATTTTGCCGAAAGATAAACAAAATCCCACGTCGCTTAACTTTTCGTAACTTTGTAAAAGTTCAACAAAAGTTCAACTCTTCGTTCTATGTCAATATCTACCATTCACAATACTTAGTTATATAGTTATTTACTCATGCTTAAATGATGACAAAAATGAATTGGGTACCTGGTATATATATATATATATATATATATATATATATATATATATATATATATAAATATAAAAATATAAAAATATTTTATTGTTCTATATTTTTATTAAAGGCAATTGCTATGAATATATTATGAATATTACAGTTAACGCCATTAATATTAGATTTTTATTTCATTTAATAAGGTCCATCGATGATCGGATCGTCCATCTTTTTCTACTGATTTCAAGAAAAAGGAAGTTCTCAATTCGATTGCACGTTTTTTTTAATGTTTGTTACCTCATAACTCCATAACCGATTGGGAAAATGCTTTTTTGTCTAAAAAAATATCCTTACTGATTGAATTCATATAAATTTTATCAAAATCGGTTCAGTAGTTTAATTTTAAATCAAAATAACTGGTTTGCCATAATTGAAATCTTATTTTGTTTTTTTTTTTTTTTGAACACAATTTAATTACAATAAATATTTATTAAAAGAGTGATTTGTAAAATCATAAATGAAGCTTATAGAAAAAAAGGAGAACATCATTATTATTATAATATATTTAAAAATATATTTTAGAAAACGACCCTTATTAAGCTATGTTTAATAAAAGCCACAGAGATGGTTTTAAAAAACCTTTTTGAAGTAAAATTATAAAATATTTATAAAAAATTGTACATGTTCAATTTCTTAATAAAGATAAAAATTTGTTTGATTAATGTTAAATAAAACGGAAGATCCATTTTATTCACATAGTTTATATTTTTTTAATATTTATTTTTGAATGACTGTGGTCCTTGTGGTACCGCGTGTATCTTAGGATCATTTATTAATTTTGAGTATCCTGTACTCCGAGCAAATACACTAAATATATTTTTCCAATTATTTAGTTTGCTACATTTGTGGGCCAATATAATAATACTATCCCTAAAACTCTAAAACAATTTCAAATTAGCTTTTTGCCCGCAACTTTGTACGCATGGATATCAGAAATAGAAAACACATTAAAGTATACCATTTTTAGAAGACGTATCAAGATGTAACCTAAAGATGAAACATATTTTAAGTTAGATCTTCAGAGATCAGGAACATAACTGTGAAAACCGCTTCCATTGTGATGCAGGAACTTTTGCGCCATACCGGAACAAACATACAAATAGATAATATGTCCCGTCATATTAATTGTTCTTAAATATTTACATGTTACAATTTTATTTTTATTAGTAAGAAAATTTTTCAAATCGATAGCATTTGTAGTTACCGAGATAAAGCGCTGTAAAAGTCGTACCATAAAGAATTCTTTATACCATTTTGGTACGGATCCCTAAAAATAATAAATTAAGTTCATAGATATACATATTACACAATACCACAGATAATATAAGAATAAACACAATGCTGAGAAAATAATACATACGGGTACTTATTCAGAGATGCCAGCCTAATACTATGTACCTACAAGTAAACCTACTTAAAAATAAGTCACAAAAATATAGATTACCAAGAACATTTTCATTCCATATGTATCAAAGCAATTGTACTAAGTTGCTACTTGTCCAAATTACGAAATAAACTTCCTAAGTTTGGGTCTCGAGAAATCCCACAAACAAGCACAAAGTTCATAACTCGGCAGATGTGGACGAGATGTGATTAATCACTTTGGTAACACATTTAACGATTTTATATACGTAATAACATGTACATACTATTTACCGCGGCGTAGAGTCCGTACGAAGTAATTATGTTCGGTTCCTTTGAAATGTTTCATGAAAGGTTAAGATTTTTTTTATATAACTTAAAATGGCAAACAAGCTAATGACCCACCTCCCCCTCCCCGCCCCCCATTTGTTGCCATTCCTGAGGACTAAAGTATTATGCCTCTGTACTCTGTAAATTCACTGCCATATCCCACCCTTTAAACCGAAACACAGCTATACAAACACAATTGCTTCACAGTTGAAACACGAATGGGTTACATACATACATACATATCTGTCACGCCTGTCTCCCATTAGAGTAGGCAGAAACAATAGAACGCCAAATGCTTCGATTCAAACAAACCTCTTTCGCTTCTACCACATTCATCAATCTTGTCATACACGCTCGCCGGTTACGGGTACTTTTAATTTGGCCCTTCTTCAGCACGTCGCCTATTTGGTCAACATACGTCCGTCTAGGGCGACCCCTACCGACATCTCCATTCATTCTTGCTCGATAAATCTCTTTACGAATGGGTTACTTATAGTTAATATATTATATTGTTAATAGATTACTTGTTTTTACTATTAACAAACAATTTTTTAATGTTTTTTTTTTTTATCACTAAGGTGGCAAACAAGCATACGGTCTACTTGATAATAAGCGGTTACCGAACCTATGAGCGCCTGCAATACCAGAAGCATTACGTACGTGTTGCTAACCCTGAAAAAAACTAATTGACCTCATTTTTGAGAAACCTCATGCTGTGGTCTCTTGGAAAAACCTTAATAGAGAGCTTATTCCATAACCTGAGCGTCCGTGGGAGGAAATATCTCTGGAACTACGCTGTGCGCGATTATCCAGGCTCTAAGATATAGGAGTGTACTTCTTGTCAATGGAGAGCTGTACGATGATAGAAAATGGCCGTGGGCATCTTGTTAAATAATTCCTCTCAGCACTATCCATTGTACAAGCGGTAGAACAAACTGATTGACGCAATATCTCTTCTAAGATTAATTTCTGATTAATTAATATAATTAAATTTAAGATTCTGCAAAAAGTGCGGTGCCTATGACCAGGACACGGCGCAGCACGTTCTAGAGTCCTGTCCTGCGTTTGCAGAAGAGCGCCGCGACATGGTAGTAGTATAGTATTATATTATCTGTGGTCGCGGTAATAGGACACGACCTCTCGCTCCCATCTGTCGTCAGAAAGTGATTAGTGTATTAAAAATGCTCTGCTAGCTAAGAACAAATCTGCTAGTAAACTAATTCTAATAATTAATTATTAATAATTCATTATATCACATATCACAAATCCCGTATTTTAGATATAGCATAGAAAACAATAGTAAGAGGGTCAGAGTAAGAGAGATAGTCTCTCTATTCTCTAATGGTCAGTACCTTATCCTTTCTCTACGGTGGTGTTTTTAGACATAGTCTCTCTAATCTGTGGCGGTACCCACCAAAGATTTCGGAATCCTTGTTCTTAGGTGCCCACAGACATATCTGTAGAGGTGCCGTGCAAGTGATTACTTGCTCTGTGGTGCCGTGAACGTTGTAGTCCGTCAATCAATTTCGCTGTTCGTACCGTCAATCCCGTCATTATTTCAATCTGTCGTCGTTTAAAGTTTTGATTTATGCAATTGCAAAAAACATATTTATTTAAACGTCATCCCTTTTTTACAATATTTATTTAAATAATATATTTGTATGTTAATGAATGGCCATTTAATAAAAAAGAGTCTTTCTTAGTGCCTTAAAATGTAATCATTAGGGTAAATTGTGCAAACATTATATTCGATATTTTTTTTTACGAATAAAAGATGTTGTCATGGGTATGAATATACTAAATAATTTTTTTACTATCGAATAAGTTTTTTCTATACAACTAATAATATTCTTATTAATAAATGTTTATTTATTATAAATATATTTCTATTTTTAGGGTTCAAATTCTCATGGACAACTAGGGCAAGGAACAGTTACTGAACAAATTGAAAATCCAACAAAGGTTACGATAGACCCCTTATATTTTAATCAAATAAAACAAATATCTTGTGGTGGAGGCCATACACTCCTAATAGATAATGAAGGAAAAATGTATAGTTGTGGGTGGAATTCAAAGCACCAATCGGGAACAAATGAAGAAACACACAGTTTTGTAAGGGTATGGGAACTAAGTGGTATAACATTCACAAACATCGCATGTGGCTGGGATTTCAGTTGTGCTGTTACTGATAGCAACTTCCTCTTTGTCTGGGGTTCTAACAGAAATGGACAATTAGGTTTGCCTAGAGATCACTTCCCAGATATTATCAAACCATTTCGATTACCAATCATTGCTTGCTCCGTTTCTATGGGTTTAAGGCACACAGCTATTATAAATTCTAAAGGTGAAGTATGGACTACAGGGTGTGGAAGGCATGGTCAACTTGGGTTGGGAAATGACAAATTATCATTAGATAAATTTGAACAAGTAACAAAACTTGGAACAATATCTCATATTGCATGTGGACAAAACTACACAGTAACATGGTGCTCAGAAGAGAAAGCCTTATATGTTTGGGGTGACAATAAACATGGACAATTATTATTGAGTACTGATAAATATAAGAAAATCTTCACACCACAAAAAATTGATATTGGTGTAAAGCATGGTGTAAAAAAATTGCTAAGTGGATGGACTAATGTTTTACTGTGGCTTGATAATGGAACACTTTGTACTTGGGGTAGAAATAATTATGGACAATTAGGAACAGAAGAGCCTTTTATAGGAAAAATAATCCATGTAAAATTGCCAGGTCAGCTTAGCAATTATAAAATTGAAGTTACTTCAATAATATTATAATACCATATTTAATTATAATAATGTATTTATACTTTCCAGATAACAGACAAGTCAAAGATGTTGCTCTTGGCTCAGAGCATACTATTTGTTTAGCAAGTGATAATACTCTGTGGGCTTGGGGCTGGAATGAACATGCTAATACAGGAACAAACTCAAAAAATAATGTTTTTGTACCGACTTTAGTACCCATAGATGGAACAAATAAAATAACTGGAATCTTTGCAGGTGGAGCACATAATTTTGTTACTTTAGAGTTAGATTCAAATAGCGATAATACTGAAAATAATAACAATACTGTATCAATTAATTAATTGTAAAGGATTTAAAAAAAGAACAGGAATATGATTTGTATATTTGTTTATTGATAAAAATTGTTTATATTATAATTATTTATAAAAATATTTATCTTCATACCAAAAGCTTCCTCACATATGTAATAGGAGTGCCAAGATTTTTACTACATCTGATGTAAAGAAATACTGTATGCACCAATTATTATGCTAAGCATAGTTCTCCCATTATGCCATATAAAAATACAGATGTAATTGATAAATGAATTTATCTTAATATTAAATGATGTATTAATATAGACATGAATTTCCTATATACAAAATTATTTCTATTATCATAAACATCATATACAAAACATAATAGCATATTATTTGCATTACATTGTGTAACTATTTCTTTATATGTTATAAAATTATAGACTAGCATATCTTTCTACATAACACTCTAATAAACAAAATAGCTTGTCAGTCAGTCATTGGCTTAATTGATTATTAGTCAATTTCGTTTAGTGTGATCATTTTTCTAGTAAATAGATAAGTGCAAGGATGTTATTAAAATACTGTCAAACATGTACACATTCTAATTTATTTGTCACATTGTTATATGTAACATATACTTAATTATAACACTAGTAATATTACAGCGACTGTGATAATTTATACCATGGTTTTTTTCTTGTAAGTATACTTTGAAATGTTAAATATGAAAAGCAATTACATATTTAATAAATTGCTTCAAATGGCATAAAATCAACTTTAGAAACTGAAATTATTTAAAAAAAAAAGCAAGTATTTTTCAATAAATATATTTTTATTAATTTTATTTAGGTCTTATTTTTTCCAAATATCTATTTACAATTTTTGTCATGAAATTATATGCTGCATCATACATGAAAGTAATTTCATAATGTAAGTCAGGCTTTTAAATTCTATTCCAATTACAAGACAAAATACACTTAGCACAATTAGTAAACAATATTAGTTTTTTTTTATTTTTTTTTTATTTAATAATTTATAAATAAAAAGAACAAAAAGTAATAATTTCAAAGTATAGAAACAATAAATATATAAATATTGAATATATAAATATTTTGACTCTGTTTATTCTATGTACTGTTTTGTTAAAAATCAATAAAATGACATGGCAATTTTTTTTTTTTTACTTTTTGTACCAAATATAGAAAGAAAAGATATCACACTATTTAAAAGTACCCTGAAGACAATTTCTTCATTAGGGCAGGCCCTAGATAAACTCAATTTTGTAATACAATTACAGATCAAGAAAATTGGAAATATATTGCAATTATTTTACAGAACATTATTTCTTATGAATTTTTAATATATATATATTTACTTGTTTTTAATTTTTATTTAACTCAGTAGTAAACTTACTACTACATTCAATGCATGAAACTCCAGTAACAAATCAAACACCTCCTTTAATAAATGATATGAATATCCAGTGTTCACTGGAAAGCATTTAACTGTGCAATCACAAATCCTACTAAACTGCACATTACAACATGATACAAGTAAAAAATTACTAAAACGTAATTTATAAACATTTAGAGGTAAACAAATATGTACTACGATTATTAGATTGTCTTCTTCAAAATGTCAGTTGTCACATGCATCATACTATAATGTGCTAAACATAATATTCACAATATAGAAGTTTGCTTTTACAAATGTACAGATATTTCTCAGTCAATTTTAAAGTACTGAATGAAATTCGTATACAAATATATCTTTTACTATTAGATAAAAAATAAGCAAAAGGGGCACATTTAACACAATTATGAAATGTATTTTGTCTAATACACAGTTTTAGAAATGAACTATGTATTTGTGTAATACATAGTTCATTTCTGCTTTCAATTTTTTATTTTTTTATTAAAAAGATGCATGCATACAAAAAGCTTTATATTATAATTATGTTGATGTAAATAAAATTATATATATATTCACTTCAATTTATTGGATGATATTTTACTTTTATATCCCAGCAATATATTATTTAAAGTACTCTAAATTCTAACCAATAGCTCCAACTTTATTTCTATATTTCTCTGTTCAGAATTCCAACACAAATTTCCATATTTTTAATAACTAACAAGCTTTACAATTCAACTTCTTACTGCAACTCATAAAAAGTTATATGCCATTTTAATCAGTCAGAAGACATATTTTTATAATGGAATCTATATTTAAAGAAGGTGTAATATTATGCACCCAGAAACTTAGATTTTCAAAACTTTTTGTAAAACAGAGATACAAAGACCTGTTGTACTAACCTATCAGCAGTAGCAATATAGTAAGGTATATACAATGATATACATTAGGAACAAAATGACTAGGATTAGTAATACTTTTTTTCTGCATTAGAATAATTATACCTCTACAAGGCTGGAATCATAGATATAGTATAACATAGTCTGAAATGGTTCTCTGTTAGGCAGGTTTATTTTGAACATAACAAAGCATAATTTAGTATTGATACACGAGGATGACAGGATGACCCTTTGGACATGTTATAATACTTACAAACACTTGCAGGCCTGCTGAACACAATGTAACATGCGACCAATGATATATGCTTTCATTAATATACTAAAACAGAAATAGTTAAAACAGGGTTATTTTTTACTACAAAGGCTATATAACAACCTTGTGACAATGATGGTGAGTTGACATCCAAAACAAATAAATAAATGTTACTCATCTATGTATTATTACTAGGATATAAGAGTAATATTAAGAATATCCTATAAAAGTTGGAACAGCAATGCTATTCACTTAACACATTTAGATTGCTACCTTTTACGTTCACCTTTTTGTGTTTTGCGTTTTTCTTTCTTCTCTTCTTTTAGCTGCTTTTGTTTCTCTCTAAAATTAAAGAAATATTATTTAAACACACTCGGCAATATCTATAAACAAGTTAAGAAATATGAATGATACAAGGCATAAACATAGTTCAATGATTGGAAATAAAGGCATGTGCTTGTAATCCTGGGTTTGAATTTAAATGAGTTAAATTGAGCAAAATTTTAAATAAATTTGAGTCTGATGAAAAATGTTCTGTTTCACCAGATGTTCATAGTCTAATTTCTCGTAAAAGGTGATCCATAAAGAACCAAGTAATTTATATAATAAGGATATTACAAAATATAACCATACCTGTCTTCTTTATCTTTTTCCTTTTTACGCTGAGCTTCCTGGCGAGCCTGTTCACGGCGCCCACGTGCTGCAGCTGCAACATCAGCTGCATTTGTATTCTTAACAAGGTCAGGGGACTCCGGCTCTTCTTCATTTACTTCATTTTCCTGAAATGGATTTTTACATCAATATTTTAAACTGATTCTTTTATATAATAGTCTAAAACTGTTTGTTTGTTTATATAGGTGTTATTGTAGGTTCACGTTTAATATATATCAGATTATAAAGAAAATAACAAAGTATGCAGGCAGATTTATCCCTTGAGAGGATTTGTTAAAATCAATTTTGAGAACCTGACAGGAGACAGTATCTAAAGGATTTACAGGAAAAGCATAACATATAGGGTGCATAAATAATGTAATAAATTATAAACTAAAATTAATAGCTATATAATTAGTTATTAAACATAGATATAAAAAATTAATTTAACTAACATATAATATTAGTTAAGATTAACTATAAATTGAAGAACAGGTATCTCAAACTTGAGGCAATGTTCTTGTATGACCTATGTCACTGCAGGTTTGATTGTGTTTAGCTCAACAACAAGTTATGTTACAGAGTTCCCATTAAGTTATACTGTCATAATCTACATCAATTGTTTGCTACCTCACTTTGTGGCACAACGCCGGTAAAAGCTCTCCCATTAATCGCATTGTAAATGCTTATAACTCCAATTTCTACTCCGTTAATATTATTTCGGAATGTGTTGATGCATTCAGGAGTCTTATCGGTGGTCTACTTGTGGTTGAGGAATGATATTTTGTTGTTGGTGTTGTATTTACTTATTTATTACTGGTAAATATATTTTAATTTTTAAAATATTTAATACTAATTTGGAAGTTCTTTGATTTTGAGTGGATCACTGGTACATTTCTGTCATTCATGTATGCATTTGATTTTATACAAGTAGTTGCAGACAACCATTTTACATATTTTGTTTTATAGTAATGGGTGGCAGACAGCTGTTGGCACTAAAATTATTGATATTTAGATTGATTGTATATATATATATATATATTGTTATTGTGTCTACTGTTTGTTGATATATATATATCATCATCTTCCTACCCTTATCCCAATTATTATTTGGGGTCAGCATAATATGGTTTTATCCATATTACTAAAGGATTTGGCTTATATTTCTATGACCAGCCGCCTGCCTGACGTCAACCCTTTTTGGGAATGCATATATTGGTGGTTTCTGGAAAGGATTGAGGAAAAAAAAGGAGGGAATGTTGGAAATGCGTAAAGGAAATTAGGGCAAACAGGGTTGCATACCCATATGCCCTTATTCTAGAATCGAAGAAGAACATCCCTGACGCTAATGACCTAAATAAATAAATAAATATATATATATATATATATATATATATATAACTTTAACAGTGGAATCAGATTTCTAGAGAAGAACATCCCTGACACTAATGACCTAAATAAATATATATATATATATATATATATATATATATAACTTTAACAGTGGAATCCATTTTTTTTAAAAAGAAGAAGAAATGAAATTTAGTACAAACATGAACATATTCTAGATTATTGTATAAACAATTAATGTAAGACCACAGGTAATCTATCTATTCTATACTTATAATAAATCTGTAGAGAGGTCAATTATGTACATGAAATATATTTCCAAAATAACTATCAGGGGATAGTTAGTGATCAATACTGATGCCAAAAATGCAATCAGTAAAATGTTTAATTGTGTCTGTATGTTCATTATAGAAATAAAAACTACTTGACGGGTTTTAACGAAACTTGGTACAATTATTCTTCATACTCCTGAACCTGTAGGTTATAGTATACTTTTCATCACTCTACGATCAATAGGAGCAGAGCAGTGAAAGGAAATGTGTCTGTTACATCAAAACCACTGAATCGTGAGGAAGGACAGAGGCTACTTATTTTAGGAAAAATATTGAAAACATGGATGAAGTCACGGGCAACAGCCAATTGCTAATATATCCACAACCATTTTTAGAAGATAATAAATAAATAAGTTCCCTATTTGCCATGTACAATCTTACAAAGTCATTGAGAATCATTAAAAGCATGGAGATAAAAACAAATATATCTGATGAACATAAAATGTAAGCTCAATTGAATCAATACCTCATTGTCAGACAGTTGACTATACTGTGACAAAATAGCTTCACGTATTTTCTTTTCCTCGTCTGTGTATTCACGCCGCGTTGTAGTGGCAAGTGATTGAGATTCTAATAATTTGGCTAATTGTAAGTCCACATCGGTGACTGGTTTAGGGGCTTCTTCTTTAGGCCTAGAGGATTCCCATTTCTCTATTATCTCATTTACATGGACAGAAATATCACTTTCCTGTTAAATTCATAAAATATGTGATTAATGATACAGACCGCACGATCAATCTCATGCCTATAGAAAACTTACCACAATCTCCGCTAGTATACCTTCCAATGCATCTTTTTTGTCATCCACAGAATCTTCACTATCCAAAATGCCTGATATATATGTCCCAAATACATTCTCATCAGTTTTTAAAGATTTCAATTTATTAATAAGCCACGGCTCAAAATCGAGCACAGCCGCCATATTTTTCAAATGATACCACAGATTAAAAAAATCACACTTGGTAGTAAGGTTGACACTATTTTTTTTTAAATGTCATTAAGCAGTGTTTTTCTAAAATTTTCATGGCGCAATCCCTTTAATCTATAACAATATTTTGTGACCCTTACTCTCCACGTTTCCAAACCTTCAAATATATTCTATTATATTATAAATATGAAAACCGTACATTTTTATTTGTTTTCATAGTTAGGTATCGCTTAAATACAAGAAAATAAATAATACATAATGAAGTATCTAAAACAGAGACATTGATTACGTTGCAAAAAACATCCATGGAAAAACGATACGACAATAGTAGAGCTAAATAGCTAAAATACATGCGTTGTGACCTTTCGCAATTCCCTTGTAGAAACTTAGAGACCCCTTCAGGAGATTAAGACCCACATTTTGAAAAATACAGACATAGAGGATGCAAACAATAAAAATGCGGATATTATTCCTTTCAGTATTTCGAGCAACCTTGAGATTTTCATTTAATTATCCCGACTATAATAAAATATCTAATATTTTCTACATGGAAACATTATTTTTTTACTATTAATCGATTGGCTATACAAATCAAATCTCAAAATAATATTAGATAAAATACTCATAAGCGTAGCAAAACTATTTAATTCGCGTATGAGTGTATTTCAGTTTTTGAACGAAATCTAACTTGAAATTTTCGATGTCATGATTAAAGGGATGTGCTACATTGATTAAACATAATATTATATATGAATATTGATTTAAACGAAAATTTAAATTATTTTGATTTTCTATTTCAAAATAATATAAATGCTGTTATTTATAACTAAAGCAATGATAATGGATGGACGTTTGAACATCCAATAGTTTAGCTAATATATATTATTATATGATTGGTGAATTTTATTATTAGCAAAAATAATATTTACACACCATATAATGATAAATATTGCTATACAATTGTAATTAATTTTAAAATCAGGTACTAGCAATCACTAATGTTTAATAAATAAAGAATTCATTCGTATATTCATTTATGTAATACAAGGGTTGATTGAAACTGACTAACCTGAGACAGATCTATTAAATTCTTAAAATCAAAACCATCCACATTATTGAGTTCAAACAACAAAAAAAGTGATGACCAGTATTTTGAGACTCGAAGATATAATTATAATTGATTAACCTGAAAAAAGTCAGATCATATACTTCAATTAATACTAGGTACATCTTTTTACGTCGTTTACATAAGAAAATGAAAGAAAAACATCTACGAATGAAAAAAAGTCCCATTACGTCAAAATAATGACTGTGTTTACATATCTATACAATCAATGATTGAAATTCACGACTGTAAATTTGAACTGTTACCGCATCAGCCTTGTTCGCTTGATCTGGCACCATCTGTTTTAATATAAATACTTCTTGGTAGTTAGTTTTTTTATTGTACCTGTCAGTTACTGAATTGATACCTTAATAAAATTATCTTGCTACTAAAAACATCACTCGATTCCTGTTATTTATTTTCCTCTAATATTTAATCCTCTTATATAAAACCATCTAACTGCTTTTTGTTCATAAAACCAGTTGGAAGATCGAAATTGTTTTATAAAATATGAGAAGTACAATTATAACGCCTATTTTGACACTAAGAAAGAATTTTTTAGCAACGGTCTATGTGCTTTAAAGGAGAGATAGAAAAAGTGAATAGGTAATTGCGTAAAAAAAAAAAAAAGATACATGTTTATTTTCATGGTTATTGCAACTTATATTAATAATAGCTTGTCACGTTTATTTTAACATACTGTATTTACTTAATAACTTACGTAATTATGTTCATTTTTACTATTTTTAAATTGTAATAATTGAATTGGATATTTATTTATTTTATTTATTTATTTACACTTTATTGCACCAAGTAAAAAGAGAAATAACAAATACAGTAAATATTAATGAGAAGTGATACAAAAGGCGGCCTTATCGTTTTATATTGTTTTTATAATTAATTTTATTACAAATTTTTATTTTATTTTGAATAAATATTGGTATAAATATTATACAAATATCTGTCACGTCAATTTATGACGCAAGTACTATAAAAATACAAATATATTTACAAAATATCGATTTAACTGTATTGCTAATCGAATTGGAAAATTGACATTTAGAAGATGTGAATACAACACTAAGTCATGACAGCAATAAAACGCAAGTTTATTCTTTATAGACATTAATTTTACCAATTTAATTCGACTAACAAAAAAGCATTATGTCGGCCCGATATGATAGAGCGATTACAGTATTTTCGCCGGATGGCCATTTGTTACAAGTAGAATATGCACAAGAAGCTGTTCGTAAGGGATCTACCGCTGTAAGTTGATATTTGGTTATAGTAATTTGAGTCATTACAAAGCATATTTATTAATTTCAATTTTTTTATATATCGTTAGGTTGGTGTAAGAGGAGCTGATGTCGTCGTATTGGGCGTTGAAAAGAAATCAGTGGCGAAGCTACAGGAAGAGCGAACTGTTCGTAAAATATGTCTCCTAGACGATCATGTTGTGATGGCTTTTGCTGGTTTAACGGCAGATGCTCGGATCCTTATTAATAGAGCACAAATTGAATGTCAGTCTCATAAACTTACTGTTGAAGATCCTGTAACATTAGAATACATAACAAGATACATTGCTGGCCTGAAGCAAAGGTATACTCAAAGCAATGGACGTCGACCTTTTGGTATTTCATGTTTGATCGGAGGATTTGATTATGATGGATTACCTCATTTGTTCCAAACAGAACCATCAGGTATTTACTATGAATGGAAAGCCAATGCAACTGGTAGGTCAGCTAAGACAGTGCGAGAGTTTTGGAAAAAAATTATACTGCTGAAGAAGTCGCTACAGAAAAAGGTGCAGTGAAGGTAATGTTTGTTTTCATATTTCATTTTATCGCAACTGTTCATTCTAAACAAATTTTTCTCATTTCATAATTAATACCTTAAATAATAGTAATCTTTGTACTGCTATTTTGTACATATGGGATAATCAACTTTAAAGAAAAATTACGTTAAATACCTAGAATTTAAAGTTGTGGATATTAAGTATTAATGACAATAAACATCTATTTGTGCACATATTAGTTTACATCCATCAAATGTTTGTTTAGTATGAAAATAAAACTGATAAATTAGCAATCTGTATAATTTAGTGACTAGAAGGTATAGAAAAGGGCTGTAGAGACAAACATTTTTATATGACAGTGACATAAACATTCAAATAGCTTGAAAAATCTGATTAATTAATGTAATTTTTTTCTTACAGCTTGCAATTCGGGCTCTCCTTGAAGTTGTTCAATCTGGACAAAAGAATCTAGAAATAGCTGTAATGAGACGTGGTCAGCCTATGCAAATGTTAGACTCTGATACCATCAATTCTTATGTGTCTGTTATTGAGAAAGAGAAGGAAGAGGAGGCAGAGAAGAAAAAACAGAAGAAATAATATTAATTATATATTATAATTTCAGTTCTCTCTTTTAACATGGTATGTTAAGGAATACATTTCAAATAATTAAATTGTTTTATTGCTGGAAACAGAAATAAAATTATCTAATGAACTAAGAATTAAGTAAATCTATTGTTCTTGAAATTTGGGAATATAGTTCTTTCAATTCAGAGCCACATTCTTGGTTGGGGCCTTTACAAGTAATTATATCATTGAACATCTGGTCCCATTCACCGTGATAGTGATTTGAATCATCATTTTTTTTCTGAAATATTTTATACTTTTGATATAAAATTTGTAAGTGACAGATGTATATATAATTATGTAGCCCTGGACTTTTCTGTCTGTAGAATATTTTAAAAACATTTATGATTAAATCTTTGGAAATCTATATGTAACTCCTATTCATACAAGTTTTTCAGCTTTATTCACTCATAATCCTATAGAATATATATCCTATCCAAGTGAATGAAGCTGTAGATTTTTTTTTCTAGATACATAATTAATTTTACTAAAAATATAAACAATCACCTCTGTCATTGAAGTCATAGTTACATCATTTGGGTCATTACTTATGGATGGTAGTACACAATTTAATGAATTATGTTCATCCTTTTTGTAGTCCACAATTTTTGTTACTATATTTTGTTGATTATCACCTTCAATATCAAACCCTGCTAACAATTCCACATTTGTGTTTGCCTCAACCGGTTCAGAATCTAGTTCTGGCATACTCAAAAACTTAACTGGGAATATATCATTGTTCTGTTGACAGGATTCGTCTTCAAATTGCATCAAACTCTCTTGTGATGAATTTCTGTGGTCACAATATATATGTAATATGAAAAAATTACTATATGTTATGACTATAAAGAACATGAAAAAATTAAACTAATTCATTTTTTAGTACTTTGTATGACATGAAGAAGGCTACTTTTATCCCAGTTAGTGTATATTCCAGTCATACGGACAAAGTCACAGGTAAAGGCTAGTGTGTATAAAGCAAATTGAGCACTACAATTAAAGATAATTATACCAATAACTGTCATCTTTTAAGTAACGCCAATAATGGAATGTATTATAATGATTGACTTACTCATAGGTCTCATTGCTGATTAAATTGTCATTACTATCACCAGTTGCTAGAAGAAGGAAGGATAAAAGGATAATGACAAAGTTAAGATCAAAATAATATACACAAGGAAGTAGGGATTAAGGAAGTAACCTGATTGAGGGGAATCTTCTGGATTTTTATGGGCATTTTTCATAATAAACCAATCAAATTCCATATTTTCTTCATCTTCACAGTAGTCCTCTTGACCATCTAAAAATAATTATTATGCTTAAAATGATGGATGATGTGAATACGATTTATTTTGTATATGGAAAGAAATATAAGCATTTCATGCTAGGGGCGGAATAATAACGGATTAGTAATTTCGTCAGCAGGCCATAGAAAATTAAGCTAGTTATAATGGATTTCGGCAGCTGGATGCAACCCTTTGCACTTGCACTTGTACTCCTTGGTGGGAAAGAAAATACATACGAAATATATTACTTTTTTATTCCTGTTTTTATAAAACATATATATATATCATACAATATACTCTACACTTATTTCTTACCTTCAGATTCAAACCTGATATTACAAAATTGTCCTGGAGAATTTTGCATACACATTTCTTGAGCTGCTTTTTTTAGTGCCTCCCGGAAGGCGCGTCGAGCTTTTTGAAGAGGAGTAAGATAAAGCATTTGTTCTGTTCCCCCGTAGAAAGACTATAAACCGTTATGTTTATATATAGGTACTTTATGAAATGGTGAAGTCTTAAGCATAGTTATGTATACCTACACAAAATAAGGGGGGAGGGAGTTACTGTTAATAATGGGATCTAACAGCCCCATTACTAACAATATAGGGTATATTTAGGTCGACCTCCACGTGGTTCCCCTGGAAACCATAGTGGTTAGTTCTTGTGAAATTCGTCACAATGGGCTAACTAACCTGCTTTAGAGGGGAAAGGGATTGTTAGTAATGGAGACTGAAAATCCTCTTGCTAGCAATATACCCAACCAGGTCGACCTCCACGCGGTTCTCCCTGGAAACTATCATGGTTAATTCTTGATGAATTCATCATGATGGGCTAACGGGCCTGTTTACATTCTCATTTATCACCCTTCACTGGTGCTCCGCCAGCGTATCCCGTTAGCGCAGGCGGGGTTACTATTCCATTATCTTCCATAAAAAAAATAAATAAGGTACCTATAAAGCAATTTTTTTCATCCTTTTACTAGGGAAACTAAACCATTTGAGGAGGAAACATTTTAACATACATTTTATTTTAAATATAAGAATATTCGTTTTGAGTTACGTGTATTTTTAAAAATAACGTTTAGGTAGTTATGTGATCATCGTGAACCCTTTTTTGTGGTGCGGGTTTGAGTTTGTAGGCGCTTAAGTTTAACAGTAGCGCGCGCGTAATCTTTACGGCGCGTCTTACTAGTTAGAATAAGAACTAAAAAGTTAAGCTTTATCGATTTTCATTCTAAAGAATCCAATTGTAGGTATCGTGTTCTATATACATAAATATTTAATCTAGTATATCTATGAACAATCTTGCGTTTTATATGTTGTACCTAGTTCATTTTAATTACATATATACTTTGTATTCCGCAAAAAAGGGCGTTTTAATCATGGTAAGAACAAATCTCCCAATAGGTAGATAGGCGTGACAGATATGTATATCTTGACATTCCGACGAACTAATGTATTGGCGTATTTAAGATTATTTTCCAGGGGATCTGGTCTCTGTACTCCTAATCCTGTGATAGGAACAACCCACCAGCCAGCTCCTCCTCCCCCTTACGATATACCTACTGATAAATGACAAGATATTTTTCTTTTGTTACCATTAATGTCGCCGTTTCTTTGCGGACCCAAACATACCCATATAACTGCAATAAATTAGATACAAGATAAACAATGAAACGCTTATTATTAATCGGTAGATAAGTTTGTAGATCTATTCACCAAAATCTTAATTTTTTACTCCGCAAAACAGCGACTTCTATCATAACAAAATACCCCTGTATTTGTTGTGTTACGATAAAAGTTGCTTTTTGTTGCGGAGCAAAAAATTAAGGCTATAAACGACCGTAAATTATATTTCATATTGTAAATATATAATAATGTAAATATGTATATATATTATGGTTTCTAACATTCTATTATCCATACCAATGTCTAATTATTTACAACGACAATACACCGCTTGGTACTTACGTATTTAGGAAAATGTCATAAGAACACTTTCGGGAAAAATACCTTTGGTTTGAAGTTTTTTTTCATCGCTAAAGCTTTTCTTGTTATTTTATTCAGCATTTCTGGTCTTCCATACTGGAAATAATCATGAACATACTCATGCATATAGGGATTACTTGAGTTGCATAATGGATCTTGCAAGTGTGAGGTAACTTTACGAAAACCATATAAATTCAATTGCCGCACGAAACTAGATATATTTGTTGTTTTAAAAATGGAATAATCACATTGAAGATAATTGTGGAGGATTCGATAATTTAGTAAGATAGTTCGTCCTGTTCCACCCCATAGTATAGCATCTGTACGCATGTTTAACAAATACCACAATTTTTGTGGGAATCGCATTTGGAAAATTGCATTTTTATCTTCTTGCATTGTGTTTTGAAATAATAAATCAATCAAACACCCCGATGAATGTTAAAATCGATGCGCTAATCAACTAATTAAAAGTCAAAACTCCCGCTATTTATAATATTTATTTTTGTCTTCTATAGGTAGTCATAGATTAAGAATAGCATGTCCTTGTACATCTATATACTGTGCAATTTTTTAATGCGAAAACTTAGGAACTACCACTATTAACTTGCCACTATTGCCATTTGATTGAAAGTATCGCTATTTGTCACAAAGAAGTGCTTTTAACACAAAGTGTACTTTTAACATAATGCTATACAAATATTTCACAAGCGATTTTTAACAGTAAAAAGATTGTATTATATAACAAGATTTCTTCCTAATTGCTAAATACTTAATAAACAGTAAATATTGTGCAATTTTTAGCCAACACAATTGTCTATTACATTACTTTACATTACCAGCCCTTTGCCAATATTAAAAAAATAACGTTCACAGTATTTTACATCTAAGAACAATCTACGTAGAAGCAATAATAAAAACTGTAAATCATATAGTTGTCTCGTTTCTTCTTATGCAAATGTAATTAGTAAAAAGAGGACGAAACATACACCATTAGTTGTTATTTTTCTCAGTTCATAGCAAGTTTTTTCAATGGATAATAATGGAATGGTAACTCCGCCTGCGCTAACGATATACGCTGGCGGGGCACCAGTGAGGGATGATAGGTGAGGATGAAGCAGACCAGTTAGCCTATCGTGACGAATTCAACAAGAATTGTTGACGATGGTTTCCAGGGGGAATCACGTGGAGGTCTTGCTGATAGGCATATTGCTAGCAATTGAGCTGTCAAACTCCATTGCCAACAATCCCTTTCCCCTCTGAAAAAGCAGGTCAGTTAGCCCATCGTGATGAATACATCTGGAATTCAGCACGATAGTCTCCAGGGGGAACCACATGGAGGTCGACTTGATAGGGAATATTGTTTACAATGTGACTGGTAGCCCATATTACTAACAATCCTTTCTCCCCATTCATAGCAGGTTTTTTTTGATGAGTGAGAATGGTATGGTAATCAAGCCTGCGCTAACGGGCGGAGCACCATTGAAGGGTGATAGATGAGAATGAAAACAGGCCAGTTAATTCAACATGATGAATTCATCAGGAATTAACTATGATAGTTTCCAGGGAGAACCGCGAGGAGGTCGACCGGGTCGAGGTTGGGTATATTGCTAGCAATGGGATTCATAGCCGGTTAGTGTATAGAAAATGTTTGATATGTTAATTATTTGCCAATGACAAATTTTAAAATAAAATATATAGGTTTTTAAGATATGGGTAAAAATGTTAAATATCGTCTGACAACCCTACGGCTAATATTTGTGATTGTTCGGACTCATGGAATTTATATCCAGAGCCGTAAAACATATTAAAAAAAAAGGTTTGTGATTGATTGACATTGACTGACGGCAAATAAATTCAAATAGACAAAAGGCGGGAAACTCGAATAAGAACAAGCGGGTTTTTTAAATTTTTTTTATTAATTTATTAAAACTATCTCTATCAATTCTTATTATTGAATAAAATATTATATTTTCACTAAATTCAGCGACAGTAATATAATTAGCATTCATGGGGAAGCGCAGTTGTAGAAAAAGGAAAAAAAAAGATGACGATTCAGGTGATGTAGACCATGAACCTTGTAATGACAAGGATATATATTCGGAAGATACTTCTACTGACTCAGAATCTGAAATTGATAAGGCCGATAAGTATAAACCTTACTACGTCACAGATTATATTAGAAGATATCCCGAGGAATCCCCTGGGACAGAATTTGTTGTCTTTGTAGAATCCTCAGATAGTCAGAAAACCATTGGATCCAGAGACTTGCTCTCACTCTCCTCCTGTTTAAAACGATTTAATAAAGGGGTAACTTATCTTAGATCTATAAATAAATTCAAAATCGGAGTATACTTTCAAAAGCCAGACTTAGCCAATGCTTTTTTAAATAATAAAACTTTTTTAAATGACTACCATTTTAAGGCCAGTATTCCTGCTTCTTCAACAGAAGTTACAGGCGTTATTAGAAATGTACCTACAAATATATCTAATAAAAAAATATATACTATGATATCGAGTTCTAAGAAAATTATTGCTATTAAAAGAATTTTAAGAAAAAATACCTTGACTCATGGATATGTGTTACAGCCAACTCTAACCGTGACAATTACTTTTGCTGCATCTGTATTACCTGAATATCTGGATATTGGAGGTTGGCGCCACAATGTCACTCCATATATACCACCAGTTAAACAATGCTACCGGTGCTTGAGGTATGGACATTTAGCTAAATTCTGTAAGAATTCTGAGCGTTGCAGCATCTGCAAAGGTGAGCATAATTATAAAACTTGTACAACTGGAATGGAAAACGCTATTTGTGTACACTGCAATGGAAATCACACAAGTGTATCACCGCAATGCCCTGTTAAACAAAAGAAAATTGCTGAAAATAGATCTAAATTCAGACCTGCTTCTTTTGGAGATATACTTAGCACTGAAATATTTCCTAAACTGGGTAACAAACCTAAAAAAAATGTAGACCTAATTTCAATTCTAAATTCTGATAACAAGAGTTTATCACTTTTAATAGAAAGCATAATCAAACTTATTTCACTACATAACACAAAGAACACATCTATTAACACTAAAAGTGTTTTGAATGTGTTATATGATACTTTTGGTAATAGACCTATTTCACAAAATTCAATCGAGACCAATTAACTATCATACAGTGGAACGCTCAGAGCCTACTGAGCAATCGACATATTTTTACACAATTTTTAAATGAACATCATATTCACGTTGCTCTCATCTCAGAAACTTGGCTAAAACCACATTACAAATTAAAAATTAAAGATTATTGTATAGAACGAAATGATTGTGGTAATAACCACAATGGAGTAGCGATTATTATACATAATAGTATTAGATATAAAAAACTTCACTCTTTTTTCGACAATTCCTTGCAAACTATAGCTATTAGTATTGAAGTTAATAATTCTTGGTATTCAGTTGCCAGTATTTACTGTCCTACCAATAGTACACCTAGTTTTACTAAAGCCAAATTTAAGTTCTTTTGGAGTCTCTTCCTAAACCCACTATCATATCTGGAGATTTAAATGCACATCATACTATGTGGGGTTGTACCTCCACTAATACAAGAGGTAAAGACATTCTTGATTGTTTAGATGAATGTAATTTGGTACTATTAAATGATAAGCAAGTTACTACTGTTGGCTCTCATATTTGGAGACCCAATGGCCTTGATTTAACTATGGTATCCCCATCCATATCATTAAAATGCGAGTGGTCGGTTCATGATGATCCGTTAGGAAGTTATCACCTGCCGACTTTTACTAAAATAAACACAAAGAACTCTTCATCAACTCCGTCAGGTGAACAACATGCTTCTATAGATGAAGTTAATAAACTTTTGTTAAATCGTATAAACCTACGTCTCGTTAATTGGGATCTTTATTCTGAAACTGTTAATCGATTACTTTTGGATTTCGAGTATGATGTCAATGAACCCTTAAACAATTACAATAGGTTCTGTAAAATTATTTTGACAGCTGTGGAACGTTCCGTTCCACGTAGGAACTTATCAAATAGCGGTGCAAATACTTCAAAGAGGCACAAACATATTGCAGTACCTTGGTGGAATAACAGGTGTGCGACAGCTGTCAATGATAGTAAAGCGGCTTACCTTAGGTTTAAACAAAATCCAACTCTCGATAATTACATAAATTTTAAAAGAGTTCAAGCTGTTAAAAAGTTAGTAATTAAGCAAGTAAGACAACAGGGGTGGCAGGAATTTTGTTCCAAATTTAATAGATTAACACCAATTTCCACTGTTTGGCAAAATATGAGAAAACTAAATTCAAAACATCGTCAAAATCATTTTAAAGATATATCATGGGTCAATGATTTTTTACGCAAATATACTCCTGATTTTGTACACTCATCTTTTGATGACAAACAGTTTAATTCTGTTAATTCATGCCCAAAATTTCTCACTGACCCATTCTCAATTGATGAAATATCCAGTGCAGTAAAATCTAGAAAAGATACAGCTAGTGGCCTTGATCGCTTAACATACAATATGTTTCGATTGCTGAATAAAATAAACCTTACTAAACTCTTACAAATTTTTAACGATTTATGGAAGGACTGTATTATCCCACCAGAATGGAAAATGGATTGTTTGATTCCAGTAATTAAACCCGGTAAAGATCCTACAAATTTCGACTCCTATAGACCTATAACATTGACGTCCTGTGCAGGCAAATTATTCGAACAATTAATTAAACAGCGTTTAGAGTTCTTTATTGAAAGTAATAGTATATTACCATCGAATCAATTTGGTTTTCGCCGTGGATATTCAGCGCGCGAAAGTTTAGCGAACTTCTATGTCGACCTTAGTACTGCTTTGAATAACGATGAATATGTTCTATCTGTTTTTTTAGATGTCGTAGGAGCTTTTAACAATGTAAATTTAACAGTTCTATCTTCGATTTTATCCTCATTTCTTCCAATGAAACTTATCGAATGGATTTATAATTTTCTTAGTAATAGAGAAGTGTATGTTAAAGTAAATAGTAAATTAATAGGACCTAGGTTAAGCTCTAAAGGAGTATGTCAAGGTGGTATTCTAAGCCCGCTACTATATATTTTATATATCTATAAACTTAATTAAATTTTAGGAAACAGTGTGAACAACTTGCAATTTGCCGATGATTTATTAATTTATATAAAAGGAAAGAATATTATTGATATGCAATTAGTGTTAAATGAGTCATTAAAAAGACTTGAGAAATATTTTTCTCTTCTTTCCCTCGATATTAGTTTAACCAAAAGTAAAGTAGTTGTTTTTCATCAAGTTCATAAATATGTTCCATTAATGAATATTATATATAATAATCAAACTCTTCCAACAGACTGTAGCGTTAAATTTCTGGGGGTAATTTTTCATCAAAATTTAAAATGGGATCTATACGTTGATTGCTTAGTAGATCGTGCTTTAAGAGCCACTAATATAATAAGATCTGTAATTGGTCGTAACTGGGGAGCTGATCCTAAAATTATCCTTTTACTTTACAAATCTCTTGTTAGAAGTAATTTTGATTACGCTTTCTTTTGTTATGCCTCAGAACATAAATTAGTAGAAAAACTCGAAAAAAAATTCAAAATATGAATTTAAGACTTATTTTAGGTGCTATGTATACTTCTCCAATTATCTCAATGCAAGTAGAATGTAATTTGCCTCCTATCCTTCTTCGTTTCGAATACCTAAAACTCAAATTTCTCTTCAAAGTTTTTTCAGTTTCCAATAACCCACTCATACTCAAATTATTAAATTGCCCCATTTCTATGTTTTTGAATAAAACTATTGTCAATGATTTGAATTTACGAGATGAATATAACATCTATAGTAGTAAGATACTTCCTTGTTATAATGGCCTTTATGAGAGTAAGTTCTGTAAGATCAAAATTGTTATACGTAAAGACATAAAAGAAAAGCACGATATGTATGAGACTTTATCAGAATTTATTGACTACAGGCAGATATATACAGATGGTTCCAAAAATGCACTTAGCACTTCAGTGGCTTTTTACGATTTGTCAAATAGATTTGGTCACGGTTATAAAATTTCAACTTTGGCTAGTATTTACACAGCAGAAGCAAAAGCTATATTTTTAGCATTAGAATACATAGAAAAACAGGTACTATATTCGAAATGGATTATAATTACAGATAGTATGAGTGTTCTTATGGCATTAAAAAATAACACATTCATTTCATCATCAAACTACTTAATTCAAGAAATTCGTAATAAATATTATCATCTCTGTACTATATATGGAAAAGATATTATCTTCATCTGGACCCCTTCACATATTGGAGTGTTTGGGAATGAACAAGTAGACACTTTGGCTAAAATTATTAATTCAAGTGCTGCTCGTGTTCAAGATTTACCCCTTTGTTACTCAGATTGTAGTATTGGAATACATAAAATCGTTACAACTAAATGGGAGGAGCATTGGACTCAAATATTACAGACTAAAGGCAAATGGTACCGCAAAATTAATTGGCGTATTGGAAAAACGTGGTTCTGCAAAGGAAAGGACACAAACAGAAAATTTTACACCAATATTTGTAGATTACGAATCGGCCACGGACATTTCAACGAACACCTGCACCGAATGGGCATGATCGCTTCCCCATCATGCACATGGTGTAACTCAAATACAGCCCAATCTCTACATCACCTTTTTTTTGATTGCTCTGAATTTGTCATTCAAAGACACATTATGTTTGACGAACTTAGGATTATCTTCAAAAAACCCGAAAATATCCCGCACTCAATCCCGCTTCTCTTAAGATTTCCTTCTTGTTTCAAAGCTATTTTCACTTATATTACTACAACATTCAAGGAGCTATAAGAATACTTTTATTGAATTGCAAGACAATGATTTTTTATAATTATTTATTTTTAATTTGATAAATCCACTGGTTTAAGAAAACTCAAGAAAAGATATTTATGAAAATGTACTTACCGGATTTGACAAATGAAATATTGAAGATTATGACAATAATTGAAGCGACATTAGAAAAATAAAATTCCAGACAAATTATCTTTTTGAAGACTAGGCAGCATGGTCTCCGACCTTAGCCTGTTCCAAACGGAACAAACGTACTAAAAAAAAAAAAAAGGAGATGAAGGAAATTGTAAGTAGCTACTAACAACAAAAATTGTAACAATATTTGTACTCATAGTAATTATTTTTACTATTTATACATTAAACCCATGTTCTTGATGTACAAGTCCAGTTTTTTCTTCAGATAGTTATTGATATAAATTTATAAAGTTAATGACCCACTTTAGTATCACAATTTTATTTATGATAGGTATCTTGTATTATTTAAATATAATTGAGTGAAATAACTTATCATTTTCTATTTTTAATCTATTTATATATATAAAAAATTATGATGATAAAAAATAGTGAAATCAGTGTAAATTTTTCTTTTATACTAACTTTTTGCGCCTTGTGGTTTCCAGAAGTAGAAAAACTAACATACACCAGATATTAAGTTAGACCTGTAAAAATCGCATCCAATTTGGTGCAGTAGTTTTTGCATGATACCAGAACAAACAAATATAACAAAAACAAAGACAAAATTTCTAAAAATTATTGTTTTCACTACTATTATCATTATAAAGATCCCTTATACTAATATTTCTTAAATATATCCCATGTACAGCCTTTATCTAGTTACAATTTTGTTATATTAGTAAGATTTTTTCACCAGGAAAAAGCTCCAATAAAAAATAAATTAAAACTAAATGAGGAAGAAATGCCACCTGACAAGTATGTAGAGAGAACCCGTTTAAGCCTACGCTTGGAGGTTGACTTGGTCTTTGTAGGACTACTGGTATTAGCTCTTAGTACTAGACTATACAGCTTGGAGGAACCAAAATACATTGTGTAAGAAAATGTTTATTATACTACTAATACCTATTGCTTTTTTTATGAGATGAAAATGAAATTGTGCCCTGTTAGTGAATACTAATAGTACAAACATGGTATACACTGACAGGATACCAGTAAAAGTAACAGATGAGGAAGAAGTTCAGTCGGCTCATAATGATGAATCCAAATAAGGTATTAACTAAATAGCTTCCAGCAGTGCCTATGTGGGAATCAACCTAACAAGATATTACTAGCAATGGAAGTGGGTGCCACTCCATGTTACTAACAATCACATCTTTGTAAAGATGTTTAACAGTTAACATACTTGAATGAAATTTGATATTCAAATAAACATTCTAGTGTTGATTATATGATATTTTTTATATAAATTGATGTGAGTGGAGCTGCATATAGCTACTGATAAAACATAGTCTATAAACAATATCAGTATTTCACCAGCTGTTTTCCAAAACTTTAGCCTTGTGAATCATTATATAATTTATCTTGTATCTCAACCCTTCTTTGTGGCATTTTTTTTTATTGGTGAATTTAATCAAGGTGATATAATTCATGTTCAAAATTAATGGAAAAATGGTTAAAAAATATATTTGACAGCTATGTTTTTTTTTTCTGCAATGGACATTAAAAAGGTATCCAGACAAGATCAACTTAAAGTGAAATTGTTCTTTTATATGATTTTTAGGCATTCACTGTTATGATGGATATTTTCACCAGTATGCAAAGAAGGGTTAAGTTAGGATATACACCAAATTTTATTCATATACATTTAACCATTTGAGCATGTCTGAGTAATAAACTTCCAAAGATCAGTACAAACTTAATAGTTTCACTTCTGGTCAACTCTAATTGTAATCATCTTAGTATTCACTTCCTTTCTGATCATACCATCTTTTACACAATCCATGACACCAATTTTTAATTGACATCAAAAAGAAGAAGATTCTCAATTTGGTTGTATTTTTTCTTTTTTTTTATATTTGTTACCTCATGGATATACTTAGAATTGATGCCATAGAAACTTTATCAGAATCAATTTAGTAGTTTACTTTTTAAATCGAACTAAGTGGTTTGTTCAGACCCCACTCTTGATAACAAAATTTTATCAATATAAGTATATAGAAATATCACATGTTTATTAATGATTGATGATGATGATTTTAAATCTACAAAATTTTTTTTTAATTAAGTACTTTGATAATTAATGTTTCAGATTTGATGAGCTACATTATGGGAGATATGTATCATTGTACACAAAAGGGGTGTTTTTCTTTGATGCACATCCACCACTTGGTAAACAGCTTCTGTATTTAGCAGGCCATGCTGCTGGCTATGATGGAAATTTCACGTTTGATAGAATTGGATCACCATATACACATAATGTACCAATAAGAGCTCTGCGCATGGTGCCTGCTGTGGCTGGCAGTCTTTTGGTAGCAGTTACATATCAAGTGATGTTAGAAATATCTTTCTATCAATGGACGGCAATATTAGCTGGTTTATTAGTTTTATTTGGTTAGTAAAACATTATTTTCAATATAAATTTAAAACATTGTTTTAAATAGCGAATTTGTTGACAATGTTTGCATATGTACCTAGTGCATGTTTTTCGTTAGTTTTGGGCTTGCTGAAGTAGAATTTCCTATCAATTGAGTTTTATGGTTTTAAGTTGGTTAGTTATTTAATATCTTTAAAGTTATTAATAATTCTTATTGACAGTCACACTGATTTGTTAATGTGAACATAACAATTTTACATTTTAAAGTTTACTATATATAATTGTGTAGCATTTTCATTATATTTCCTTAGATGTATTTCTAGTTATAAGTGATTTACTGTTTCAGAAAATTGTTTCCTAGCACAATCAAGATTCATGCTACTAGAAAGCATTCAAATACTATTTGGATTATGTGGCATATTGTGTACAATTAAAAGCACATATAAAACTGGTGTGTCTAGTGTAATCTGGCTTTGTGTTGCTGCTGTGTCACTTGGATGCTGTTTTTCGTATGTAATATAATAATATTGTATATCACTCCACATTATTTATTTATATTATTGTGTTCTCTTCATTTAGACTTCTTGATTTCAGTGTGAAATACTCGGGACTTTATACATATTACCTGGCATTATTTCTTGTCGGGCGACAAATATGGCGACAAGTTGGTAGCACCGAATCAACCCTGCGTCTGGCATTAGCGGTGCTGTGGAGATTGATTGTTTTAATTATTCTACCGGTGTTAGTGTATGTGGGAGTATTCTATGCACACTTGGCTATGTTACCTAAAGCTGGCCCACATGACAGTGTAATGACGAGTGCATTTCAAGCCTCGCTGCAAGGTGGACTTGCGAGCATTACGCGAGGCCAGCCATTACATGTTGCCCATGGATCACAAATTACTCTCAGGTACAATATGTTTATTTCTTATATAAAGATCACCTACTGATTGTAGTAGATAGAGAGTTGCCCGTCATAATTAATGAGCAAATTACATAATTCAAACTGCCATATATATTTATAATGCCATAACACTGTCTAGCAATACATTTTGTTTTTTCCTAGAAATTTCTCAATTTCTCTCAAATTTCATTTAAAAAAAAATACAAAAATAATAAACTAAGAATATACCTTTAACAACCTACCTGCATGCTTGCCTGCGAAAAGAAGGAATTTTAATTATTATTTTAAATGTTCTTGAAAGACTTGTCAGATTTGGCAAATTTTTAAACAAGTCTATATAATTTAGTCACATTGTCAATTAGTGACTACATATAATGACTATATAAACATCCCTTAAGTACATAGTTTTTATTTAATTCATGACATTATTTATTAGTGTTCCACTCCATTCTTCCTTCTATTTTCTGTCTGGAAAGATTTCCAAGTTCATTATGAAATTGTTACGTCATATAAGATGGCTAAACAGCTTAATTGCTGTAATTGGTGATTTTTCTTATTTGTTCTTCTCATTTCTCTTCTATCCATCTTAATTATACATCACACTCATTTCCAGGCACACACACGGACGAACATGTTGGCTGCATTCCCACGCACACGTGTATCCGGTTCGATACACAGACCAGCGGGGTTCGTCCCATCAGCAGCAAGTAACGTGTTATAGTTTCAAAGACGTTAATAACTGGTGGATAGTGAAACGGCCTGAGCAGCCATCCCTAGCTGTAGCCCGTCCCCCTGACGCTATTCGTCACGGAGATATCGTTCAACTACTTCATGGTATTACGAGCAGGGCGCTCAATTCACACGATGTTGCAGCGCCAGCCTCGCCACAGTCACAGGTCAGAGGTTTTATTAATACCTTTTTGCATTTCCAGTGTTTATATATTTTATTGCCGTAACACAAATTATAATGATTATAAGTTGACTTAACCACAAACACCTCAAGTGACTTTAATCTAAACATATGTTGATACGGAAATTAAGTTTTTATATATGTAAGTCCAATAATATAGTTCTAGGCAGTTTTTTTCCATACCTACTAACTCTCTTATTCGGGGGGGAGAGGAGGGTTGTTAACAAAAATTATATGTTTATTTGAGGATATTTAACTTACATCTTTTATGTAAAAAAAAAAATACTGTTTAAATTAATGTATAATACGAAAATTCTGATATAATTTTAAACCTACATTTGACTTTAAATACGACACAAATATAATATTGTTGTATACCTGTATATGTTTATTAATACAGGAAGTATCCTGCTACATAGACTATAATGTGTCAATGCCAGCTCAGAATCTATGGCGAGTAGACATTGTGAACCGAGACAGCGAAGATGCTACATGGGACAGCATACGTTCTATGGTACGGCTGATACATGTTGACTCGGGATCAGCGCTGCGCTTTAGTGGACGTCAGCTACCCGCTTGGGGATTTCATCAGCATGAAGTAGTAGCTGACAAGGTCATCACACACCAAGATAGTATTTGGAATGTCGAGGAACATCGATACACTAAAGGTAAATATATAAATAATACCTACACAAGTATAAACTGGATAAAAATACTTGGATGTATGTCTGTATAATGCTATCAGAGTTCACTAGCCCAGATATAGGAGTTTCCACGAATGACTAGTATATAATGTTAATACATGTAGTCGTACATCTGCGTCGGCAAGTGTTTTTTTTTGTTCTTCCGAAAGTTCCTACACTCTGCTACCTCCAACCAGTCCCTTTTAAATATGTCCGTCACCACGCCATCGATTCCTGAGCTAGCCTCGGAGACACTGTCCACTTTAGGGCACATACTGAGTTGAAGAATTCTGACAATTATCCATTATTTTTAAGTTTGGTTAGGGTAAAAAGTTTAATTTCACTAATTATTATTCCAATAAAACCCTCAAATACGAATACTACTGTTAATAGCTATTCTATTCTCGTAAATATAATAATTACATATCGTTTACAGCGGAAGACAGACGAGAACGCGAGCGAGAACTTGTTTCAGCAGAAATGATACCAACAGCAGTAACACAACTCACATTTTGGGAGAAATTTGCGGAGCTGCAATACAAGATGATCGCACACGCTCCTGACGCGCCCCACGGCCATATGTTTGCAAGTGAACCGCCCGAGTGGCCACTGCTTGTTCGCTCAATTGCATACTGGTTATCACCTAACTCTAATGTGAGTGAATTTGCCATTCACCCCACTTATTTTGAATGATGTATTTCTTGACATGACGAACTGTCCACTGCTGAACATAAGCCTTCCCTGTAAGGGGAGTTTGCCAGTAGTTGCCACGCTTGGCAGGCGGGTAGGCAACCGCAATTAGACTTTAGAGATGTTTTAAAAGGAACGCTGCTGTCCATCCCTCGCCCTCCCTTATTCAATTCTTACGACACTTACAGGAAAGGAAGGGGTGGCCTATTCTATGCCGAGACCACACGGCACGGCAATTGTTCAACATACACGAGCATTATTTTCGAACGATACTGAAATCCCATACAAGGGACAAATTACATGACGTTTCGTCATGTCATTTGTCCCTTAAAAATGCGATATGCAATGTTAACGTTGTGATATCACAATATGATATTTTACCATTGAAGTATGCTACTTCAATTACACAATACACATTAAGCAATTCGTAGACGCAGCAAGATGCTGTTAATGCACCATTTTCTATGTTTACAGGCTCAAATACACTTGATTGGAAATTTGATAACATGGTACGCCGCAACGTTATCAGTTTTGTTGTACAGCGTTCTGCTGGCAGTCTATGCGATCCGCCGGAGGCGCGCATGTGCAGATCTTCCGATTCGAGCGATACAGCAGTTCTACGACGCTGGTTATATTTTCTTTCTAGGCTACTGGTTGCACTATCTTCCTTACTATTTTATGGATAGAACACTGTTCCTTCATCATTATCTACCTGCTTATATATTTAAAATACTTCTATTGTCTTATGTAATTGATCATATTTATTTCATTCTGCATATACACGAGAAAACTAAGCCCTTAACAAATGTATTCATTGTATGTGTAGCAGTGTGGCTCGCGTATGTGGTACTTACATTTAAAAAATTTAGTGTCCTTAACTATGGAAATGTTAATTTGACTGAGAGTGATCTTATGAATCTCAGATGGAAGGATACATGGGATTTCATTTTACATAAAAAAGGATAATATTTTTATATCCTTATATGTTAGTTATATAAATTCGAATGTTTACCTGTTCTTTACTGCCATGTAATGATCTTGTCACAATTATTAATTCTTTTATTAAATTATTATTATTAAGTATAGGTATTACAGTACCTTGCTATTGCTAAAAGTATTTTCTACTCTGCACTTTATTACAACTGAAAAGTATTATTTTTATAATAGTTTTATTAGAACAATACCATGAACATATAAATATTATATTATAATTTTTAAATATGGACTAATGTCCATATTTAAAAAATATAATATATATGTTCTGTACGAAGAATGGGTTATGAATGAATAAATAAAATAATATATGAATACTCAATTAAAGATTCTCAAGTGCATTTACTATATAATAAATATATTTTTATAGACTGTATATTAGTTAATATGTTATCATAGGCAACATACAATTTGGCTTATTGCATTATAAAATAGTGGAAACTTATTTGGACTCTATGAATGCCCAAAAGCCTGTATTATGTTCAGTGCTTGTAACACCACGTTTTCAGCAACCATATGTTGTGTGCTCTACATACACAATACTTCTAAAATGTTTAAATTCAATTGTTTATTAATATTTTGCTGATGAAGACGTCACAACCATTTTCATCTAAATACACGTATTTAAATACACAATCGCATGTATTTTAGTGAAAACGGAGAGTATGACTCTCCGTTTTCACTAAAATATGCCATTTATGTGGATAGGATATCCTTGGAAAATAGCAGTGGTACATTATTCAAATTAAATCAAATAATTAAATCTTTGTCACAAAACTCGTACACCCATTACTTATATAAGTATTATACTTAACTATACATATCGACGTTTAAGCACTATTAGCTTTAATAGATTTTCCTATTTTGCAGGTCTCTTTCAGTATGTCGAGTATTTATCATAAAATCAACTAGTTTTTAGTTTCGTATTTGAAATCAAAACTAGGATGTTTTTTAAGCTATTGGCGGTTAAACATTTATAATGACTTTTAATAATCATCATCATCTTCCTACCCTTATCCCAATTATTATTTGGGATCGGCTTAATGTTTTTTATCTATATTACAAAAAGATTTGGCTTAAAGTTTTACAACCGGCCGCCTGCCTGACGTCAACCCTCTTTATTACGCCGACTTCATATAATAATTGGGATAAGGGTAGGAAGATGATGATGAGTGTTCTGTACGAAGAATGGGTTATGAGTGAATAAATAAAATAATATATGAATAGTCAAAAATATTATTTTGACTATTATTATTTGATAAGATTATATTGACTTTTAATAATGACTTTTTCAAATATTAATGAATAATCTCAGTTGCGACTAAAGTTTAATATTAGAATCATCAGTTATTTATGTGCTATTATCCTAATTTTTTAAAAGGTGCTAATAAAGTTTTATGAAATGACATTCCGTCCAATAGATATATTTTATATTTTTTTTTTTATATTTGGATAATAAAATTTAATATTAATTTAATAATGCAGTTTCACTTCATGCTTTCAGTACCTATTAATATAAATTTATAAAATTTACATTCCGTCCAATAGATATATTTTAATTAATAAATTTTAATATTAGTAATATAGTTTAACTTTATGCTTTTATTAACAAATACAGTTTTATCTCAAATTATATACAAAAAGCTTTAGATATTATTTTATCCCTGATGTTCATTGTTTATCTTTATACATAAAAAAACCAAGCTAAAGGATCACAAAATTTTTATAATCATGGCAGAAAAAAATGAAAAATTTATTTTTCATAAACATTTATTAAAAATACAATGATATAATTGATTAACGTCGGCTGGGTGAGGGTTCCACTTCCATAGCCTGCACCGGATGTACTGCCACAGATTCCACCTCCAGTGGTATCACACGCTGCTTGAGAACAGCCGTTGTACCTGCAGGATATCTATAAGACCCTTGTTTTTTACCCTAAAATACAACAAAATTATGTTCCATTATTACAAAAACAAAAGTAGATTAGAAAATGTTACACTTCTGTAAAAATGTACTTCACTGACCTTTACATTAGCTTCTTCATATGTTCTTAGATATTGAGCAGGGCCAGTATTGCGAATGACACAAATATCAACATTGGATCCTGAGCCCAAATCATTAAAAATACCAGCAGCAATGGCATCTCGCACCAACTTTTTACCCTCTTCCTCAGTCATATTAGGTTTCCAACCTGCTTCAAATACAGCCATGGCTGCAAGAGATCCCGAACCTAAAAAGTATTATCAATATTTCCTTATATCTGTTGAGGCCTTGTTAATATATAAAAAATGTATGAGTAATTTATTACAAGAAATAAGTTCCGCTGGAAAATAATAATTATTATTTGTAAGTTATATCCATTAACAATTGTCTACTTACCCATGGTAGCATAAGGTAGTTTATCAACAGACCCATGAGGATAAATACAATAGATATGAGGCCCAGTACGATCCACACCACCTAAAACTAAAGCAGCACCAATGTATCCTTGATAACGGAACAACATGCGCTTCAGAAGGGTAGCAGCAGTTTCAACAGGCACTGTGCGGCCCGTGTGCAAACGTTGTAGCTCTAGCTGTGAGGCCACTGTTTGTGTAGTCATTTCTGTATCTGCAGCAGTACCCGCCCCACAACAATACATATTGCCCGCCAAATAATGAATTTTCTGACAATTCTTATCAGACACTACTGTATTTTCAGTGGCCCTCGTGTCGGCACCAAGTATCACACCATCTGCATAAATGATGCCCACGATGGTGGTCCCTGTCTTTGTAGCTTTAGGTGCAGGAAATCCTTTTTGCGCCAGAAACGCATTTCTGTAAGGTGAAATATCAATTAATCAAATATGAGGATGCATTTGCAGTATATATCGCTGATATATAATTGTAAATAGCTTACCGTTGACAGTTTTCAAAAGAAAACCCAGGCGCTGGTACTTCGGGAACTAATACAGAAGCCATTATTACAGTTATTTATAATTATTAATTTTTATTTTCAAATTAAAAACAGAAGAATACGAAAATACTAAATACAATTATGCCTTGTAACTAGATGTTTTCTGTCAAAAAATATGACTTTTCAAAATGAAATTCGCAAAGTATATAAAGCACAGATTACAGAGACTATACGTTAGATATCCACTGAATTCGCAGATAAAATATAAACCACACATGAAAAAACGCTAATTGAACCTATTCAACGATCAAACTCCTTGCTTTGTAATTTTATGTTATTGATTTTTAACTGGTATCCCCACAGTACGAGGCTAAATGTGATTGGTTAATAATGATCTAGAATTTGCAAAATAATAATATCATCTATTGCTTAGAAAATAAATTTTAAATTACATTACAATAGACATGTGTTGTAACTTTTTTCTATATCACTAAAATCTACCAATTACGTCTAGACGAATTGTCTTGAACGCCTCAATTTTAATTCGTCGAGCAAAAGTCAAAAGACGGAATGTGTTGAAACATATTTTATTACAAATTAACGTAATTTTAGATTTTAAAATAGTTCCTAGGTATAAAAACAGCAAAATGTTTAATAATGTGGCATACATATGTATAATTTATTTTACTACGGCTCTAGTCTTAACTCTAGCCGGAAGAGATTTTTATCAAATACTTGGTGTCTCCCGTTCTGCTAGTACGAATGAAATTAAAAAAGCTTACAGAAAATTAGCAAAAGCTCTTCATCCGGACAAAAATCAAGATGATCCAAATGCATCTCAAAAGTTTCAAGATCTTGGCGCCGCATATGAAGCTTTATCCGACCCGGAGAAACGAGAACTATACGACCGATGCGGCGAAGATTGTCTTAAAAAGGATGGAATGATGAATAATAACGATCCATTCGCAAGCTTTTTCGGAGATTTCGGTTTCCATTTTGGTGGTGAACCACAACAACATGAAACACCTCGTGGTGCCGACATTGTTATGGAACTTACTGTTACTCTAGAAGAACTTTACAATGGAAACTTCATAGAAGTAAGTCAATATCTTTTTGCTAGGTAACATAGAAATCTTAAATCATTAACTAGAAAGTATTCAAATATTACATAGTTTTCATTATGTCATTTATTTTTACTGATAACTCATATTTTTACTATTCTTACATATGCTTTAAATATTCTAATTTTTATTAATCACATTGTATAATGCATCAATTAATGACAATCATTTCAGATAACAAGGAACAAGCCAGTAATAAAGCCTGCTTCAGGTACAAGGAAGTGCAATTGTCGTCAGGAGATGGTGACTAGAAACCTGGGCCCAGGAAGGTTTCAAATGATGCAGCAGACTGTTTGTGATGAATGTCCTAATGTTAAATTTGTTAATGAAGAGAGACTTTTAGAAATAGAGGTGGGTTTTAAGAAATTTATTTACTTTGCATTAGTTTTAAGTCAAAATTATATACAACACATAATTAAAAAATTGTATTATTACTATAAAACCTGGTTACCTGTGTACCTAATAGGTTCATAGTTACCTGGTAGTCTTATACTACCAATTCTCAAAATATTTTTTATAAAGACTTTATACTCATATATAAAAAACATTTGTATTATGTAGGATTCAAACCAACATCCACAGATGGTAAACCTTTTCAATTATTTAAGTAAATCTAAATACCATCTAATATTTTTTCTAGGTTGAAGTAGGCGCTCCAGATGGCCATAAGTCTAAGCTCAGAGGTGAGGGTGAGCCTCATGTAGATGGGGACCCTGGAGACTTGGTTATTGTATTTAGAACAGAGAGACACCCACAATTTACACGAAAAGGAGATGACTTGTACACTAATGTCACTATTTCATTGCAGGTTAGTTTCTACTGAAATAGATTTATTATTTCATTTACTTAGTAATACTGTAACTAAAAATCACACTAATTGCCACCTTAAATCTACTCTTAATTAACTATAGTATAAATACTGAAGATCTACATTAAAAATCCATGAGAAAATGGATAACTTCTTGCATAATAGATTCATTCATATAAAGTTTTTCCTATATTGGATTCACACTATTTAATTTATAAAAACATAAGCTACCTTTATATAATTGTAATTATGTATCACAGATGTTATTGTAATCACAGATGGACTGAAAATAGTAATGCTTATGTTTGAATAGTGTTTATAAGCAAGAGTGCATATCTTTTTTATTAGATACATTTATAAATACTAAAAATATTGATGACAATTTTAGGATGCTTTAACTGGTTTTACATTGGAGTTAGTACATCTTGATGGACATAAGGTGACAGTGTCCCGAGACAAGGTAACATGGGCTGGTGCACGTGTGCGTAAGAAGGGTGAAGGCATGCCAAACTTTGAAAATAACAACCTCCATGGCAACCTCTATGTCACATTTGATATTGAATTTCCTAAACAGGACTTCAGTGATGAAGACAAAGAAGGTGAGAGAAAAAAATTATGTCACATATATTAATGTTCAGTTAACATCTTAAATTCCTCTAATTGTAGACATGTTTAATGGGTTTACAGTAGTGCTACGTGATCCAGCAAATATTCAAACTAAACTCTGTTAGGAGAGACTAAAGACTGAGCTTTGGGAGCCAAAGAATTTCAATTCCTAAATTGCCCCAGCTGAATCAAATCCAAGATCTCATTGGTGTATTTATTTATTTGCACTGTTAATGTTCATACAACTGTGCAAAGTTTGCCCATTTAAATTTTACACTACAGTTTTAGTTTACATTGATAAATCTTTAACTAATCACCCAATTCAGGCTATAATAGTATTAATGCCAGAAATTTATTCTTATTTTTCAGCTCTCCGGAAGATACTTAAACAGAGTCAAAATATCAAAATATACAATGGACTATAGTAGCTATTCTGCCAATAATTTATTTAAGTAGTGAATTAATTGAGTGCAATGTTATGGAGAAAGTGTGTATCTGAAACTAAGTTTGTGTTACCTGTGGAGAATGTGATTGTTTTTAAAAAAAAATAAAATCTTACAACCCTGAATGTGTTCCTTGATAAATAAAACCCGATCTTTTATAAAAATATTTCCCATATTTAATAACAATTTAACATGTAAAACTGTAATGAATCTAAAATAATATTAAAACGGCATTTTAATTACATAATATATATAAAAATTAATACATATTTAATTAAAAAGTAAAGTGATATTTTATTAACATGATTAAAAGGATCATGGCACGAAATAAAAATATTTACAAATATTAATTATATATAAACGTTTAGGAATGACAATTTTGAATATTAAAGCTTAAACTATTATAACTTATTATGAATTAAACGGGTTAAAATCCCGAATAGGAAAGTTTCTCTTCTACAACTATAATTCGGAAGAGACAAAAAAAAATATTTAAACATCTATACTAATATTTATAAAAAGTATTTATTACATTAACCTACTCACTCAAAATTGTTCACCGATACATTTTAAAATAAAGAAGATACATACAGTAAACACATTACACCAACAATAAAAAAAATTATACAAAAATACTATTTATTTCTGCAAAACATATTCGTAAGCTGAAATACCAAAATTCTTTATATTTTAGAATTTGTAAAAAAAGAATATGGCACTTCCATAAAGCTGTCTTGTCGATAAACTAAAAATTTAAACAAACTCCAAGATTAATAAACATAACTAGGGGTTAAAACTACCATTATAGTTATTGGGTAACAAGTAAATTATTTCAATATTAAGACCTACAAGATTTTAATGTCTTTTTATCAGCCTCTTTTTTTGTCTTATATAATTATCTATACTTATAGGAAATATATGCGAAGTAGAGTAGAATTTTAAAATCCCTATTACTTCATAACCATTTTAAACATTCTCCATTAGAGAGTGAAAGCCACTTCATACACTAGGAGTACCTAGTGTATGAAGATAGAAAAATTTGAATTTTTAGTAAAAAATTCAACTCTATTTAAAAAATCGTCATCATTCAATCAAAATTATTCTATTTCAACTTGTGCAAAATTTTATATTTCTACCGCATTTTATGTTTTTACTTATAATAAAGGGTCATTTGAAGACCAGTCATTCATGACCTGACCTGTCATTCACGCATATTGTTATCTAATGGAATACATACTCCATTCTAGAAGAGCACATGCCCCTATATAATAGAGGATGCCAATGATGATTACTGAAACAATATTCACAAAATTATTAATAATTACTAGGAAATATTTTCTTCGACAACAGTGGATTAACTGTCGCGTATGGAAATTTGGATAAAGTGTTAAAATATAAAAGAGAAAATTGACATAACATGAAAAGTTTGAAACTAGGAAACAAGGCAGGAGGGTTGGCCATGGGGCGCGGCCGCGCCCTGCAGCACGCTGTTGACGACGGCGCGCGCCAGGTAGCCCACCGTCACGGCGACCGGCGCTGCGCTCAACGCCTCCTCCTCCTCCTCCGCACCACCCGCACTCCCCCTGTCCTGCGATACCACACAACATGCATATTGTATACACCACACCTACTAGACGGAAGGGATGTACTGTCACTATGAAACGGAAACATACTGATTAAGATATCAACACCAGGTTATCGGCGCGAGAGGTGTCCACATTGACGACGCACCCCCATGCACTCTTTCGACACAGATCTGTATAACATCGGCGTCCAGTAATAATCCACTAATATTAAAAATTAATGCATTTCTTCTCGTTTCATATATATATTATATATGAATTTAATATTACCACATACCGATATTGTTTATTTAATTCATTACGGATTTTGGTCTAAAATACAGTATTATGATTGTTACAAATTCCTACTAATATTATAAATGTGAAAGTGTGTTTGTTATCTCTTAACGTAATATATTACGTATTTTAATCAATCTACATAAAATTTGTACACGAACTATACGGGATGGAGAAGGGAATGGGCTACTTTTTATTGCGGTCAATCGATTACCTTGGCGTAGGTGTGGTGCGCGTCGTCCAGCAGGCGGTCGAGGTCGAGCGCGTGCTGCAGGTAGAGCTCGGGGTTGCGGCGCAGGATGGTGGCCAGCACGCACAGCAGCTCCACGCACAGCTGGCGCCGCGCCGGCCGCGCCACGCGCACCAGCGCCTCCTCCACCAGCAGCGCGAACGACAGCTCCGACCGCGACATGTTCACCAGCGTCGGCTGCGCGGGGATCCACTGCCCCTGTACCATGCACCACGGACGCTATGCTCACTATGTGCTAAATCAAACACACAGGTCATAACCGCGACAAAACAATCTCCCACCCTTGCACCAATCAAACCCAACCGTGAGAAAAGTGCAATAAGCCAGCTAACTGGATTATCAAAGTGAGTTAACTGGCCAGACTTCATCTTCACTAGTTATCCTTCGGTGCCCCGCTAGCATAAATATCGCAAGCACAGTTACCATTTCATTTACGTCCATTAAAAAAAATTTGATTGTGTTCCACTAAAAAAACGACTTCAACGTGACAATATAAATTATTTCGATTTAAAAAATCTAGTTATTTTTATTTAAAAACTAAACTACTACACAGATTACAATAAAATGTTTATGGGACCAATCTGAAAGCATATAGTACATAGAGGGAATATGTACTTTGTATTATTTATAACAATTTACTTACATGAATAATAATCCCTTTAGGCGTTCGTAATAATATATCCCACACTTGTATATAGAAATGTTTCGGCACACGACATAGGCATCCCTCCAGTTGCCGACGTTGTAGTGGTGTCAATCTATAAAACAAAAAACTTACTATTGCAAAAAAATGAAAACAAACCATAATCCTCACATTATACTCTGTTATGTTCATGGTACTGTTCATTTCTACGACGGTTACCACATTCCATCAAGTGGGCCGTCAGTTTGTTTGCCATTTTAAGTTGCATAAAAAAAAATTGTTAAGCTACCATCCACAAAATTAAGGTGCGAGTTAAAATCCCGCACACTTTGATATTTTTCAGTCACTTAATAATTAATAACAAAGAATATGACTTTCATGCTTCAATAATATTCATATAACAATTTGCAACTAGTAAATTTCCAAGTGTCTAATCAAAATATATGTTACACATAATCCACTTCAACAAATTTTTATACAAGTATAATTCTCGTGAAATGTTTTAATTTTTTTTTACTTTATTTTCTATCTGATGGACCTTTCTATACGTTTATAAGGCCTTATCACAATTAGGTAGTATGAGACATTTGAGAAGTGAACAAGCGTACCCGCGCTCGTCGGCCCAGTCGGGCACGCTGAGCACGCGCTGCAGCAGCGCGCGCAGCGTGTAGGGCGACAGGCTCTCCAGCGAGTCGGCGGCGCGGCGCTCGCGCGGGAACAGCTGCATGTAGATGCGGATCGCCTCCAGCACCCAGCCCACGCGGATCTTGAGGATGCCGCGGAACATGTCCGGGTTCGTGCCGATTAGTCGCCCGCAGTACAGCACCACCTCCTGGTAGTCAGTGGCGTCACATTCAGATATAGATCACGGGCGCCGCCTGGATTACTTTCCAAGGAGATCTAGCTGCATTTACTATTCTATATGAACTAATAAAATATAAATTATAAATGAATGTTTTTAAGCAAACTTGAACAGCAACCTAAATACCGTAAGTTTTTATTCAAACAGTAATTTAATAAAAAAATCACATCTTTTGTATGTTTATTCTTTTCCTAACGGGGGTGCAAGTACACCTCTTTGCATGCTGTTGCTATAGATATATCTATTTGATTTCCTTTTCAAAATGGATAAATTGTTTTATAGAATACGTCCTGTCTGTATCTGTTATCCTGGCAACCATTCTTGTTCTAGATAAGATTGTTAACAGCGCTTGCATACCTCTCTTGCTTCGTGTCGTTTCAACGCTCAACTTATATAACATTAAAATAAGTCGTTGCTAGCGTAAACACACCTATACTATAATATATAGTATAATGACATTTCAATTCTATTGATGCATATATATACGTATATGTATACATATGATAGCATTGATACATAAAATCCCGTGACCCCGATACCACTCAACCTATTTTAATAAAATTTTGTAAATGCGTATTGTTTACTGCCTTTTTTAAGGATAACTTTTATTCCATTACTCTAATGATATGATAACAGTGATGAGAGACATGGATGACATATAGCAGTATAAAGCAGAGGTTAATAGTAGATCTCTTTTTGAATTCCCATGTATAACGCCTAGGGGGAAAGAAATTGTTAATAATGAGGACAATCAGTCACATTGTTAGCAATATACCCTGTCAGGTCGACCTCCACATGGACCTCCCTGGAAACCATCGTGCTGAATTTCAGATGTATTCATCACAGTAGGCTAACTGATCTGCCTTTTCATCCTCGCCTATCATCCCTCACTGATGCCCCGCCAGCATATACCGACAGCGCAGGAGGGGTTATCATTCCATTATCATCCATTGAAAAAAATAAATACCTACTGCCTACAAGCAAGCGTCATAGATAATGGAAAATAAAACAAAAATAATTTCTAATACCTGTTGAAGTACGGCTCCGATAACATCGTACGGCTGGATGGTGGAATACATGACCGACTGTATCTCTCCGGGTGTCATGGGTTTGTCGAACACAGTCTCCTTTTGTCCGATCACGCCCACCATTAACTAAACATATGAAACGAAGTAGATGTGAACTTGCATGTTTCATCATAAATTCGACGATTCGATTTGAAGGGATTGTTAGTAATGGAGACTAAGAATCCCATTGCTAGCAATATAATATAGCCAGGTCGATCTCCTCGCGGTTCTCCCTGGAAACTATCATGGTAAATTCCTTGTGAATTCATCATGATGGGCTAACTGGCCTGTTTTCATCCCCATCGATTATCCTTCACTGGTGCCCCGCCAGCGTATCCCGTTAACGCAGGCGGGGTTACCATTCCATTTTCATCCAATAAAAAAAAAAACAGCAACAGCCGACAAGTGACGCAACATTACAATTGCGACCATGTTTTTTTTTTCTAAAAGCCGAGTAGTTGTATAGCTATGCTGTACAACTACTCGGCTATTATATAAAAACAAAAATGCTTGCCTGTTTCCCGTTGACTAGGACGGTGGTGATGAAGGGGCTGATGGAGTCGACGGTGTGGTTGAGCAGCGAGGAGCAGTAGCGCACGGCGCGCCAGTGCCGCAGCTCGCCCGCCGACTGGTACAGGCTCTTCAGCGACTCCAGTACGCTCACGCCGTTCACCTGCAACACCTCACTCCGTACATACAAGTATAAGCGCGCGCTCCTTTATTTTACACTGTAATTTTATCTGACACCATCATATCAGCCTCTATCTGTCCACTGCTGAACATAAGACTCCTTCTTGGGAGGTTTTGTTAGTAATTGCCACGCTTGGCAGGCGCATTGGCAATCGCAGTTAGGCTTTGGAGATGTTTTAAGAGGAACGCAGCTGCCTATCTCTCGCCCTCCCTTAGTCGCCTCTTACGACATCCACGGGAATGAAAGGGGTGTCCTATTCTATGCCGAGACTACACGGGACTACTATCTGTACAAAGCAATAAATATCAGAGTCTAAAGATGCTGTTATTGAAAACACCATAAGGCTTAAACAGTAATAAATAACCGCGTACATACATAGTGACCAAGTTTAACAAAATAACCTTAAACAAAAAATTGCTGTTTATAGAATAGTGTCCGCAAAGTTTGGCTATTTACCTCATTTAAGCAATACATTAACGTATAATATAAAGTATGAGATTAATTTTAGTATAAAAAAGTATGCAATGCGACGTCGCCGAACTTGTGTTTTGAAGACCTACGCATGCACTACCGAACGGACGACAGAAAATCGTTCGTTACGCCGACGTAGCGCCGCGAAATGCGAGCGGACAGTAGATTGGCAACACCGCATTGCATCGATGGTCGCGTTGGCGGTGGGCACGCACCTCGTACATGGGCCCCTCGCGCTCGAGCAGCAGGCCGAGCAGCTGCGCGCGCGCATACAGCCCGTGCGCGTTGCGCAGCGCGTGCAGCGCGTCGGCGGTGGGCCGCCCGCGCAGCGCCGCGTAGCACGTCTCCTCCTCGCGATACGTCAGCGTGCGTGGCACGTCCGTCAACGACTGCGCACAGAATTCACAGTACACTATACTAGCACGCTAGCACGCCGTCACACGGGGAAAAAGGATTGTTCTATTGATCGGGTCTAGCAGCCCGGTAGCTAGCGATACGACCAAATAGTTCTCCCTACAAACTATTGTGGTTAATTCTTGGTGACTTAGTCACGGTATGCTAACTCGACTCCATCCTCACCTATCATTTTTTACTTTTTCTTTAGCACCCCACCATAGTTTACCAATAGAGCAGATGGAGTTATGATTTCATTATCATCCATTAAAAAGAAATACATACTATCACTTTTCGTTACAAATATGCAAGTGTAATTGCATGTCTCCTGTCAATTTTTATAAATAAACAATTTTCAATACTTTTGAATGATGATTTTTTTGTAGTCTTAAACATTTATCAAATTTAATTGCACATCTATTGAAGGGGAGGAGCGGACACTTGGATCACAGATATCCTAACAAATTCTAACAAACGCGTGACGATGTTAGTATATGTTAAATTTTGTATCGTGACTTACTACAAAGATGTCTGAATGCCTTTTCTTATTAGGTACGTACATAAAATACGCAGACAATAGTTTATTACATATTATAAGTATAAGGAACTATGAAAGTACCTAAGAAAATGGAATATTATCACTAAAATACCCGTACCTGGTATCCGATGTACTCGTGCTCCAGCTGTCGAAACTGCGTGAATATCGCCGACGGGAACTCACCCTGGCTCATGAAGTCCAAGTGCTCTGTGCAAACAAATAACACTTCCGTAATGTCCGTGATAGTCGCTCAAAATATCTACTCAATGCCTATGGACAAAGTAATATGTCACTTATAGAAAAATTTAAAAAAAGATTAGCATAAGCTTTCGAATCATGCCATAATTATAATAATAATTAATACAATTGTAGCTACAAAATATTAAAATTGGTCAAAATTATTCCAATAATCCTAATAAATTTATATCAGAAGCACGATTTCCATTTTTTTAAGCAATATCAAATAAGAAAAGATGTTCAATTTGACTGTATTTTTTGTGTATCTTTTAAGTAACTTTTTTAACGTATATTTCCCATAATAACGTTTATCAGATTTGAACCATCTAATTTTATCACAATTGTAGTCTTTTTTTTTAGTATAAAATTTTAATAAAGTGCAAATATATCCTACCCAAGACAGGTAAAACATTACATAAATTTTCAAGTAATATTTTTAATTATACCCCATTCCAAAATTTAAATAGCGTATTTACCTATTTCACAAATTACCATAGTGTAAAATAATAGAAAGAGATGACGACAGCCTTAGATATGCGATAAAGATTTTTTTTAATGCGTTAAAATGGTATGGTAACTCGGTCTGCGTATGCGGCTATGGTATTTCTATATTTTTATTATGCACCGTAACTGGATTTAACTTATATAAAACTACACTGAGGGAATAAATAAAAAAAAAACGCCCCTCTTCCGATAATAATAATAATAATAATACACTTAGAGAATGTGTTAATTTTTTTCCTAGGTTTTTATTACAAATTTTAATTTTATGTTTCTACTAATTACTAACCCATACACGAGCTGGAAATCAAGTTTTGGAGCCGTCCGAGGCGGACCTTGACTCCGTCGCAATGCCCCTTCTTAAGCATCGCGAACAAATCCAACATTTGCTTAAAGTGAGGATCGCGCATATGTTCTTCTCGCACCAACAAGCACACAGTCGGACGTCCAGACAAACGCCAATATCTAAAACAAGTATGCTACTTGAGACACTGTCGCTATTATACACTTACAAGCGAAATTAAGACGTTTGGATGTTTGTTACTGAAAACTTAATGAATCAAAGGGATTTAAATTAAAATTAGAACATAAAATATAAACTTTCTATGCATAGTTTTAGTGATAAATCAGTCAACATTTTAAATCCGTTTCAATAACTAATTTTGCAATATACGAGGATATAAGAATATATCAGCTAAGAGGGATAAAATTAACGGACATTAACCAATATCCATACGGTCAAGGTAACTATTTCGATTGGTATATTGAAATATTAGCGTGACTTCCTTTAATCGCGTATCGGTTTTGGAAGATGTTTTTTTTTTATTTATGGATGGATGGATTACTGTGATGATGAAAATTACTGCGATCTTTAGGATTTCATAAATAGACACAGAATATCTAGGATTCAATATTATATTATTTGAATAAATAGCTACTTAATAATACTGAAAATCTTACTTTCCGACAAATTGTAGCTCAGTCTTTATATCGTCGATTAATAACGCCATGTCCCTATATAGGTAGAATTCTGACACCTCGAATATAAGAGGGTAGCAAAGCACCGTCATACCGCACACTCTGTATATCTGAAAGTTATATAAAATCAATTTGAAAAGGAAATTAAATATTAATCAATATATGACATAACTATAATTACATCTTACTTTACTGGTGCCAAGCGATCCAACAGGTCGTATCGGACGACCTGTGAGCTTCAACTTAGGACAAACGCCTAATTCTCTGTAAACATGAACTAGTTGTGTAGAGCTGCAAACCTAAAACAATTACATATGATAATGATAAAATGTTTACATGAGTAATAACTTTAAATTTTATAAGGTAACATACTGCAAAAAGAGCATTTTTTAAATTTCATAAATTTATTATGCCTCCATACAACTATGACTAGGTCTTGTGATTTACTATCCAGACTCTAGTGATATCAAACACCTTTTAAAATTGGCCAGCATCAAAACATTGTCTATACGTACATATTTTATATGTATATATTTAGAGAATAATGAGCAAATATATTACAGTCACCACAACAGCAACACAAAATACTTAAATCCAACTTTATACAGTCATGAGCGTTAATTCATTAGCATTAGTTCATATATTGTCTCGTTACTCACCTGGACTGGTTCAACCTCGTGGGGAGTCTGCGTTTGTATGCCATACGTGCCCATCATAGCTTGGAGCCGCATCGACTCCGCTATCAGTACTACTTGCACCACCAAATCTGTCGCTATACCCTGCGTCCGCACATGCAAACAATACTCATCATCAAATATTCAAGCATAGTATTACATTAATCACGGAACAACATCTATACATTTCCTAAATTCCCCGATTTAGGCATTTTAAACGCGAATGGACAAAACTACTTACACTAAAATATACAATACAAAAAATTTATTGTAAAAAAAATGTATAATAAGACATAGTTTTCTTGAACCAGCGGAAATTTTCCATTTATTTGATATACATATATTAAATAAATGGAATTTAAAACTCAATTTTTTTTTTGTATATCTGTAATTTTTCTCGTCAAAAATAACAAATACCTAAATCAAACAGCCAAACCTAGTTTCGCATCAGATACTTTTCATGAAGGACAAAGGGCCTCGTAAAGACCTTTCGTCCGGAGCATCGCAACGGTTAAGGCCGCCGCTGCATAATATTCTTACGGATCAGTGTAACTCGCCAATGCAGAAAACTTTTTACCAGAGGGAAACTTTGTACAAAAGTCGATTGCTTGGGTACCTCTGTCTCATTCGTGTTTCTACCGTGAAGTAGTTGTGTTTGCATGGCTATGTTTCGGTTTGAAGGGTGGGATATGGCGTGAATTTACAGGGTACAGAGGAATAATATCCGAGTCCTAGTCCGAGTATGGCAACGCATGGGGGGTAACATGGGCGAAACAGTATACTTTGTGTCCATGGTACTGCTCATGTCTATAGGCGACGGTTACCACTTTCCATCAGGTGGGCCGTCAGTTTGTTTGCCATTCTAAGTTGTATAAAAAAAAAAGATATCGATATTAGATTCAAGAATAAACCTGCAGTAATTTTAAAATTTTTAATATGTCACACATCGTACAAACACACTAAAAGAGATTAGTTTATATCAACGAGCACATATTAGTGATTAATTTATCAATAGTAAGTACCATATTAATTTATTATTGTAAATATTAGCTAGCACCTAGACAAGAGGCGTATTATAAAACATAACATATAGAATATCAAATAAACAACAAAATAAACAGGTCCAACTTGCTTAATAAATTATTTTCATTCAGTTTATTGTTTATCATCTTATAAATTAGATAATTAAATTAAAAATATATTTAAGCCAATTAATTAAGCCTTATCTAGATTTAGATTTACTAAATCTAGGTAATGGGCTGAAATAGTACATGCATTAGCGAGACTCGATTTATATATATGCCTGTTTATAACTACACGAGTATCATGCTGTGAATGTGGCCTCATTAAGCTCCAATACTTACAAATGTCGGCTTGGCCTGCAATTGTGCGTGGAAATAAAATAATAGTTGAATGTACTTATTAGTTCCATACTCATATTATAATATTATACTTAAGAGTGTTCATACCAAAGTTAGCATTATGTATTTATTTTCAGAAATTGGATACCAATAAGTGATGATGAAGTAAAGTCAGTTATACTGACGAATTCACCAAGAATTAACTACGACGGTTTCAGAGTACATATATTACTGGCAATCAGTAGTCACAGTTACTAATAACCATTTCAGGGAGGGAAGAGATTGTTAGTAATGCGAACCCCTAGTCCTATTGCTAGCTATATACCCTGTCAGGTCGACCTCCACGTGGCCCCCCCTAGAAACCATCGTGCTGAATTCCGGGTGAATTCATCACAATGATCTAACTGACCTGCCTTTTCATTCTTAGCTATCACCCCTCACTGGTGCCCCGTCAGCGTATACCGTTAGCACAGGCGGGGTTACCATTTCATTAACATCCATTAAAAAAATAACCCCTTAACCCCACGCAGAGAGGGGGGAAAGGGATTGTTAGCAATGGAGTTTGACAAGTTAGCAATATGCCCTATTAGATCGACCTCCACGTGGTTCCCCCTGGAAACCATCGTGAACAATTCTTGTTGAATTCGTCACGACGGGCTAACTGACCTACTTCACCCTCATTTATCATCCTTCACTGGTGCCCCGCCAGTGTATACCGATAGCGCGGGTGGGGTTACCATTCCATTTTCATCCATGAAAAAAAAACCCCACGCAGAAGTGGTATGTTAGTAAATTCATCTATTTAAACACCTGAAAGGCGGAGTATCTGCCGGCGCGGCGCGGGCGGTTGTAGGACGGTAGGTAGCGGCGTATAGGGTCTAGCTCGTTGACATGCAGCAGACCGCCTGTCAGCAGCTGCGCCAGCACAAACAGCGACTGCGCCCACAGGAACAGTCCACCTGTGTCTGCACACATTGCCGCCATCCATTTATAACTTTACTGATGTCTGATATTAAAAAAAAAATTATTTAATCCTCCACCTTGTGGTTGCGGGCATTTTAAAAAGATTACAATATTAATTATTACAATACTGGATAGCGTATATTTATTTATTTATATACCTATAGTAATACCTATATCCAGAATAATACACTATAAGAACACTTTTAAATTGTCATTAATAAATATGTGAAATTATTCAGTTATGCTTAGATTTTGACAAACAATACAAAAGTAAGTAATATCACGCTATAAACGCTGGTAATAGCTTAATTATTTCTACAGTATTGCAACAAATGCTTATTATAGATTATGGAATACTAGCTGTATCTCGCAGCATCGCCAGTCTGAACCAGTATATAATCCTGTAGAGTGTACAGATATCCTAACTCAGCCCAGTTAGGATATAACTTACCTGTGTGCCAAATTTGATTCTAATCTGTTCAGTAGTTTTTGAGTGAAAGAGTAACAACCATCTATCCAACCATCCTTTAATATATTTTTTTTATACAACTTAGAATGGCAAACAAGCTGACGGCCCACCTGATGGAAAGTGGTAGGTCGCCTATAAAGATCAGTACCATGGACATAACAGATGTACTGTTTCGCCCATGATACCATGGATTCAGGACTAACATGGACATACTGCTTCACGGTTGAAACACAAATGGGACAGAGGTAACCAAGCAATCGACTTTTGTACAAAGTACAAGCAAAGTACAAGATAATTGTGTTCTGCAAAAGAAATCCCACTTCAACAGTGGTATTTATTTATTAAACACAAAAAATATACAACACGAGTGCATTGGACCCCGTACTAGACGAACCTGTACCGCGCGAGTGCATAAGGGATTACCAAAATAATGTTTTACAAATATAGATCAGTGAGCCAATTTTACGGAAACAAACATGATAGAACTGACGGAGTTATGAGGTAACAAACAAAAAAAAAAAAAGAAAAAACTACAACTGAGAACCTACTTCTTTTTAAAGTTGATTGAGAAAGATAAAAACGGTACAGTTATGGTGTGAATTTTACAAGAGGGTAAATTTATTGATTGCTCCGATTCTAATTGCCATCACACATTTGCAATAATACAGTCATGCTCCTATATAGAGTCACGTTCAGAAATTAAAAGAATCATGCAAAAATAATCATTGATTATAATTCCATTATTATTAAGATTTTTTTAAATAGTTAATATTATACTTTCGCATTGTTTTCACATATTTTAAACATTCGGGACTTAACGCGACTCAAATAAAAGTTTTTTTTTACATGATAACTACCATTTTTATACACTATTATATGCAAATGTATTTAAGATTTTATAAAACTTACATTAAGTTAATAATTAGATAGAAAACATGATAGAAAATAAATATTTTTAACAAGAGACTATTCTTAAATTACAATTAGAACATTATAATTTAAAATAAAAAGCAAGCAATTACAAAAAAAATGCTAAAAATATTTCAAGACTCTAAAATTAAGCAATAGAAAGTATTTAGAACGTTAGCATATTGAAAATAGATGTGCGCTACAAAGAGAAAGCAGTGTGTCAATCTAAATACCGCCAACGGTATTGTATCTACAGTATTACCTTTATTTTCATGGTCAACCGGATAATCTGTAATTGTTGTGAATTTATAAGATTTCTTACATAACATTAAAATTGTAATATTTTATTATGTCCTCTACAAATATTTAAAAACATTTTTAAGGAAACATTCCTCAATTCATTACCAATATCCAGTAAAACAATTAATTATTTTAATTTTATTATAAGTTACTGAAATATAAGTAACTGTCATTACTTACTGGCTGGTATCCTCCGTACTGAGTTTGGTTCACTCCGTTCATTTTCTATATATTCGCGTGGCACATAATAATACCAGGGTATCACTGGATCTGGAACATGTATATTAATAAAACAAAATTTTAAGCAATAAAATTAACAAGGCATTAACCCAAATTAATAGATTACGAATGCTTATACAAACCTCCATATTCATCCATGTAAATTCTAGCCTTCAATAATTTCTGGTACTCTTCTACCTGATCTGGTAGAGTACGAAAAACACCGTCTATAATCATAATAACATAGAACAGTGGCCACTCTGACTCGATGCCTTCAAATTCTTTTAATTCCCCTTCATGATAGTACCTCCTGCCGGGATCCTCGAGTACACATTTGTAACCATCGCGACTGAACCTCTTGAAGCCATATTTTCCCTGTAAACGCCGTAATACATTGGCCTTGGTCAGCTGTACCAAATGTTCCTCGTGCGTCGCAAAGGCAGGAAAAGATATTGTTGGCAATAGTGCAGCATCGACACCCTACAATAAAAATATATAAAAGATAATTAAAACAATAAAAATATTCAATGCAAATACAGTCAGCACCAAAACCAGTTTAAAGCCAATATAAAAAATAAATCAAAGTCAATATTATTAATCAATTATAACTTCTTAAAATTAAATTCAATTTTTTTTAGAATTGAATATTTTCTACATTGAAAAATATTCTGATTTCATGTTCACACACATTCACACACACAGACAACCATGTTCACATATATTCCGATTTCATGGTATTTGCAAGTATATAGTCAATGATTAACTATTATTCAGTGTTACCACAGATTTAAACATATAAAATGATCAGATATACATACAATATGAATATTTATTTTATGACGGTTGATTACCTTAGAACTTGACTCTCTTGGTAGCATAGTTTCAAAAATACTCCTGTTACGGTTATGTGCATCTATATCGACATACACTACACTCCATGATGCCCCTTTATCGCCAAATAAATTGCATCCATTAATGGCTTCTAAAGCTGCCTTTGCCATGCCTGTGTGATATAGTCAAGAACATTTTTATATCAAATGAAATTATATTCAAAACATCGTTTAAGGGCTAGCTCATTTCGAATATTTAAAATCATGATATACAGGGGGAAAAGGATTGTTAGTAATGAAGACTGAGAATCCCATTGCTAGCAATATACCCAACCAGGTCGACCTCCTCGCGGTTTCCCCTGGAAACTGTCATGGTTAATTCCTGATGAATTCATCATGATGGGCTAACTGGCCTGTTTTCATTCTCATCTATCACCCTTCACTGGAGCTCCGCCGGCGTATCCTGTTGGCGAGGGCGGGGTTGCTATTTCATTTTCACTCATCAAAATAAAAATCATGATATACATACATAATGTAGAATTAATTACCTACAATTAAATTAAATTCACTACATTTTAATTCTAATGTCCACTGGTCCAACTTTCATTTATACGTTATGTACTTATATGTTATTAATTGAATGATTTTTTCAGATGCAGCTAAAGAGCTAGATTAAAAATTAAAAAGTTTAATGTATAACATACCAATAGAAGATGCATGAATCTCTGGTTTGCCATCATTATACTTAGAGCCTCTCTCCCACATACCATAGTCTGGAGTTCTATATGCACGTTCCACATAGTACACCAAATTTTGTACAAAGGCTACTTCATCCTGTAAAGAATGTCAAATTGAAAGTCCAAGTTAAAAGATAGTCATTATTTATTTATATTATCCATTATGTTAATAATGTGTAGTTCGAAATACTTTGAAAAATATTGCGTGATCAAGTTTGACAAGTTGTGGTGGATAAAACTCATAAAAGTGAGTCTGTTTTATAGGTATAGTATCTACCATTAGGTGATTTTATTGTTGCAGTCTTAGTGGTTTTTTTTATAGATGAAAATGGAATGGTAATCCCGCCCGCGCTATCGGTATACATCGACGAGGCACCAGTGGAAGATGATAGGTGAGAATGAATGTGGTCAGTTGGCCCACCATGATGAATTCGACAAGAATTAACCATGATGGTTTCCAGGGGGTACCGCGTGGAGATCGACCTGAGAAGGTCAATTGCTAGCAACGGGGCTATTAGACCTCATTACTAACAATCCCTTTCCCCCTAGTCTTAGTGGTTATCTGAAGCCAGGCTCCTAAGAGGATAAGCATAAAGGTGAAACTGACCTCTATTCATACATTAAATATACTTTCATAAATTACATAGTTTTTATCGGACGATCGCAACGCGCCTCATTGAGATTACTCGTGACCCAAGAGCTGGTAAATACTTTGCGGAAAAGATGAGTTTGGCAATCCAAAAATGGCATTGCGAGACTATAACTAGTTATTAGTATTATTATTTAAAAAATTTTATAAATTTAAATTATTGTGTGATGAATTTATATGATTAAAAATAATTTTTATCACAACCTACAGTTCCTCAAAGGTTCCAATTTGCCAGTTTTGGAACCTTTTGATTTCCCAAATGACTATTTAGGATTATTATTTGATTTATCTGATATGTATATACACACTAAAATAAATAAAATAAGGATATAATAACCCCATTCTATAGTATATAAATTACCTGTGTATATATAATCTGTAGTCCAGATGTTATCATCTGCACAAGAAAAATTAGATAGAGTGAAACCACATCAATCTGCAAGTGATGGTACTGTTCGTCTGTCAGTACAGGCTCGCCTGTAGTGAGATGGAACTTGACATGAAGCGCATGGGCTGCACTTTGACGAGTCTTGAAAGCCTCCACGCGCGCTGACTGCTTTACCCAGCATTCGAGGATGCCACGCATGCACTTAACAGTACTCTGTCCCAGTTCATGTGACTTGCCCCTATCATCATCTATACGCCTGCATATTTAGGCAAATTAAAGAAATATACATGTAACTTTATAGCAAATATTAGTAATTATACAAAATATGACTGCATTCTGTTACTGCAATCTCAACAAACTTGAAATTTTTTGAAAATTTAATCATGTAACAATCTTAGCTAATAAAATTATAAATTTACCTATATGCTTGATAGAGACCCCATACTGCCACTGCACAATATATACTATCTCTTACACTGCCAATGTGAAGATCAGAAGACAGCATTGGAAAAAGTCCTGTAATTGGACTCTGGAACCTCAGCAATTGTCTTTTTACTGTAACAAAACACTTGGAATTAATGTATTTTACACATATACCATAGTCAGTTAAATTCATTCATAAAAATTTATCTAATTAATCCAATTAAACAAACCTAACGTAGCAATTTTATTAATGGTCAGATAACTTCAATTGTTTCATTTTGTGCATTTACTTGCCTTTATGATAGGCACCTTTAATTTCTAATGTTGATAGTGTAAATAAGTAATCTTAATTTTTATTTATATATGAAAAAATACAAACCAATAGCATAGTAAATATCCAATTGTCTAACTGTATCTTCATAGTTTGAAATCTTTAGGCACTGGTGAGCATTGACATCATCAATGCTGCCATGTCGAATCATTTTATCAGCAGATGTCTAGAAATGACAATATACGAATTATTTTCATATAAAAAAAATAGATATCAAATATCTCTCCACATCCTAAAGGTTGACTAGTAAATGCCTGTAGCATTAAGTCCGCCTGTTGTACCACATTTTATTGGTCAATAAAGTTTAAATTAATAAACAATATATGATATCTGCCTATAACATTACAAAATGACGAAAAGAACATTAATAGGTATATTCTATACACAATCAGCATATTATATTATTATTAAAATACATAAGAAGTCACAGCAAAACTTCATAGCCTAAAAAAATTTATTTTGCTGTTGATGATATTATCTATAAAAAGACACTTTTACTTTCAAATTCAATATCAATTTATGGTCAAATAATCTCTCAAATCTGTGATCAGTTATGTAAAAATCTTGCATATCATGTCTCTCTACCTCAATACACCATACTTGCTTCATGTTTATGGTAACAATTAAATATTTAAAAATAATATATATATATATGTATAATATTTTATATAGTATTTTAATCAAGAATGACTTACAAACTGCTTTTTCTGTATCTTATTAACATAGTAAATTATATCTAGACTACATTAGTACATGAGAGATAACAAAGAAAAATTTATAATGTAATTTAGACAAATAGTAAAACACTGTGTTTTTGTAGTTAAGACCGTGAGATTCATATCAAAGTTTTCGGAATACAATTATAGTAATTCCTTGTTCTTAGATTTATATAGATTTAGATATAAAAATTAAAACTAAACATGACACATGGGTACCAAACTTTTTTGTTATGAAGTCAAGAAACAATAAACTCGAGTAATATTTTTACTACAATGTAAAATTAGGGAATTGATAGGTCTAAAAAGTAGAGAAATACCCAATTATTTTATTTTATTACAAAATCACGAAATAACTGAATTACTTACGTTCACACTCCGTCCGTATTCATTTAAAAGTTAAATGTTCATTAAAATAATAAAAATAAAAATGAAATTATAAATTGAAAGATGTTTCCAATGTTGCCTGATATGATTTTTTATTTTTAAACAAATGTCAAATATTTTTTCTTCAAATACGTAAGCAAAATCTACACAAAATTGCGTTATTTTTCTCTACGTTTGCCAAGGGATTGTATACATTACACAACGCTTTAATAAACCTAATGAAGCCTAATTTCTTCATATCATGTTTCTACCTTCAGAACAGTATTATACTACCTTCACTGGTATATTCTATGAATTTATAAACTATTATGCGGTTTACAAATACCAAGACTGTTGTAAAACTTGCCCAGATTTCTTCGTGCTTAATTTATTATTACGTAAAAATTTCTCCAATAATTTCACTTTTCCAAAATTTTATAAACAAAAATATTTTACCCTAAATTGCAAAAATATCCAACCTGGCAATGCTATTCTGTATTTTGACGTTACTGTCACAAAGTAATTACTTTATTATTTCAGACTTGACACTTGACCTATATTTTATGAAACTGGAAAAAAGCTGTGCATACAAGTAAAAGTATCAACACTAAAATAAATGAATGTTCATGGTGTTATATTATTATTTATAATAGTGTGACCATGATATCCAAGATATCAACAAATACTTCACAGTAGATAATTTTCAAATTCAGTAATCTAGTTGCAAAAATTTCATACAAACATTGAAAGTACATAAAACTTTCTGTTATGCATTAGCGATATAAGTCACATATAATTTCAAACATTATGTGTTTGGTTTTATAATTAAAAATTACATATCAAACGGTACGCAAACACAAATAAATAATAGATATCTCTGGTTAGTCAACACAGCGACATATAAACAATTTAACGGAATACAACGATACCGATGAATCTTTATTGTATACAGTGTACACTAACGTATGTAGTCAATGAAGTTTACAGAAACGACGTCTCAGAATCGACTCCATTATTTTATTATAATAATTTATACAACGAACTTATTCGAAAAATTATTTGTGGTATATAAATATTTATTTTTAATATCAGTTATTTTGAAATTAAAAATATATAGAAGCTGTTATTTTAAATAGTTATTTATGATCCCTTACATCACGACTAATCGAAAACTGAGGCGTATAAAATTAAAGGCAGCTAAACGCCATAAAATCTTAAAATGAGTTAACTGTGGCGCCATCTAGTGTAATTAGTTAAACATGTTTCGGTATATTCAGTTTACTAACAAATGCAGCAAAATCTCTAGCAAATTCAGTTCAAAAACTAACATTAGTATCAAATACATGCCAACCACTAAGAATCATATATAGCTAAAAATTATGCCCGCCAATCAGAGATTTGGATCTTGGATTTAACTGTCTTTGATTTTATAGGCCTCAATTACAATGGTAACTCTTGCTAACAAGTTATTAAATTAATCGCTTTTTTTTACATTTCTGACTGTGCATTGTATTGTCTATTTTAGCAAATCCTTTTATACATGGTGATGGACGTGAAGTTTTACAGGAGACCAATATGTTATTTTATATTTCAATATTTTATTACGTATAATATTACAGAGATTATTTTAGTGACAAGACAAAAGTATTTATTTTTCTAATAAATTGAGCCGTGTACGATCTCTTTCTTACACATGGCATTGTCATTAACTGTCATGACATGGTATTTATTGTTGTTGATATGACAGTATTTGGCCTTGACTGGCAAAGCAGTCTGTTGTAATGTTTATTATTTTTTGGTGATTGCATACATTATTTTTCCAGTATCGTTAATATAGGAGCAGTGCTGGTTCTTAAATGACGTAATGATTTGATTACTTTTCCTTTACACATTTAAATTGTCAAATCAACAATCTAAAATTTTATTGTTTATTCCCTTATTATTCACCAATTTATTTTGATTTTACTAGTTTTCAATGAATCAGTAATCATTCAAGAACACTTTTCTATACCTGGTAATTGTTATTTAATCACTATTGTTTTCACGATTTATTATATGTATATAAATTATTAATTACCCGGATTATAGGTATTAATAATTGAAAAAAATATATTGTTAAATATTGCAACTTAAGGTATTATTGTCGATAGTAATGTAACATGTAGTGATTGTATTTTATCTAATTAGGATTATACAAGACTTTTATGCTCATTCTGCAGCCTTTTGCTTCTGCTATTGATAAAAATTGTATACATTTGCAGTTTTTTTTACAAGTGTGCAGTGTTTTTCTATTACTAAACAGGTGTCTAATTAAATATATATATTTTTATAGAAATGATTTTTTATTAATTTGTGTATTTAAATGTTTCAAATATTTTAAACTAGAAATAAAAGAATACCAAATTACCAAGCAAATAATGTAGTTTCGCCCGCCAACCTGTATCAACAGAATGAACAGTAATACTAATAACAATCATCAAGAAAATGACAATACCAGTTGCAGTGATAAAGCTCAGGTTACCTTGTTGAAACTACTTTGTGCCACTAATAATCTAACTCCACATTTTAATATGTTTGGCTGCACATTTAAATTCCATTTCATATTAACTATTTATTTTTATTAACTTTAATTAATACTAATATACTAAGGTGTATAATAATTAAAAGCAAAAATGTTTACCTATAATATATATTTTTTTACTTTTGTTTGTTTTGCTAAATGCTTATTAAAAAAATTGTTGCTGACATATGATACTAAACTCAGTCTCATATATTCATAACTGACTAATCTTTAGGACCTAATTTTCAAATTTATTATAAATTAAATATAAAATAAACATAATAATAAAAAATAAAGAATCTATAAAAATGAGATGTGTCTTTGACTACCATATCCTGGTAAATCCGAATGTACATTACATTGTACAAAATAAAGCTTGACATTCGACCGACTTAAAAGTCTTAAACACTCAGGAATTTGTCACAAAAAATAATCTAAATGTCAAATCTTTGTGGGCTAAAACCATATCAGATGTTGTGGATTATATTGCACATTGGGTGTACAGCCCAACATTTGAGAATGAAATAATTCATAGAGTTAGGTAAGTCCATTAAATAGCAAACTATTACTTACACATTCACAAGGCAAAATCTCTGAATTGTTATGCAAAAATATTTGAATATCAGTATTAAATGCCTACTATAAGTGTTCTACATATCTGGAACATTTTAAGTATTTGACATTCCACAATCTAAAACATGTTTTATTGTGGTACACTATCTAAAAGCCAAATTTTAGTGAGCTCTCTTATGTCAAAATGCTGAACTGGGGTCAACTGTTGTTTATAATTTTTTTATAGTCATTATATTTAGTAATTTTGACATGTTAAAATTGGTCATTTAAAATTAATACTATAAATAATATTAAACAATAATGAAAAACCTAACAAGACAATTTTTAGAAGACAATCTAATAAAGAATAATATTAATAAAGAATATTATTGTCCATTAAACTATTAGATATATTGTAGTTGAACTTAGCTTTTTTCAGTAACTCAACATATAAATATTAAATTTATGTTATACCATTGTTTCTTTTTGTGTTTGATATTTCCTATTTGCATATTAAATCTCTTAATGAATTTAATGTAAATTATGTATAATAAACATTTTACAATACAGTTTTATAATTCCTTTTTATTAATAAAAGTATCTCTTTTTACAGCTTGAACTATATAACTTAATTGGTGGGAGCTGGCCACCAGCACCCCGTGCACCTGAGCGACTTGAGTATGGGTCAGTCCCTAGAACTCATAATCGCACTATGCAGCATAATTCACCTAATGAACGAATAAAGTCTTTGAACTTGCTCGCTCATCTAGCTCCTGAACGACGTCGCAATAAGCCAACTGTATCCACATCAGCACCATTAACAGTCGGACAGAACTCTGGACAGAAGTCCAAAATGGTACAAGAACCTAAGAAAATTGGTACTTGCATCCTTGTTGGTAAGCTCTTGTTTCATTTAAAAAGTAGTGTCAGTTTTATTAAAATACTGTAAAGGCAGAACTTCTCAACCAGGGGCATGCTCCATGATCCGTCCAGGTTATATGTATAAAAATATGTTACTTGGTAATAATGAAGCTTTTTATAGGTGAAATCTGTTAAGTAATTTTTGAATTTATACATTATAGATAAACTGTCAAATCTTTCCTCTTCATAATATATACATCATTATTATTATAACGGTATAATGTAGCCTACACATGTGTTAAGTTAGGATAAGGCCATCTGTGTACCAAATTTCATTTTTGTTGTGAGGATAAAAATTAATAATTAATAAATATTTCACCCTGATTTCATGATAATAATAATGAATCAGAAAACAATTACTTTCTTATTTTTATTCTTTAATCAATGTAGAAAAGTATTTTTTACTTTAACTTTCATATCTTATTGATCACAATTAGGGGATGGATCATTATTTTTATGTAAGGATTTCAAAGAATCGTTTCTTATTACTTATATAACTCATGAAAGCAATCTACTGTTTAAATTGGGTATTTCTAGCTTTATTAGCTTTAATGTGCTATAATTTAAAGTTAGGATCCGTAAAAAAGATAACAACGAGGTACTTTGTTACACTAATTGAAAAAAATATATATATGTATTCATAAAATTACATTAGGTGTTCTGTACCTAGAACGACTGTATTGTTTGATGATAACGTTAATGCATTTCGTATTGCGAAAAACATCTAAAAAATGTAAACATTATATAAAACATAGATTATATCGTGCTTAATTTAAAAATTACCTATATAAATGTTGCTCTATTGTAATTACCATTTTTAAATAAATCCTGGATGATGCACAAATAATTCCACTGTTACGTTAAACAGAAAGTATTTTGTAAACAGATAATACGTTTCTAATACAAGATGGACGTCTCTGTACTGTACCTACACACTTACACATTTGTTTATAGGTTGTTCCATTTTATCTTTCCTAGTTTCTAAATTTAGTTGCCGGCATATGGGACGGTAGCCGGTCCGAAAGCTGGCAGCTCTGCATCGTGCGCGAACGCATCGTGCTGTTCGAAAATAATAATATTATGTCTTACGCGTATTTACAGGAGTTAGACCTCGACGAAGTACCGTTATGTGTTTTTGAGTTGGGACAAAGTATGTTTTCGATTCATAATATATGTATATGGAAAATCAGCATTTATCATTAAAAAATATTTTTTGTGCAGACGTCCGTAGTGACGATACGCCGTCGGAGGAGGTGTACGACACACCGGCACTGGGGTCCCCTCGAGCAGTCGCGCCAACATCGACATCTCCACTTCAATTACAAGAAGAAATTGGTGTTGGATCCTTAGTTGAAGTGGCAACGGATGTTGATCAACATTATTATGGAGTTGTCAGGTGGATTGGCATAGTTGATGGTAAGTATTTATTATAAAACGTGCAATTTGCATGATTATTGCTAGAGATAACTGTTTACTTAGTTTAAAAACTCTTAATTTTCTTAATACTGGCCCCAAATCGTAGCGACTTTGATCGCCAGCATGTTGCCAAAGTCGCTGCTAATGTCCACGCGTCTATTTGAAAGTTAACTGTGAGTAACCGGCTACAAAAGTCGCTTTTATATGGAACGACCGTAATTGCTATATAAATACTTACTCCCTTATTCATTAAAATGTCAAACCTCTCGTAAACGTATTTTAGTTATTGAACTATTTTGTCTCTTTCTATTACACTAAATTCCTAATTTGAAAGAAAGTGATAAAACAGTAAATGTTAGTTAAAGCAGATTTGTAGTTTTTAATTTTTATGAATAAGGTAGTTTAAATCTTGTTCACAAAAATTATGAACCAAATATAAACCCTTTACATCAATTTCCAATATATGTGTTACAATATATAATGTGTTTATACAATTCTTTATTTGTAAACGCATCAATCAACTATTCTATAGTAATTATAGTCACGAATATTGGTCTAAGTGATCAAATGTCTAAAATGGGGGGACATATTTGCAGATACTGCGACGGCGGGTGTTGAGTTGGAACAGAATGTCTCAGGATTAGGCGACGGTTCAAAAGGTGGGACACGCTTGTTTACATGTGCGCCCGGTCGCGCCCTCTTCGTACCGCTGCCCTTATGCCGACGCGATGCGCGATTCCGAGACACTCCGCCCCCAGATCGTGCCGACCTCCATGAGACGAATGACTTTGAGCAAGTAAGATTCCAATAGTTGCACGTTGAATAATTGTAGTAGGTTCAGGATTTTTATTGTTACTTACTGTCTTTTGTTTTACAGCCCGATTGTCCAGTAGTGCCGGGCGTTGTACCACCGCTGAGCTCACTGGGCGAACTGGCCGGCAAGAACCGCGGTATCCAGGGCCATCACAACTCGTGTTACCTGGACGCAACATTGTTTGCCATGTTTACTTTCACTAGCGTTTTCGATGCTTTACTTTATCGCCCGCCGGAGGCCGAGGTAAGAAAGTACAAAGATTTTTTACAGACTATTACGCTATTACAAGTAATTAGTTACACCATAAAAAATACTAATCTTGATAAAGCTCGCCTATTACACATTGAATTTGTATATGATTATAAGATGCTAAGCGAGATCTGAGTAAGTTGAAAGCAACATTCGCTACTATTGCAATAGTCGGATATTTATTTCGCGACTGCTCTCAAGTAATATCAGTTGGCATACCTGGGCTTACGTGTTTACATTAATTTATTTTCTACTTCTTTTGTCCTCTTATCAAATATTTAAGACATGTGCATCATGTTTATCGCATTTATTTACTCTGCGCCCTCATAGACTTCTTGATTTATAACTACCGTAATAGGGCCTATAATTGGTATACAACATTACATAACACTTAAAGCTTTTTAATAGTACTACAAATAAAGGTTAGAATATCTAATGTTATAAGAAACCAGATTATGACTATTTGGAGGACCAACTCAGACCACCTAGACTCAAGTCAATATAGATAAGTTTTTTCATAATTTGATTCGATTGAGAATAGAATTCTAGGTGTCATTACTCAACTTGCCTATGTTCCTCTGCGCATTATATCGTACTAATCTACGGTCGTTTTAGGAAAGTATTTAACATAAAAAGCATTGCCAACACTGGTATGCTATATGGATGGATATGGCCACTATAATGGATCATCACTATTGGTACATAAACGATTAAAAAAGGACTGTTGAGTTTCTTGCGGTTTCTGCTCAGTAGATAACAACGTAACGAGTTTATTTGAATAAATATTATTTCTATTCTTTATTGTATTACCATTATATTACATTATTGATCATATATGGTTTCACATACAAATTCGTGTTATGGTTTCAACATTACTGAATTAATCAGTCCATGAATCACTCGTAGTAGATACAGCAATGTCGCATATCATGTTCAGAGCGCATCGTCACCAATAAAATGGTGGCGATACGCTTACGATCACGGTGCAGCACGTTGTAGTGGACACAGTCGCCTATATACGACTGCGCTGGGGTGGTGGTCATAAGTGCAAGTAAGGATGGGTGTGAGGGGGCAGGACTCGCCGCACTACTCGGAGGTGCAGCGCGTGCTGCGCGAGGAGGTGGTGAACCCGCTGCGGCGGCACGGCTACGTGCGCGCCGACCGCGTCATGAAGCTGCGCACGCTGCTCGAGCGGCTCTCCGACGTGCCCGGACTCACCTCCGAGGAGAAGGTCGGTGTCGTACGTCCACTAACTATATTATCTATCTATCTATACTTATAATAAATCTATAGCGTGAATTTACTGGGTACAGAGGAATAACACCTGAGCCCTCAGGAATGGCAACGCATGGGGGTATCATGGGCGAAACAGTATACTCTGTTATGTCCATGGTACTGCTCATGTCTATAGGCGACAGTTACCACTTTCCATCAGGTGGGCCGTCAACTTGTTTGCCATTCGAAGTTGCGTAAAAAAAAGTGGTCTATTTAATTAATTTTTCTACTTTTGAAATCCACGCGTACAAAGTAGCTGGCATTTTTATGCGTGAAAATGGCATGGTTACCCCGCCTGCGCTATCAGTATATGCTAGCGGGGTACCAGTGAGCGGTGATAGGTGAGGATGAAAAGGCAGGTTAGTTAGCCCATTGTGACAAATTCAATGATAAATTAGTCTCGATAGTTTCCAGGGGGAACCGCGTGGAGGTCGACCTGATAGGGTATTTTGATAGCAATGGGGACTAAACAACACCTTTAATAACAATCCCTTCCCCCCAATAGCTAGCATTCAGCTAGTCTATCAATATAAGTTTGTCATCTACTTATCTAAAATGTCCGTTATGATAGTACTTTTTAAATTATCATCGAGGAATTATTTACGTAAAGTTGTTCTAACTAGGTAACTGTAATAAATTGTTTTTTGTATAAATTAATTACAGGATCCTGAAGAATTTTTAAACGGTTTGGTAGCACAAATATTACGGGCAGAACCATTTTTAAAATTGTCTTCAGGGCAGGAAGCATATTGTTACCAACTATTTGTGGAAAAAGATGAACATGTCTCGCTACCCACTGTTCAGCAGCTACTGGAACAGTCATTTGCTACATCTGGCGTAAAACTTAGTGAAGTTAGTATTTTTATAATTATAAATTTTTTGCAATGTATATGTTTTTAATAGATGATAATGGAATGGTAACCCCGTCTGCTCTATCGGTATATTCTGACGAAGTACTAGTGAAGGATGATAAGTGAGGATGGAGATATAAGTTGGCCCATCGTAACAAACTCTACAATAATTTGCGATGATGATTTTCAAGGGGAAATGCGTAAAGTTCAACCTAATAGAGTAATATTGTTAACAATGGGGTTGCTTGTCTCGGTAACTTATAATCCTTTCTCTCCCCTGTAATGTGTTGTAACAAATAAAAGGTTGTCGACCATCATTCGTCGAACGTCATTAGGTCGAAATATCGACCTAATGTAACGCTAACCTAATTAGGTAATGTAGTTATACTGATAGCAAGACGTCCAATTCTGTGCCATTTGTTTCAGGTTCCAGCAGCTTTCATAATTCAAATGCCCAGATTTGGAAAGCAATATAAGCTTTATCAACGAGTATTACCGTCACCGCTTCTCGACGTTACTGATCTCATCGAAGGATGTATGTGCACTCTTTTTCTAAATTCTAATAATACTATACTTATATCGATCATAATCATCCCTCACCTCACTGGTGTGAAGGATGATTTGGTGAAGATTAAAGTAGGTCTGTTAGCCCATCGTGGTGAATTCATCAAGATTGAATCACGATTGTTTCCAAGGGGAGCCACGTGGAGGTCAATCTGACATGGTTTTTTTTTATTAGTTGCGGGGCCGCTAGTCCTTATTGCTAACAGTCCTTTTTTAGGGGGGGGGGATTGTTAGTAATGCGGACTACCAGTCCAAATGTTAGCAATACGCCCAACCAGGTCGACCACCACATGGTCCCCCCTGGAAACCATCGAGCTGAATTCCAGGTGCAATTATCACGATGGGCTAACTGCTTTTTCATTTTCACCTATCATCTCTCACTGATGCTTGCGCTATTGGTATACACTGGCGGGGACCAGTGTATACCAATAGCGTAAACGGGAGAATATTGAAATGGTAACCATTTCAATATTGTCCATTAAAAAAAAACCAGTCCTTTTCCCCCCGAGTGTATCGTGTATTGTAATATACAAGAGAGAGAGTGTGTGTGCGCAGTGCCGCGGCAGTGCACGGTGTGCGGCTCGCTGGCGCGCTGGGAGTGCGGCGAGTGCAGCCGCGGCGCCGCGCTCGAGGCGGGCGCGCTGTGCGCCGCCTGCCTGCGGCTCACGCACGCCGCGCGCCCCAACCATCAGGTATTTTTTTTATACGACTTAGAATGGCTGACGGCCCACCTGATGGAAAGTGGCAACCGTCGCCTGTAGACATGAGCAGTACCATACACATAATACAGTATACTGTTTCGTCCATGATACCCTCTATGCGTTGCCATTCCTGAGGACTCAGATGTTTTTTTTTTCTTTTATGGGTGATAATGAAACGGTAACCCTACCCGCGCTATTGGTATACACCGGCGGGACACAAGTGAAAGATGATAGGTGAGGATGAAGCAGGCCAATTAGCCCATCATGATGAATTCATCAGGAATTAACCATGATAGGTTCCAGGGAGAACCGTGAGGAGGTCGACCTGGTTGGGTATATTGTTAGAAATAAACATATTGTAAGCGCCGCGCACTTGCAACTGTGCGAAACTCGCTTGCATAGTGACAGCAGTTGCAGCGCCGCGCTTCGAGCACAAACAAATCGTGCAATCAACGAATCCTTCTACTAGTAGCATGGTTGGATAACTCAGCATAACCTATGGTATTTTTGAGCGCCATTAAAAAAATTCTCAGCGGCACTAGATAGACTAAGGTCACAGATATATAAAAATGTAGCCTACTAGTATAGTAGGCTACATTTTTTTTACTTACGCTCATATTTGTTGTTACAATGTTTTTTTTTTTTTGTTACAGGCAACTCCTTTAACTGTCTGTGAAGAATTTGAAAATATTCTCGAATCTTGCCCAATTCCAAGAGTTTATATGGAACTATTTGCAGTGCTATGTATAGAAACGAGTCACTATGTAGCCTTTGTGAAGGCAGGAGTGGGGCACGACGCGCCGTGGTGCTTCTTCGATTCTATGGCCGATAGAAAAGGTATGCTTATATTTTACTAAAGAATATAAATAATATTTGAATAATTGTTTAATTAAATAGTCAATGAAATTAACATTGTCAAAAATCATGTATAAAGATTTGAGATTGATAAGGGACTAATGAATTTCTATATCTTCATATCAGAAGAAACGGCAGACAGGCATTTCGTGTGGAAAAATCTGTGGCTTTTTTTCGAAAGTTCCTGTTCATTTTCTTTTTGCAGATAAACTATCGAAGCTATTTTAACAATTATAAATAAATGTATATTGTCACATATAAATATGACAAGTAATATCAAGGGATTAGTTTTTCTTTTTCATGAATGAAAATGGAATGACGCACCCGCACATACTATGGTATTTGGGACACCAGTGAACGATGAAATGATGAAGTCGACCTAACGGTATATTGGTACTAAAGTAGTGCAATGTTGGCAGGCGAGCGGAACGGCTACAACATTCCGGAAATAGTGTGCATCGAGTCGCTGGGCGCGTGGCTGAGCGAGGAGGGCGGGCGAGCGCCGGCCGCCGCGCCCGCCGCGCGCCAGCTGCCCGCGCACGCGCGCCGCCTGCTGGCCGACGGCTACATGTGCTTCTACCGCAGCCCCGACGTCGCCATGTACCGCTAGCCGCCGGCCGCCGCGCCCGCCGCGCGCCAGCTGCCCGCGCACGCGCGCCGCCTGCTGGCCGACGGCTACATGTGCTTCTACCGCAGCCCCGACGTCGCCATGTACCGCTAGCCGCCGGCCGCCGCGCCCGCCGCGCGCCAGCTGCCCGCGCACGCGCGCCGCCTGCTGGCCGACGGCTACATGTGCTTCTACCGCAGCCCCGACGTCGCCATGTACCGCTAGCCGCCGGCCGCCGCGCCCGCCGCGCGCCAGCTGCCCGCGCACGCGCGCCGCCTGCTGGCCGACGGCTACATGTGCTTCTACCGCAGCCCCGACGTCGCCATGTACCGCTAGCCGCCGGCCGCCGCGCCCGCCGCGCGCCAGCTGCCCGCGCACGCGCGCCGCCTGCTGGCCGACGGCTACATGTGCTTCTACCGCAGCCCCGACGTCGCCATGTACCGCTAGCCGCCGGCCGCCGCGCCCGCCGCGCGCCAGCTGCCCGCGCACGCGCGCCGCCTGCTGGCCGACGGCTACATGTGCTTCTACCGCAGCCCCGACGTCGCCATGTACCGACCGCCGGCCGCCGCGCCCGCCGCGCGCCAGCTCGCGCACGCGCGCCGCCTGCTGGCCGACGGCTACATGTGCTTCTACCGCAGCCCCGACGTCGCCATGTACCGCTAGCCGCCGGCCGCCCGCCCGCCGCGCACCACCACGACGCACCACCATGAGTTAGAGATCGATGTACTAGAATTTACTTTAAAAAAAAAAAAGACCAAGAGTTAGAATTTGAAATCAAAACCGGAATACACTCTCTTGTCGAGCATCCCTCCGTTATAAGGATTTTTTTTATTTCCATGTAAATCTAAATAAGGAGTGGAGCTGTATTTGTATGAAATCGACCGATTCAGCTTTTTAAAATAGGTTTAATAATAATAACGTCTTTTAATTCGAGCAATAGGCACATACCAATATACATGGACTCATACTTTTTACCAAGTATTAGATTGTAAATACATGTCTTGATGTCTTATGCTCAATTGTATATTAATTGTAATGTTAAATGATAAGGTGTGGACATAGTCTATTGCTTACCATTTAAACAGGTTTAATGCTCGATCGTCACGATGAACGTCGGTTTAAATCTTTGATTAGTTACCGAGATATGACTATTAAAACCAACATTTCAGTATTACAATACAGACAAAAACATACAGCATACTGAGCTGACACACCTCTAATTATGTATCTATCTTTTATATATATAACAATCAATTACTATTCGTTAGTCTCGCTAAAACTTGAAAAGGCTTGATCGATTTGAATATTTCTTTTTACTTTGTTCATTATAATACAGAGGTGATTTAAAAGAAATAAGTGTGAAAATTTTTAAAGATTAGTTGAAAAATTAAAAATAGATTATTTTGTATAGGAATTGCTACTTCAGATTACTTTTATTATATGGCATTGTAGGTGATACGAAGTTTATCGGGTCATCTAGTATTAAAAGAAAACGTTAGTAGAAATCAACAATATTGTAATATATAGTAGCACATATTATATGTATATAAATGTTTAACAGTGCAATAAAGGAATGCAAATAATAGTTTCATATTTGTACTTAGTACACTTTTGTAATTTATATGTTAAAAAATATTTTATTACTAATATAAATAGTTATTTTCAAACCTATGTTTCTTTTTATTCCATGACAACTATGATATACAACAGAAATATAATATCACATCTTCTCTTACTAAAACTATCAAATATCAGCCAAAATATTCTGGACCAAATTTATTAGTGTGATATCTTTTTTTGTCACCATAAAGCTATGTCTCCGTTCACGTAAAAATATAATTTCTGAAATAAACTTCTGTTTTCATAAACTGCACTATGTGACGAGGTCAATGTAAATATCTTCGCCACTAATCAGTCTATTATTAAATTAAATCTTAGTGTTAGAATAGACTATTATTCATAGATTTTTAAGCATTGTCTATACATTGCTAATTTCAGTGATTTACACTTTCCACTAGGGTGCTGCTAGGAATCGTTTCTTGATAATAATACAGATGATTCCTTCAGCATTATAACGTTTTCAACGTCGTCTGTCTAAAATATAACAGACATTATAATTCTTGATGATCTTCTCGCCTTTGGTCAGTTTTACAGTCGCATGTAAATGGCGTCTGTGGGACATGAGTCATTCCATCGTCTACTGTAATTTCACTATCTATTCTTTTACTCCATTCCTGAAAATAATAGACTGTAATTAAGTTTATGAATAACAATGGCAACTGCATGCTCATTCCTACGGCACAGTATTAGTATTAATACAGTATGGACACTTCCTGCCGCCCTTTGCGATTTGACCTTATCCCCTCTCAAATACGCGTCAGCACACAAACTATAGTGGATGTCTCTATTCTACGCTTCAATTGCAGCAGATATCAAAGAAGGATTGGGGATACAATATTTACGAAGTATGATGAGGATAAGTAGATAGTCTTAATTTATATCGACATGGACAGCTATTTAAAATTAGAAATCAACATCGTTGCGTCGCACTAATCTTATAATTTTTAGGGTTCTATACCAAAAAGGTACGAAGAAATCCTTACGATGCGACTTTGTCCGTCAAACGTCCGTCCGTCTGTCTATCACAGGTTATATTTAACAACTAATAATGCTATTGATTTGAAATTTAGCATAGTTTTACACATCTTTAGCTCGCACATATTATAATGAAAATAATTGAAAAAATATTTTTATTTTCTTTACTAGAGGTTTCAAAATCAATACATAAAAATTCTAAATTGATTTACAAGTCTAAGGACGGTGAAAGGGCTTTATTTGCATTTTTTTAAAACCCATTTATACGTATTTATTATATGCTTATATAGTTTTTCGGTTATGATCAAAAATATAAGAAAAAAAAACATTCTCCTCCCCTTATCTCTGAAGTTTATAAAGCAAAAAATCTGAAATAATAAACTATTTATATAGGTGTATGTGAATATTACAGGGAAAATAAAACAATGTTCGTAACTGGTGCTAGTTATTTTGAAAAATTAACATAAAACGTCAAAAAACTGAGTTATGCCGGTCTAATTTTTACCCAGAATTTTATCCTATTTTTACCCAAAATAATACAAATTTTAATATGAATAGTAATAATTATTAGGTGCCTATTTGGCGTAAGAAATGGAATAAAAGTTATTTTATGTTATATACAGAGCGTAAGTGACAGTTTGGCAAAAACTGAAACACTGAACTTTCGAAAACAGTAGGAAATTCTTTCTGAAAAATTTTAAACTTTCTCCTGTTTTTTTTTTTTTTTATTTAAAGTCACGTTATGTATGATATTATGTCATAAAATAAAGATATAATAATACTTTATAGATAAATATCAGAAACGGCAATTATTCATATAAAAAATCCTAAATGGTCCCGTACAGTGCGGTTTCAAAGGATTTTTTCTCGCGAACGCTCAAGCTGTGGAATGAGCTCCCTGCCGCGGTTTTCCCTAGAGACTACAGTATGGATATATTAAGATTTCTTCTTCAGGTGTTGCAAACGTTTATAGGCTACAGTGATTGTTTACCATCAGACGGGTTGTTGTATACTTGTCTGGCACCTTGGTGGTAAAAAAAAAACTATATAAAACCCTAGGGTACTTGGCACTCATTATTTATAATGAAAAGCGTATAAGTACTAACCGAAAACAAAACTGCATGATAACATATAATATGTTGTGGCAATAAATTGTTATTGGCAAATTTTCTCGCATTTTCAGCAATGGTGCGTGCTTCATTGTCGTTTGCGAGCGCCCATTTCACACGCTTTGTCAAATCGGACAAATCTCTTGCAACTGGTACATAATGCTTCCAAGGTTGGAGTAATCCATAGAAATGTTCAAAATATGGCGAATCTTGCTTCAATACCATTCCTCCACCAGCCAATAAGTATGGCAATCGGTACGCTGCCACAGTTCCATCTACATTAACTTGGTACTTATACTGTAAATTTAAATTATACTCGTATTTATTATTAGCTGAGCACGCGAACTCGACTGCGTGGTGTTTAAAATAATTCCTAAAAAATGTATTTACTTGATAATAATACCATCTAGATTTTTTTTTTGTAGTATAAGTTTGTTTATTTTTTATATTTATTATTACATTACTAAAAGTTCTACCTGATGTCCGGATGACCGGGATATATTAATTAACCATTATAAAAGCAATCTATGGACCTTGTTCAATCTAAATACTACCTTTTACTTGTACTCGATTTTCACATTTTTTAGGTATATAAATAAAAAATATTTGCAAAGTCTTTTTTAAAATTCCGTAAAATTTGGATTTAAACTCTGTTACAGGTAACTATTTTAAGTTATCTAATAGTTTATTGTAAAAAAAAACAAATATAAATACTCACGTCAAAAAATTTGAAGAATGAAATATGGGGTTGTTTAGGACCATAATCTTGTTCTTTGTCGCGAAAAAAAAAGAAGTTTGTTAGAGAAACATTGAAGAGGTCGGGATTCGCACGTGCTATATCAACAAGTTTGAGTCGTTCAATACGTGAATCGCGTCCACGCCAAATTGCTTTGGATTCACGCTCGGACCAGTCTCTCTCGATGCTACCTTGCACAGATAAGGTATCTAATGTGACTCTGAAAATGTAAATAATACTATTAGAAGTTCAAAACAATTTTATAACTAAACATGGATCTATGGAGATATGAGGTCAATCAGGACTGTAGTAGTAGGTAGTAGTAGTCTTGAATTGAACAGGACTATTTGTTTGTTTGGCGACAATCATAAGACGGTGGATTATCTTCTTCATGGATTAAAGATTATGGGATGAATATGGTGTGAAACTTCGAAATGAGAATTAAATCAAATCAATTAGTCCATCAGAACGGATTACCAAGAAGTAAAGACAATGCAGTGGAATCACTAGTCGCCATACTAATAATTCCTTTCCCCAAATTAAGGATAATTGTTTAATGGATGATAATAGAATGGTAATTCCACCTGCGCTACTATCGGTATGCGCTGGCTTAGCAATAATGCCACCAGTGAAGGACGATAAGTGCGGATAAAAAGAGGCCAGTTAGTCCATCGTAATGAATTCATTAAGAATTAACCATGATAGCTTTCAAGCGGAGATCGATCTTATAGGGTTCATTGCTATTGCCATTGATGCCTTTCCAGCGTATACCGACAGCGCAGGCGGGAACACCATTCCATTATCAGCCATTATAAAACTTCATCCTCAACCGTGTCTCGGCGGGGATACCATTCGATCTTCTCCTATTAAAAAAAAATCCTTGGTTTGGATCTGTGTAATTACCAAATTTTATTTAAATACCTATGCAGCCTTCAAGCATATATAAGTAACAAACATTTAGAGTGTTGAAATTAAAATATTAGTAGAATTTTATCTATAAGTATAATTTGATAATAAAATTTATGACTCACCGTCCCATATTTTCAACAGTAGACTCAGTTATGTCATAAGTAGGCATCAGAATATCCACGGTTTCATCACTTCCGCACCATGAAAATATTGGCAGTGGTTCAGTGCCCTTGCGAACCAAAGGCCAGTCACCCAAATTAATAATAAGCTCGATATCTGGTAGGACAACTTTTCGGGCCAAAAATAGAAGAATATTGTCCGCAAACATATTAAACCCAACATGTTTTCCATAGCAGTTTCTGTATATTTTGTTATTTTTTACAACATAATGACAAAAGCTAGTACTTTCTGGTTTATGAAATCTATGAATTATTTTTTTTAATTGAGTTTTCATGTTAACTTTTCCATACAGCTCAAGATCGTGAGTAACTTTGTCATATGATTTGGGACAATCATACTGTTTAAACCATTTATCAAAATTCTTCTCTGGGCAATAACATTGATCAGGTAGAATAGGACCTGAAATATATTACCAATCATCTATAATTATCATTGAGTTCTCTGAACTTATTTCTAAAATGAATGTTTTAAATTGACTAGGTTTTAGAATGATAAGATGGATTTAAATGGAAAGTCTTAGATTGTATAGAGACTACCTAGAATTAAATATAAAGTAGTTTGTGCTTAATTTTATTATTTAAATTTATTCTCATTCTTCTTAATAAAATAAAATTTAAATCAAAATCATTAAAATTCTTTTAAAGAAGTTTTTTCTGCAGTGAAACTGAACATTTTAAGCAAAATGTTGGGACCACTATATTAACAGCTCATCCAGCTATGAGCATAGAAGACTCAAGATTTGTGTTATTTTTGATTCACAGCATCTTTGTCCTAATATTTTCTTAAGCACAGATAAATGGTTAGTTTTATGTTATGGCTAATAATTTTGATTGCACCTGTACAAAAACTTGTGTTTTAATCTTCATTCTCGCTAATCTTTGAAACCATTTTTAATTAAAATTATGGTTGTTCCAATTTCTCTTAAATTAAAATTGTTTTTATTCTTATAAGAAAAAATGGGAAATAATATGTGCTAGATTAGCTAGTAGCTAATAATAATTGCAATAAACATAAAAACAAAAAAAAAAAATAGTTTCAGAGACAGAATTCATGAATTAAGCCATATATTCATATTATGAAAACCCACTTTTGATCAAAGATATTTCCTTTTTGGGACTGACCACATAAGAAAAATAAAGTAATAATTTTACTGAATAATTTTAAATGCAAATATCGAACAAAGAATTTTTACATGAAAATAATAATTAGAACAACAAGATAAGACAGAAATTTAAATACTTACATCCTTTCAGCTTTCAACTTTAGATTATTAGCTTAGTTTAGAAATAATCTTGATGATGGGCAATATCTATTTTTATGAAAGTGTGTACTCAGGCAAAAAGTTTATAAAATCTAAATAGGGTTCTACCTAACAGATAAGTCATTTACAATTGAAATGCATTTAGAAAAAACTTATTGATAGAATTACTAAAGACAAATCAATGAAGAAGTACACACTTATGTACACACAGTATGCACTTGAATATAAAATCTTTATTCTTCAAAAAATTATTTAAATAAAAAAACACTTTTATAATAATTCAAAAATATTAGAAACTAATTTTTTACTTTAAAGTTTATTTGTGTGGATGGGGTTCACTAAGACAAAATGTGGACATCTTTCTCCATAACAAATATTATGTTTGGACCTTTATTTATGAAGATTGTTTAAACTGTTACAGCACCAAATCATTACTAATATTATAAATGTAGTAATGAGTTTATTTGTCAATCTTGACACCTTTCCGGCTATGGTATGTGTACTATAGGAGATTAAGGACACATGCTACTTTTTATCCTGGTCATGCAGACAAAGTCGCAGATAAAATACCTTATCGCAGATAAATTAGCACCTAATATGAAAAACATTAAACTTACCTTTAAATGTGAATGGAGAACCTCCTATATGCTTACTTTTATAATATAAACTGATGGATAAATCATTACAAGTTTCATAAACTTTATATCGTACAATAAATGTACCATCTTTTCTATTTAATTTGTTTACCCAAATGCGACAGTAGTGTGTTTTAGCTGAAGTACCCTCTATTTCTACCGCAAAGTCGTTGTTTAACTTAGAAGTGTATCTGCAAATAATTAGAGAACATGGCTATACATTAAAATTTAATATTACGGTGTTGAAATAGTGAAGATCTTATTACTTTTGTCCGACAATCGAAGTAATATTAACAAAAAAGTATCTAGCCGGCATAACAACTTCCTTAGGATGTAATCCAGGTCCATAAATGCCGTCGTGATACTGAATAGCTTCATGTAACATTAATAATAACAATAATGGATTACGAATCGAAATCATAATTATGTAGGTATTTCAAGTTAACTAAAAACTACATAAGCACCTAAATAGATTACATGGAAATCGAATTCGAAATGAAAAATGTAAACAATGAGGTTGCCATATGAAAAAAGTAAATTAGTCTGTGTTAATTACTTTTAAATCCATCTAAAATAGATAGTTAACGAAAAATCGTTAATTTTATTTTATTCATTAGTTATGCATATATTGAAGTATGGACTTGATATAATGTACTTACTAATCTGAGTATTAAACACGTAATACTTACAGAACAAATAATCACTACGTTATAGTAATACTACACGTAGTACGTAAGAACGTTATACTAAGATAATTCGAAAATTATAAATTCTTTAAAAGATTAGATATACATAAAATATATAACTTTACTAGCTGACTCGGTAAACGTTGTTTTACCATATATATTATTTCTAAAACTATACATGAAAATTATATCGTACTACAATTATTATATTCTATTGTCATCTTGCAACCCTATTATGGCATATAAAAATTGCGATTAAATAATAGGGGTTAATCGTAAAAGCGTTAAAATTTGAATTTGTATGTATTTTTCAATGCTAAATCATAATAAAATAAAAATAAAAATATTTGTCAAAAAACAAACACGACACGAGAATTTTATATATTAGATAAAAATAAATAAATAAAATAACAATAATTATTCTTGGATGACACATTAAAACGGAATATTTATAAATATAAACACTTGGATGACTTAAAATTATAACCATAAAAATAAATAATGTATGACATTCGTTTACTTACCTTTGCGAGTACGTGAGTACACCAATAGTGAAAATAAAAACAAAATCTTAGACATAATATACTTTATTTTTGGGGGAAAGAGATTTTTAGCAATAAAGTTTGACAACCCCATTACTAGCAATATGCCTTATTAGGTCGACCTCCACTTGGTTCCCCCTGGAAATCATCGTGAACAATTCTTGTTGAATTCGTCATGATGGGCTAACTGAGCTGCTTCATCCTCACCTATCATCCTTCACTGGTGCCTCGCCGGTGTATACCGGTAGCGCGGGTGGGGTTACCATTCCATTATCACCCATAAAAAAATTTACTCCATTTTCTTTGACCTCTATATGTATATACTTCTTTGACCTCTATATGTATATACGGTGAGCATTTAATAAATGCGACTGATTCTGATTCGTCGTCGTAAAGCCCCAAGAATCAAGGAGTCGATCTATGTATTAATCCTTAGTAATAATAAATGTAAAAGTAAATTTGTATGCTTGTTTTATCTAAAATGTAATTTGAAATTAACAATAAGCGACTTTAATAATCCGTTACTAGTTGATTGATTTTCAAATCAATCAACTAGTAATTTTATCTGACTACTAATTTCACGTGTATCGTAATTTCATTTGTTTACTAATTTCATTCTACTACAAATTTCATTCGCTGTACGTTACTACTAATTGCTAAAATAATTTATTAGTAGTTGTTCATGTACAAGTCGATATGAATGTAATCGAGTCAATCCGATACTTATCAATAACTTTGATACTTATCAAAGCAAATTCGTGGTGATTGATTATGAAGTATATTTTAAATTAAATATGGGATGTTGAGATATTACTTTTTTATCATCAATCATTATTCATTATCAGCTATTAGTAAAGAAGTGGACACAGGTAAATTTAATTAAAATTTGTTTTCACTATTAGTGGTTTAGATCAAATTATTAATTAGTAAAGTCATTCGAATATGAAAATTTGTATATTACTAATTTAGTAGTCGAATTATAAAATTAGTAATGACTAATTATTCGAATAATAAAATCATTCGTACACAAAAATTAGTATACTAATTTTGTAGTCGAAATATAAAGTAAGTATAGTCTGTCTGCTTAGTGATTGCGTTTCTGACAGGTCATGATCGAATAGGCTATGTAACTTCCGACTGGAGGAGAATAACAAGTGACAACATTTAAAATTGAATAATTATGCTAACTTATAATAAATGTATTAATTTTGGGATAAAATTATTATTGATACCACGTAAATATTTATAATATGTAAATATTTATTGACAACCACGCAGAAATAAATGCAGCTGTATTCAAGAAATGTTTGCAGGATTTGCTGCTACCTGGTCTTCCAGATTCTTAAGTAATATTAATGGATAACGCCTCTTATCATTCGGTGCAAATAAATAAAGCACCTACCCAAGCTAATAGAAAAGAAGAATTGGTGATTTAGCTGCAAAGAAGTGGCGTTGACGCAAATATGTCAATGCTAGAAGAAGAGCTGATGAAATTAGTCAATGACCATAAGCCGGTAAATGTTCGATATAAAATAGATGAGCTGGCTCTGGAGTACGGTCATTGCGTTCTTCGAATTCCTCCATACCACTGCCAGTACAATACCATAGAGCTAATCTGGGCTTAAATTAAAGGTTATGCAGCTCGCCTTAATACTTCTTCACCGTATAACATAAAAAAGATAAAGACACTTTTACAAGAAGTATGCGAAAAAGTCACAAGAGATGTATGAAGGTGGTTGAAAAAACTTAAAAGATTATATTTGATGACTGTATAGACCAGGATATCTGTATAGATACTATGATTGACAATAATAATACATGTGAGTGAAGATGACAGTAAATCCTCAAACGAATTGGTGTCAGATAAAATTTTGATTTGACGTAGTCTTCATTATTTAAGGCTTAAGATGTATTTCTTAATATACATTTTCCAATAAATACAGTATTTTTATTTTTTACCTACGTTACATTCAGAAACTACGATTAAATTTAATTCATTCATTAACAATTTAATTAACATTGTGTTTGAAACATAATTTCTATAAAAAATAACAAAATATATATTAAATTGAATAAATATGCATAATGAATACAATAAGTAACGTTACTAAGTATTATTAATGTTATTTATGGTACATCACTAGTCATGACAAATTGACAGGTGTCAGGAACGCAATATCTGAGCGGCCGTACTATAATGACTAATTATTCAAATAACAAATACATTCGGATTCGTACACTACTATTTGAAATTAATATTATTCTGTGTAATACAGACATATATGTCAGTGTATGTTACCATCTAATGAGGTTAATTAAAATTCGCTTGGTGAATAGAAAAAAATATGGCAAATTTTAAAGCTTTTTTCTATATCTACCGTGCTCGTTATATCATACAAATTATGTTTTAGTAAAGTAAAAACGTTTGAAAGCTATAACTATTAACTGTCAAATATATTTCAAACTATATGAAAACGTACTTTGGAAGTTGTAGAGCTTGATGGATGTGGAGTTTTACGAGAGACCAATAATGTTATTTTATATTTAAATATTTTATTACGTACGATGTTACAGAGAATATTTTAGTGACAAGACAAAAGTATTTATTTTTCTAATTAATTGAGCTGTAGGTTTATGGCTGTGTACGGCCTCTTTCTTACACTCCTCCTCACGGCATAGTATCTACCTACTGTAGGAATCTCAGTTCTTGGCGACAGTATTCGTATTTAGGACGAGGCAAAGCTTTTGTAAAGATATCCGCTGTCATATCCCCTGTTCCTAGGTATAAAAGTTACACCATATTTTGTTGCACCATATCTCTTATAAAATGTTGGCGGATATCGATATGTTTGGATAATGGAAGTGTGCTGGGCCCATAACCTGATGGATGTGGAGTTTTACAGGAGACCAATAACGTTATTTTATATTTAAATATTTTATTACGTACGATATTACAGAAAATATTTTTGTGGCAAGACAAAAGTATTTATTTTTCTAATTAATTAAGTTGTAGGTCTATGGTTTTGTACGACCTCTTTCTTACAGAGCTAAATTGCAAAATTTGTATGTGATTTTACATTCTTTTTATTTTAGTTGTAGTTTGTTTTTTACAGAATATATAATTATTAATGCATACAAATAATATATTCGTATTTCTGAAAAAGTAAGTTATAATTATTAATTAAAATATATATCAAAGTTGTGGATAATTATTGGATCTCGTCTACGTCCGTACCGACTCGCACATGAACACAAATGAATTATTTTAACAATTAGTAGAAATGTATAATGAATAAAATTAATAGTCGAATGAAATTAGTAGTCAAATGATTTGAAAATCATTAGAATAATTAGAATAAATTATTCAGTTGAATAATTGATAATTGGATTAGTAAATACGAGCACCACTAGTCTAAGTCACTTATATGAATCTCTTTAGGCAGAATAATCACTGACCTTAGCCTGTCTTTTGCTTATAAAACAAACATCATTGAAAAAATTAATTTCTGTTTACTCTGAAATATATTATATGCTATTCTATACTTATTTATGTGAATAATTTAAAATTATTTCTATTTGCTTTTCTTGCATGTTTATAAATGTGTGAATTGTGATAATAATTATCTATAATAAACTTCAATTGGAATCATGACTACATCTAACCTTAAACTGTTATGCAGTAACTTTTGCAAACTGAGGTAAACAAACCATTACTTTTACATTGTACAGATAAAACCTGAGGTTAAAATTAGTTTTATAAATGAATTATATAAGTTACTTATATGATTTAAATTTACCTTATTACAGATTAGATAACATGGTAACAAGATCTAATTCATACTATAAGCCAAGGTATCGCCCTCCACATTGGTATATGCCTAAGGATAGAGTGGTATGTACAAATTTAATCAAATAATACAACGGGTATAAGAAATAGTTTCAAATTTTTCAAATCATTTATTGCACGAATATGGGTACATACATTAGATGAAAATAATAATTACATGTCCATTATTCCACATTCTACCATATCGGCATGTACAATATAAAATTAAAGTAACTTTAATTTAATTTATAACAATATAAACAATGTCAATAATAATAATAAAATTTAAAAAATGTCAATAGTTCTACTGCAATTCCTTGTATGTATTTGTTGGAATTGTGCAAATATTTTTGAGTCAAAATTTTATTGACTCACATTTATTGTTTCTCCTATAAAGTCGTTATTTTGGTGTTTATGCTTTTTTTTCCTCGAAGTAGCGCTATGTTCCTTTTATAACAGAGTTTCTATAAACTTTTCCATAAGTATTCAACTCTACAATTCTTCACAATCACCTCCATTTTCACCACCACTGAGGCAAAGAGTGCAGAATTTTTTTTAATTGTTGCTAGAGTATTTGCATAGGAATATCTGGAACACTTTATTGTCCAAAATGTGTTACTTATGGAACTGTTGTGTTTGACCCATTGAAAAAGCATTTCAAGGTGATAATGCATTCAAAGAATATTTGTGCAAAGTGCTGTAGCAGCAACTTTCTGTCTTCATTGATGGAATTAAAAAGCTTAGAACCTGATAACATAAATGTATTTCTGATAAAGGACACTGTGTGGAAGAACAATATACTTTGTTCGCGACATTATTTGTATATATCGTAATTTATAGTTGTTAAGTCCCTAGTTAATCGTTTCTGTATTCTGTTATTTTATATAGATTTACATAGATTTAAGATAGTGTAAGTTAAATAAAGTATTCCTTTGCGTGTTGTCGTTATTACCTACGAATAGAAATTGTAACAATAAATAGAATTAAGAAATTGTAAATTGAAATAAAATAAATAAATAGACGCTATAGAGTACCGATCTGAAGAGACACGCGTCTCGTTCATTTTCGCCCGTCCCGCTCGCACAGATCGCTATCGCGAGTTGGAAACATTATCGTGCGAGCGGGCGGGTATAAAGATAGGCCGCCTCCCGTCGAGCGGCATTCGCTTCCGGGCAGCGACGCACTACACTCGAGAAGAAATAGGACAAGAAGAAAAAATACTCTCTTCAGACGGTACCGGAGGCTTCAGAATAGTAATCGCTGTGTTTCACTCCAGCCTGAACCAACGCCCCTACAGTCCACGCTCACCGAACGGCAGTCCACACCGTTCAACGTGGTCCTTCGAGAAGCCGGATTGCTGGAGGAACACCGTTGGTACATCGAGAAGCCGGATCGCTGGAGGAAGACCATTCTGAAGCCGGATCGCTGAAATGCCGACTACGAGAAACATGAAGTCGTCGCAACAAAAAATCGCCGTCACCGAAGCCACAACGTCCGCCGCCACCACGTCGACTACGGCCGCCGGAACGCTGTCTGTCGCTGCCACGCCGTCCGTTGCTGCCACCACGTCGTCTGCGGCTGTCAGAATGCCTTCTGTCGCTGCCACGTCGTCTACCGCCGCCACCACATCGACTACGAACACGTCCGGCGATACGACGACCACAGGAGCCACGGAGACTACCGAAGCCACAGGAACGACAGAGGAGACAGCAAGGAAGAAGGAACCGAAGCACGGCACGGCACGCACGGTTCGCACCACGGCCTCGCAGAAGAAGAAGGCTCTGGCCAAGGCACGGGAGGAGCTACTTCGAAAGGAGGTGGAATTGGCCGCCGCACGTGTCGCCGCCCTGGAAGCCGAATCAGAGGACAACGAGGAAGTAGAAGACGACGACGCTACCGTCAGAAGAGAACGAACGTCGGATTGGGTTCATCGAAGCACGCTAGCACTCACGATGGAGCCGCATGTACCAGAGATAGAAGAAGTCACCGGCAAGCGTCAGGGGTTCGTCCCATCGAGACCCGTTGAAGAGGATTCGAGAGCGCCGCCGCCACAGCCGAGCAGCGACGCACTTCACCGGGACCACGCACGCCACGTTGACCCACATGCCGCCATTCCTACGATAGCAGCAGCGATGCAGTCGATGAAGAAAGAAGAACCGGTGCTGAAGGTGGGCATCGATTGTAATGAGTTTGCGATCGCCATGCAGATGGCCGCTCGCAACATACTGCCCTCCACAGCGTCAAGAGTCACCGAGTTGCCAGTCTTCAATGGATCGTCGAGCGAGTGGTTACCATGGAAGATGGCCTATGAAGAGAGCGCAAGTCAACTCACAGAACAAGAGAACCTAGCAAGACTGCGCAGAAGCTTGAAGGGGGCCGCAAAGGACGCGACACGCTCCCTATTCGTCGGGTCTACGACCGCAGAAGAAGTAATGAAGATGTTAGCCGCGAGGTTTGGCCGCCCTGGAGCACTCGTCACAGCCGAACTGAACAAACTCCGCGCGCTACCACGACTCTCGGACAACGCAAGAGACGTCTGCCTCTTCGCAAGCAAGGTGCAGAACGTCGTCGCCACGATACGAGCGCTGAACAAGAGTCACTACCTATACAACGAAGAAATAGTGAGAAACGTCACAGAGAAGATGCCGTCGGTACTACGCTTCAAGTACTACGATTTCGCCAACGACCAACCGGAGGGACAACCGGACCTCATAACACTCTCTCAGTTCCTGCAAAGGACCGCCGCACGATGTGGAAACTTCGCCCCCGCCGAGGAGATACCGTCCGAAGACCGGCGGGAGTCCGCTCCTAGGAAGACGGCGAAGACATACACGACGCAGGAGAAACCCGCTACACCACCGTGCCCGATGTGTCGACGAGAGGGACACGCTCCATCGGACTGCAAGACGATGAAGGAAGCAGACACATCGGCGAGATGGGAGTTAGCGAAGACTCATAGGCTGTGTTTCCGCTGCCTCAAAGTAAGAAGATTTCGCCACGCCTGCAAGAGCAAGAGATGTGGAGTAGATGAGTGCACGCAGACTCATCACCCTCTGCTGCACACCACGCGACAACAGCCGGAGAATGAAGTAACGACACACGTCGTCGAGGACAAGTCCGCCGCAGTCACCGCATCGGCAAGGGAAAACGACAAGATCGCGTTCCTGAAGATCCTGCCGATACGAGTCACCGGTCCCACGGGAACGTGCGACACCTACGCGCTACTGGACGACGGGTCGACTTGCACCATCATCGAGACGACGGTGGCGGAGCGAATCGGTGCTACGGGTCCCCCCGCACCATTCTACATGGAAGGTGTGGCCGGGGCGCGGATCAACGCAGCTCAATCGACGCGTGTTCACTTCAAGATCCGCGGGCGGAATTCACAAGAATACACAGTGGGGGCACGGACGATGGACAGACTGCAGTTATCACCGCAGTCGGTACCACGCAGCGTCATCAAGGGCTGTCCACATCTGCGGGACATAGAGAGGGAATTGGTCTACGAAGAGGGCAAACCGACGGTACTGCTGGGGCAAGACAACTGGCACCTACTGCTGGCCCACGAAGTCAGAAGAGGATCCGACACGCAGCCGGTCGCATCACTCACCGACCTGGGATGGGTACTGCACGGTACGAGTCGCGGCAGGACAAGACAGCAGGTGCACAGAATCAGCCACATAGTGACGACACATGAAGAGGAACAATCGATGGAAGAAATGATGAAGCAACATTTCGCGCTCGAATCGCTGGGAATCGCACCGAAGAGGTCTTACAATGAAGAGGAACGTCGCGCCCTACGCATTTTAGAGGAGAAAACTCGTCCGTTACCGGCGGGAGGATACGAGACGGGGTTATTATGGAAGAAGGACGACCCTGTGCCGCCGGACAACTACGAATCGGCAATGCGACGTCTCCAACTGGTCGAAAGGAAACTCGACAAGAATGAAGAAATCAAGAAGAGATATGAACAGCAAATGGACACACTACTCAAGAACGGGTATGCTGAAGTCGCCCCGCCACGGAGTTCCCAACGGGTGTGGTACCTGCCACACTTCGCCGTCATCAACCCGCAGAAACCGGGGAAACTGCGGATCGTGCACGACGCAGCAGCCAAGACGAAGGGCATCAGTTTGAACGACATGCTGCTGCCGGGCCCCGACTTACTTCAATCGCTACCGGGGGTCCTCATGCGGTTCCGGCAACGACGGGTGGCAGTCGCGGCGGACATAAAGGACATGTTCATGCGGGTCACCATACGGGAAGAAGATAGGGACATGCAACGGTTCCTGTGGCGAGGAGATCGACGAGAGGGTCCACCTGTGGAATATAGGATGAAGAGTGTCATATTCGGCGCAACATCGTCACCGTGTACAGCAATCTACGTCAAGAACAAGAACGCAGAACAGTACAAGGAAGAGTTCCCGGAGGCAGCAACGGCGGTGGTCATGAACCACTACGTCGACGACTACCTCGCCAGCTTCGACACGGAAGAGCAAGCCGTACGCGTCTCAAGACAGGTCGCACAGATCCACGGTCGAGCCAACTACTATCTCCAACGGTGGGCGTCGAACTCGCATCAAGTGCGCGCCGCGTTCTCCGACACCGGCGGGGACAGCGTGGTACAACTCGACGCGGAGAAGATACTGGGGATGGTATGGCGACCTTCTGAAGACACCTTAGGCTTCAACTTCAACGGACACAAGCTTCCGCCACAGATAGCCAGCGGGGAACAGACGCCGACGAAGAGGAAAGCGCTACGAGCGATTATGTCACTGTTCGATCCACTGGGCCTCGCCACTCCCATCACCATACAGGCGAAGAAGATATTGCAGGAGACGTGGCGTACCGGTATCGACTGGGACACCGAGCTGCAACCACGGGAAGCGGACGCCTGGCGGAGCTGGATGGACCACGTGCGACGGCTGTCCGCGCTGGAGGTGCCGCGGTGCTACCCGGAGGTAGCCACGGCCGATACAGCGGAGCTGCATACATTCGTCGACGCCAGCTCGGACGCGTACGCCTGTGCCGTGTACTGGCGGGCCGTAAGCGCGACCGGCGAGGTCCACGTGTCGCTGATCGCGGCAAAGGGACGAGTGGCCCCACTCAGCAAGGTGACCACGATACCGCGACTGGAGCTGCAAGCGGCCGTCCTCGGGTGTCGCCTATCGCGCACGGCAGTCGAAGAACACGACCTGAAGCCCGCTCGCCGAGTATACTGGTCGGACTCACGCACCGTGCTCGCATGGCTACGCACCGGTCCTCGCGCATACAAGCCGTTCGTCGCGCATAGAGTCGCCGAGATCGTCGAAGAAACGAAGACGAACGAGTGGAGATGGATACCGACGCGGCACAACGTAGCAGACGACGCCACACGCGACCCACCGACGGACTTCGGCTCGCAGCATAGATGGTTCCGTGGGCCGGACTTCCTGTACCTCCCCGAAGAGCAGTGGCCGCGTGAAGATAGTACGAGCGACGATAGTCAAGCGGAAACGGGAGAAGAACGCGTACACAAGCTACAGAACGCGACGCAGTTATCCATAGCATTACCCGATCCGTCACGTTTTTCTAATTGGTTGAAACTTGTTCGCAGTTCAGCACGAGTGTTGCAGTTCATCGACCTCCTGCGACCGACCAGTCAACGCTGTACCGCCATCCGAAAAAGAAACAAGAAGAAAGAGAGCGCCGACCCCACTTGGACCCGCACGAAGAAAGTCGATAGAGAGAAGACGAAGATGAAAATCAAGAACAGCAATAGTCCATCTGTGTGTTTCATCCCCATAGACACACACTACCTAGATCGCGCGCGACGGCTATGGATTCGCGCGATACAACAAGAGGCGTTCGGCGACGAAATCGCAGTATTGAAACAAGGGAAACAGCTGCCGTCATCCAGTCGACTCATACAGCTGTCAGTCGTCATAGACAACGACGACATTCTGCGACTTCGATCGAGAATAGCAGCCGCCGCCGATCTGTCAGCCGAGCAACGAGAACCCCCATCGTCGACGGAAACCACGCCTGGGTGCGCCTATACATCGCATGGGTGCATCGGAAACTTCACCACGGCGGCTTCGAGATCACCACGAACGAGGTGCGACAACACTTGTGGGTGTTGCGCCTACGACACGCCGTCCGCAGTGAACTGAAGAGGTGTCAGCTGTGCCGCCTACGAAGAGCAAGACCGGCGCAGCCGTCAACGGGCAACCATCCACAGAGCAGGCTGACGCATCATCAACGACCGTTCACGTTCACCGGCCTAGACTACTTCGGGCCTATGACCGTGACAGTGGGCCGCACTCACCAGAAGCGATACGGAGTGCTCTTCACCTGCCTAACGACGCGCGCAGTCCACCTAGAAATCGCCGGCAGCCTCAGCACGGACTCCGCCATAATGGCCCTGCGGCGCTTCATAAGCCGCAGAGGGTGTCCCACTGAGCTATGGTCCGACCAAGGCACCAACCTCAAAGGTGCCGACGTCGAACTGAAGAAAGCAGCCGAGGAAGCCATCCAAGAAGAGTCATCAGTCCATTTCATCCGGTGGCGCTACATTCCCCCGAGCGCACCCTTCATGGGAGGTGCGTGGGAACGGCTGGTGCGTAGTGTGAAGACCGCACTAGCCGCTACGTTGAACGAGCGGGCCCCCAAGGAAGAAGTCCTCCACACTCTGCTGGTCGAGGTCGAGCACACCCTCAATAGTCGACCGCTAACCCACGTGTCAACATCGGCAGACGACGACAGCGCCCTAACCCCCAATCACTTCATATTGGGCGGTCCATCGCGCGTCCCACTGCCAGGCAGCTTCACCGAGAGCGACGCGGCGGGACACAAGGAGTGGCGTGCCAGCCAGAGGCTAGCTGATTGCTTCTGGAACCGGTGGGTGAAGGAGTACCTACCCGAGTTGCAACACCGGCGGGAGCCCCGAGCTACACACGGAGCCATCAAAATGGACGACCTGGTCTTGATAGCTGATGGGACCTTGCCTCGCAACACGTGGCCGCGAGGCGTGGTGGTGGCGACCTACCCTGGACCAGACGGCGAGGTTCGAGCGGTCGACGTGCGGACGAACAAGGGCATCCTACGGCGACCCACTAAGAAGCTGATCATACTGCCCACATCGACATCGAGCGACGCGAACACGAGTTAACTCCAGCTACGAGAGCTGCGGCGGGAGATTATGTTCGCGACATTATTTGTATATATCGTAATTTATAGTTGTTAAGTCCCTAGTTAATCGTTTCTGTATTCTGTTATTTTATATAGATTTACATAGATTTAAGATAGTGTAAGTTAAATAAAGTATTCCTTTGCGTGTTGTCGTTATTACCTACGAATAGAAATTGTAACAATAAATAGAATTAAGAAATTGTAAATTGAAATAAAATAAATAAATAGACGCTATAGAGTACCGATCTGAAGAGACACGCGTCTCGTTCATTTTCGCCCCGTCCCGCTCGCACAGATCGCTATCGCGAGTTGGAAACATTATCGTGCGAGCGGGCGGGTATAAAGATAGGCCGCCTCCCGTCGAGCGGCATTCGCTTCCGGGCAGCGACGCACTACACTCGAGAAGAAATAGGACAAGAAGAAAAAATACTCTCTTCAGACGGTACCGGAGGCTTCAGAATAGTAATCGCTGTGTTTCACTCCAGCCTGAACCAACGCCCCTACAGTCCACGCTCACCGAACGGCAGTCCACACCGTTCATACTTAGTTGGTATTTTTTGTATAACTAATTAATTTCTACATTCAAATTCCATATTTGAATGATCCTTTAGAAGTCACAATGGTGCCATTGCTTATTGCATTGCATAATTGGTTATTTTATCAGATTCATAAATATTCATAAACAATATTCAATCATGTAATATAAACCAGCTTTTGTCTACTTCATCATAAGTATGAATTTCAGAAGTAGTAAAATCAATGATATTACACCATTTTTAAACAGTTCTAACCTTCTGGAAAACAATTGTAAAAACCATATTCATTTTCATGTAGTATTATATGATACTGAAATAATAATGAAATGCAATAGTTCTTGCATGATACTGGAACAAACATATAAACAAACAAAATTGTATTACATTATTGTTTTGGCTTCTATTTTTTGGATTTTATCCCCTTATAACAATTTTTCTTAAATAATAAAAATTTATTATATTAGGTTATCAATGACACCATTAAAAAAAATTACAATGTTTAACTAATAATCATACATTTAATTTTTTATATTATACAGATGACTGATGACATGGTAACTCAGGAAAATAAGCAATTTATTGAAGAAGTGATGAAGGACAAGCTTAAAATGCAAACAGAAATGAAATCACCATTAGTTGAAGGTGATGTGCAACAAACTGTCCAGTGGTCTCCATTTATCAAACGAACAGGTCTCATAGCACGTAAAATTGGAAATTATCCTGTGTGGGATAAAAGTGGAAAGAAATTACAGACTACTTTATTACAGGTATGCTAAATCATTATTTAAAAAAAAAAACTTATATTTGGTTAAAAGTTAACATTCCGTTAATGCTGTTGTTTCAGGTTGTTGACAATCATGTTATAAAGTATATTCCTCCTGAAGAATATAAGCCAATGAGAAACTCAACGCAAAGTGGTATAAGAACACAAAGACATGGATGTTTATTAATTGGTTCACAAACTATAGACCCGAGTACTGTGACCAAAGATTATTGTGGTATATTCGACAGTGTTGGAATGCTACCAAAACAGCATTTGTGCCGATTTTTAATTTCACCAGAAGCTGCCTTGCCCACTGGAACTCCATTGTTTGCAACACACTTTAGAGTTGGAGATTATATAGACATTCGAGCAAAAACGTTAGTACTCTTTAAAATTTAAAAGAATTACACACACCATATCACTAATCCATTTGATCCATGCACATATTTGATTCTGAATTTCACTTCAGGGTTAGGTGATAAAAACAAAAAATGAAACTGTTACTCTTCTGCAAGGATTGCCTTTAACATTCACAGCAGAGGAACAGATGAGTAGGTTAACTCCAGTCATTTAGAGACTTTATTGTATATGTTGTTCTGTGCTAGCTTTTTTAAGAGATCAACAATTACATCATTAGGGCCATATTTTTAGAATTTAAATAATGTTATGATAAAATGCTTTGCAATTTTGTGATTTTCTAAGTTATGAGTAATTTTTTATACTTAGGAATATTCGAATTAAGAAAATATAATTGGTATGTCTTTTAATTTTTTTATACAACTTAGAATGGCATACATGCTGACGGCTTACCTGATGGAAAGTGGTAACCGTCATCTATAGACATGAGCAATACCATGGACATAACAGAGTATATTGTTTTGTCCATGATACCCCCCATGAGTTGCCATTCCCACAGATAATATGGGGGGCCATGCATTGGCATTCCTGAGGACTCAGGTCTTATTCGTCTGTACCCTGTAAATTCACGCCATATCTCACCCTTCAAATCGAAACAGCCATGCAAACACAACTGCTTTACGGTTGAAACATGAATGGGACAGAGATACCCAAGCAAATGACATTTATACAAAGTCTCCCTCTGTTGAACACAAATTAATAGTGTAAAAATAAACAAATTACTTTGTAATATTGTCTGATATGATTGTTTTGTTAATATTTATTCTAAATTACCTGTTTAAAAAAATATTTTAATAAACTGTTTTGAATTATCCACCTAATTGGTCATATTTATACATAATTATATTTACTCGAATATTCATTTGATGCAGTTTAGCGTGAATTAATGTTGGCCGCTGAATGAGTATGCACATAGGCGACAAACAATAGCCCTTTCGATTGTGTACTCAATAGCAACGAGACATTATAACAGTATGCACATACATTGCGTACGTACTGACACGCACATATTTTAACTGCGCTCGGTACCCATCTTATGAAAAAACTAACTACTCTTCTTTTTCTCTGATGTTGTTTTGTTAGTGTAAGTGCCATATGATCACGGTTCTCTTTTGAACGTCACTGTATGTAATAAAAACATTAAAGTATACTACGTGCAAGTTGATTATAGACAATAAATATAGGATTAATTGTACACAGCAAATTCAAATGAGGATATTTTTTTTTACATAGATAATTTTTAACGCGTCATTTTTCAATTATCTGAACTTATTATGAATAAATAAACCAACTAAAAACTTCCGTTCTATGCGACTTATATGGAGGACTTAATATGGAGGAGGTCAAGCTTATGATTAATATTCATAGGGTTAAATTTTGGGTAGCATTTATTTATGTAGCGTTTTCTTTTTCAGTATTGATAGAGGTTTTCAAGGTGTTATAAAACGATGGGGATTTAAGGGTATGCCTGCATCTCATGGTGTAACTAAGACCCACAGAAGACCAGGAAATATCGGTGGAGGTGGAGAAAAAGGCCGTGTCTGGCCTGGTACAAAAATGCCTGGACATATGGGTAACAGGTTGGTGAATACTAATAAAAGTAACAGATATTACACGTACAAACAGGAATGTAAACGCATATTCCATTAGTTTATACAGATTTCACACATATATACATAGTTTAAGCCTAAGAATCTTAGGAATGAATATATATTGCTTTTTACAAATATAATAAAATTCTCACTCTGTATGTATGTACATAAGAGATATTTAAGAAAAATTGATATAAAATATCTTAATAAGCGCAATAGAAGACTATAATTTTTGGGATTTTTGTCTTTCTATGTTTGTTCCTGGATCACTTATGCACCAAATTGAATGTAGTTTTCACATTTGTGTTCCTAATTTTAAAAATCTGTCTTTTTCTTGATAAATCGTTTAGAATTGGTTACCTACAGCCGAAATCAATAGCTGGTGTATAAGGCTAAGGTATTTGTTGCTATCTGTATGTTAGCAGTTATAAATAAAGTCTCTTTGTAATAGAATCTGCCTCAAAAATTGCATTCCATTTATTTACTGACGATAAAAAAATATTTTTTCAGGTGGAGGATTTTACGAGGTGTAAAAATTCTTCGAATCAACACAAAATATAATGTTATATGGGCTCTTGGAGTCGCAATACCGGGTGAAACCGGTGCAATGTGCTATTTGTATGACACTGTGCTACCACTGAAGAAATTAAAAACGGCCCCACCCTTTCCAACACATCCTCCAATGTCTGATCTACCTTTAGAATATTACGATGAATCGATTCATCCGTTTGATGACTCTACTATAACTTTGGATGACGCCTAATAAAATCTATTAGAATAAGATGAATTAATAATAAATTGCTTAAGAAAATATAAATGTTATAACAATATTAGTTTTTTTTTGTAATGTGATATACTCGTATATGACCAATTTTTTTAGTAAGAATTACTGGAAAAAGTTTGCTAATTTATTTTTTAATAGTATGAAAATGAAAAGGTAATCCCGCCTGCATTATAAATAATAATAATATAAATTTCAATAGAACTTAATTAAAAAGAAACAAAATTTTATTAAAATTATCACAGAAACACGCCTTAAATGAATTCAATCAATCGTACGAGTTTTTTACTTGTTACTATTGAACATCAGTAGACTATTAAGATCGAATCAATTATTAATTTCTTTAACATTTCATTAAGTTTTTTTCAAACATTTCATTTTAATGGGTAAAAATGTAATGATAACCCCGCCATATCTACGCTGGCGGGCCACTAGTGGGAAATGATAGGTAAAAATAAAAGCAGTTCAGTTGGCCCCTCGTGAGGAATTTCTTTTTATACCACTGAAGTGGCAAACAAGCATATGGCCCACGTGATGGTAAGCGGTTACCGCAGTCTATGAACGTCTGCAATATCAGGTGTATTATATGTGCGTTGCCGACCCTGAAGAAACCTCTACTTCCTTTTTGAAGAACCCCATGCTGTAGTCTCTTGGGAAAACCTCGGCAGGGAGCTCATTCCACAACCTGAGTGTTCGTGGGAGGAAACATTTTTGAAGCCATGCAGAACACGACCATTGAGGCTGTAGGTCATGAGGATGAACTCCCTGTCGATGGCAAGCCGTACGATGGTAGAAAGTGGCTGTGGGCATCATATTGAACATTTCCTCTGAGCACAATCCATTGTACAGGCGGTAGAACACGCAGAGTGAGGCAAAATCACTCCTAAGATTTAAGGGTTCGATACGGTTTGTAAGCCTGGGATCATTGACAGTTCTCATAGCTCGTCATTGCACCGAGTCGAAAAGTTCAAGCTGGTATCTAGGTGTTTCCGCTCAAAAGTGACAGCAATACTTTATGTGGGGCTGGATTTGCGATTTGTAGAGCATTAATCGTTGATCCGGCGTGAATTAATACTTTGATCCATTAAGCACATAGAGTTTTTGAATGCCAGCTTCACTTTATTTTCGAGGTGGCCACGGAATTGTACATCACTAGAGATATCGACACCAAGGATCCTAATGCTTTTAGAGATGTTAAAAGACGTGCCCTGGAATTGAAGTGCCACAGCGAATGGGTTTTTTAGCGATGAATGCGTAAAATTGTGTCTTATAAATTCAACAATAATTAACCACGAAGGTTTCCAGTTGAAATCGCATGGAGATCGACCTGATATGATATTTTGCTACCAATGGGGCTTTTTGACTAGATTACTAATGATCCCTTTCCCCTCTAATAGGGGTGCTAGTCACCGTTACCAACAATTCCTCTCCTTCCCTTGCTATGGTAAACGTTTTTCTATATATTGGTTTAGATAATACACATATATATGTAGCACTGGGTATTATGAAACGTTCCAATCGCTACAAGCACACACGTATAAAATGAGAGTAGTTAAGACAACCCTATTAATTTTCTATTAACTTTACAAGGTCTTGGGGAATTAATTTATTTATTTATACTAATAATATTTAATTGTTTATTGGTTATTTACGTAAAATATTCATTTCATTGACTTCGAACTAATTCAATTAATACATATGACAAAGACGTAAATCTATTTAATGATAATCAATTACATCAAAAATTATTTCTATTCTATTGTTGATTTGGCGGTTGAAAACCATAAACAGGGTATGGCTGAGGGCCACCCGGTGGTGGAGCTCCAGGTGCAGGAGCTCTCGTGTAAGGATAAGGTGAAGGAGGATATTGAGCAGGAGGATAACCTTGCTGATAAGCATGTGGTGGATATGCTCCACCAGCTGGAGGGTAATTCTGAGGAGTTTGAGGATAAGAAGTTTGAGGGGGAGGCGCCGTAGACACAGATGGTGCTGGACTACCAGGTTGTGATGAAGGATTTGAATAAGGAGGTTGTGATGCTGGAGGATATGGTGAAGGTTGACCAGGTGGAGGATATTGTTGTCCAGTAGAACCTGCTGGAGTTGAAGTCCCAGAAGCCACTGTAGCTGGTGGAGCATTATTGCCATGAGAACTTGAATTGTATGTGGGTGATTGTGCAGATGGAGAACCGTAACCTGAACTTGTTGGATTTTGTGATGTATATCCACTAGGTGGAGGTTGAGGTGATCGATTTGGTTGGGATGTGGGAGTTGAACTATAAGCAGATGTAGGTGTAGTATTAGGAAATGGTTGAGATTGATATGGTTGTGGTTGTGATACTGTTGAATTGTAAGTACTAACACCTACATTAGGATAGTTAGGGCCAGATTGTGGTGGGGGATATGTTGAGTTACCAGTGTATCCTGGTTGAGTAGCAACACGAACTGGATAGGGTGATCCTGCAGCTACAGGACTACCAGGTGGAGGGGCATATGGTTGCTGCACTGTTGAAGGAGGGTATCCTGATCCAGGATGAGTAGAAGGAGGATAATTGCTAGGTGTTGTAGTGATGGGAGGGCCATAAGTAGAGTTTGGAGGATAACCTTGTGGTTGCTGAGATGGGTTAGGAGGGCCGTACCCTTGGCCTGGTGGCCCATAACCACCTTGTGGGGGATAAACACCAGGTGCACCCTGATATTGACCTTGGTACTGATTTTGGGGATAAGGTCTTTGACCATATGATTGTGTTGGTCGTGTAGGGGTGGTAGAAACTCCAGAAGGTGGACGGTAAGGCTGCTGACTAACACCATCTGCTCCACTTGACGGCGGGTTCAGTGATCCTTGAGGTGGATTACCAGCAGCAAGTTGATGAGGTGGCTACAACAAATATTAAACACTTTGATAATATTTATACCAAAACATGTTTACTGTGAATAAAGCTAAATTAAAATATTAATATAGTTTAAGAATAATATAAACTTATAAATTAAGTTAATATAAATAAATTAATACAGAAAATATTTATTTCTATTTAAAGTTTGTTTGCCATTCTAAGTTGCATAAAAAAAGTAAAACCAAAAAAATTACTTTCACTATTGAGTTTTATGTCACAAAACAAATGTAAAAAATAAACACTTTTGTATCTAGTACTACTATTCTATTTGCTATAAAAAATAAGATGCATAATATCTAATTAATCAACATTGTCTTTTTCTTAAAACTAGTATTATTTTACAATAAGTTGAATGTATCTGGGTACATTAAAAAAAAAAAAAAGTTTACTTCATTTAAATAATAAAAAACTTGAACATTTCAAGCATGTTGCATTTCAAACTCTAACAGCTAACATCATCTTTTTGGTATAGTTGTAAAAACAACTAGGATTTCATTTTGTGTTTTTCAGTTTAGTTATGATCAGTTGAAAATGATGAAAGATTTCTTATTTATGATGTACTTTTTGGTTTGACTTTTGAAAAACAAATCTATCAGACTTAGATACTTTTGTAAATTCATTTATTAGTATTTTTAGGTATAAACATTGTTTTATTATTACAAATATGAATAAAAGATTTACTACAAAAACATTATTCATTTTTTAATTAATCATAGGTAAATTGGTGTATATACAAATATATGTAAGATTGAATTTTTTAACTCATTTTCACACCAAAACATTAAGTAGAAAAAAAAATAAGACCATAAATGTTAATATATGAATGTCACGAAAACTTTCACACAATAGCATACATTTTGCTTTTCTGTTAGGTATATCTGTTATGGCAAAATGGTCAGATTATAAAAGAACCTTATAAGTAACACAAAATCTTAAAAATATACACTTACCGGTAACAAATTTTGCATATTTTGATTCGGGTCTGCAATTGAAGCTAAATAAACTAAATTCCTGTGCAAGACTTGCTGGTACTGATGACACTCTATAACTTGACCTTTCGCTTGATACTCTTGAATTGTTTGTATGAGATGAGCATTTTCATCCAACATCTTTTGTACTTGAGCCGGACTTAAAGGGGGTCTATTTCCTCGTGGTGCAAAAGCAACGGACATTGTGGAATATTCCAATCAATTTTTATTTACAGTACATGAAATACTATCAGTCTCTTGATCTTAATTCAGTCTCAGAGATTTTAAAAAGTATACTAACAAAAAATAAGAATAGGCAATAAGTTATATGAAATCCCATGGACCATAGACAAGACAAACAATATTTTTTAAGAACAGTTAGCGTTGCGCGAATTTATTAATCCGACTACTATTTATTCGATTGAGCAAATCATTTGACAACTAATTTTATTTAATCGACTACTAATGATAGCCGACTACTAATATCATTCATTTGTAGTCGTTGATGTACGAGTCGAATTTTAATTTGTTTTATTAAATTCAATTTAATTTTATATGTTTTAGACAATTTGGATCCATTTTTGTTAAGTGTACTTAAAAAAAAAAACTATGTTAGTCCTTAATCACATATAATGATCTAGTCCTCTCGGTAAACATTCTCACGAGAGGACTATGTAATTTATTTACAAACTTTGGCAAACATCATGGATTTGATGTTTGATGAATAACATTTAATGAATAATCTATCATTAAAAGTAGGTACATATTTTTAATGATAGATTTATATGCAATGTATTCTGTGATTAACGTTTTAGTTCATAGGCAGAGCATTTTTTTAAATCGGAAACTAATTCTTCTGAAAATTGACAAGTAATAACGACGTCGAGATATTTTTTTTATTCTTTTTTTTCATTGGTTGTTTAGAACCAACTGACTGGGATGGAGATTAGTAGCTCAATTGTTAGAAATATACTATGTCAGGCCGACGTCGACCTGGCTCCAATAAAATATTCAGTGTTTAATATAATTTAAGCATGCAGCTTATATAGCTTATCAATATGGTGCATTGGTGTATAATTTGACGGAGTGTTATTACACATGACAAAAAAAAGATAATAACATTCATTTTACTGTAGTAAAAAAGAAATATGTTACTCATACTTTTAACTTATGCTTTATAATAAATTATTTTAATTCTTTTTTATAACGTACCAATCTAAGGTAGTAACAGTAATAATCGACACTAATGCCGGTCTCAGTTTCATAGACTTAGTATAGTATACTACGTACTAACAGTCTGGCAATGCAATCACAAAAACGGGACGAAAATGTGATTACATTTGTGTGCGTGAAATGTAAATGTGAACAATGAACAGTGCTGCACCATGCAAATTCTATTGTTACACAATTCATCGATTCTGTATCATTCTGTATTCATGATTCATCCATTAGAAATCGAAATTCAAAACTTTTATTATTATTTAATAATTGGTATTTTATAAAGTTAATGTAATTTATTTATTAAACTTCAGTACACATGTAATAAATAGTACGTAGTATATACATATTATGTAATAATTGTGCTATAAAATAATTACATTTTTAGAAACCAAATATTTGTATGGATTTTATATATTAAATATATAATAGTGTATTTTAACCGACTTTAAAAATAGAAGGAGGTCGCAATTCATTTGGATTTTTTTATGTTTATTACCTTAGAACTCCATTATTTATAAACCAATTTGGAAATATCCTTTTTTTATCTGATATACTCGTATAGTCCCATAAAAATTTTGTTATAATCGCTTCAATAGTTTGATTTTTAAATCAATATAACTGGTTTGCCACGATAAATGTGTGAATACATTGCCGTTTTTTAAAACTGTGGTGTTATACTTCCACATTTTTTTTTTACCAGAGGGAGACTACACAAAAGTAATTTGTGTATGTTTCGGTTTGATATAATAATAAAATTAGGTATAGGTACAACAGTTTTGTCTTCAGCTATACGGTAACGCATGTAAGGTATCACGGGCGACATAGTATACTGTGTTATGTACATGGTATTGTTCATACAGATACAGAGTGATGATTTTCACTCTTAATTAAGTAACTAGTCAGCTAATTTGAAAAAAAAATGTCCCACCCTCTAAAACGAAACACAAATAATACGACAAATGCAGAATTATAACTTTTTCTATTAATAAAAAACTTATCAAAATCGGCTCATAATTAGCAAAGATATTGTATAATATACATATAAAAAATATATTCGAATTAAAAACATTCATGTCAACAAAAAAAGTATATTTTGATTTATTCTTTTAAAATCGACCAATAAAAGATTAAAAATGGTATCATTTTATTTTTTGCGTCAGTGGTCATTCAAATTTTTTTATTTATTTGTTTTAATTTATATAACAAATTAATATATAGTTATTATGATTGAATATATAATGGCCTGTTGCCTTTGTCAACTTGTTCAATCGATACAATCGATTGAAATTTAGCAGCCATTGAAATTTATTGACAATCTCTAGGGAATTGAAATTAAAATTTGTGAATATTCACGTATTTGTTATTATTTTAATTCGAATACCTTCATTGAGCTCTCAAGGTATTAACTAGTTTAAATGTGATAATTTTCTCTGTCGATTCATATGCAAAATATGGTTCTAAATATTATATTTAAATAAGTAAAATGTTTCAAGCATATTTAAACGTAAAGCATGAAATTCAGGTAAAGCACACTTAATTCTAAGTTCATTAATTTAAAACTAATTAAATACTTAAAAAATACTAGATATTATTTGTGATTTTACGAAATAATACGATAAAGAATTATTCCGTATCAACGTATATTCGAAACAATTTTTAGACAACTGAAAAAAAAAAGAAGAACTATATTCCATTTCTTTTTCAGTTCATACTCCCACCAAAACAACTTCGAGCTTATGGTGTGTAAAATATTATTCTATTGTCTCTCTCACTCTAACATACAGGTTAGTATATTTTCTGTCTCGTACATTGCCAAACTATATACTTTATAATCTAATCTCGATTTGGTCAATAGTAAAGTAGTAGTCACTTTGAAATTGATCGTGACGAACAGAACGAGTCTGGACTGTAATATGAATACACATATTGTTTCTGACACAAACACTTAGTACAATGTACTACATAATAATGTTAGACCAACAGTGAATTTATCCGACGTTGTATTTCCTTCTTTTTGAAGTCGGTTGATATGAATCAAGCTTATTAATCAGATTCTCAATTCGGCTTTTTTTTTTATTGTCGGTCATAATTTGATTTAAATTTCAAAATCGGATCACTTGTTTTGAAATCAAAGAATTTTGGCACAATTGAAGTCAGTTCTTTCAATCTTAAATTATTTACAGACACGTTACGGGTGTGTGGGGTTAGATTTGGATGATTTTATGCTACCTTGGAACAAAAAAATTTAGGCGACTTTAGACTACTTGAGGTCTAATTTTTGACCAATTCCGGTCCGTTTTATATGGCAATACTGATAGTCTATAATCTGTGTATTTGATAATTTAATAACATATTTAGGTGTATTTTTATAATTGTACATATAAGTTCGAGTTTTCTTAAATTACGAAAATACAAACAAACTACAAAAGGTACCTAAAAATATCTACTTACAGTACTTACCGACCTCTTCTTTTGTTAGGAAGTTTTAAATATGTGTAATTTAAGTAGTTAATACCTAAAATAGTAACTACCGAGCTCGGCATCTACCTACTTTACATTATTTTACAAGTCATACTTATAACTAATACATCTTTACATAATTAGACGTAACGCTTATAATTAACAGTACCTACTTAGATAAATGAGTATGAATCCACATACTTTACATTGTTTGATGAAATTTATTTCAACTTATCACTTTTTTACAATATATATCATATTGTAAAAAAGTGATATATATATAAATGTACTAAGGTTAATAATGAAACTGGTTAAAGTACATATCCACTTACGTCCGTATACAGGGTATTTTTAAATGAACATGTAATAACCCAGGCTAGGCTATCAGTATATTTTAATTGGTATAAGGAATGAATTGAGAATTGGTCCATTCTAAAGAATTCACCGGCATTTAACCACGGTAATTTCCGGGGGAGGGGAGACCGCGTGTAAGTCGACCTGATAGAGTATATGGGGAAGGGATTAATAATAATGGGAACAGGGAATATGTGAGAATGAAAAGGCGAGTCTTTTAATGGATGATAATGAAATGGTAGCCCCGTCTGCGCTATCGGTATATACTGGTGTGGCACCATTGAGGTGATAGGTGATGATGAAGCAGGTCTATTTTTTTTATGGATGACAAAGGAGTGGTACCTCCACCTATGCTAACGGTATACGTGAGCGGGGCATCAGTGAGTGATAAGTGAGATGAAAAGGCAGGTCAGTGAGTACTTCGTAATGAGTACACCAGGAATTAAGCACGATGGTTTCCAGGGGGAACCACGTGGAGGTCGACCTGACAGAGTATATTGCTAGCAATGGGACAGGTAGTCCCTAATACTAACAATCTGTTCCCCCTTGAGTATTTATTTTTTATGGGTGAAAATGGTACGGTAATTTCAACTGTGCTATCGGTATACACTGGCGGGGCACCAGTGAGAGATGATAGGTGAGGATGAAAGCAGGTCAGTTAGCCCATAGTGACAAATTCAGTACGACTTAATCACAATGGTTTTCAGGAGGAACCGCGTGGAGCTCGACTTGATAGGGTACTTTGCTAGTAATGAAGTCATTACACCCTATTACTAACAATCCCCCCCCCCCGGGGGGGAGAAGGATTCCCTGGAAATCACCGTGGTTAATTCCTGATGAATTAGTCATGATGGACTAACTGATCTGTTTTCATTCTCATCTATTATCTACTCACTGGCGCCCTACCAGCGTATTCCGTTAACGCAGACATGGTAGTCATTCCATTTTTATCATAAAAAAACCTAAGTTGACCTTGCGGTTCTCCCTGGAAATAATCGTGATTATTTCTAGGTGAAATTATCAAAATCAGCTAATTGACTTGTCTTTTCATCCTGAACTATGAACGGAACTGGGATTATCATTCCATTAACATCTATTGAAAAATAAAATCGCAATAGGATCAATCGGGTTATATTTTCATTACTATCAATCCCCTCCCTCTCACATAACACTCATTAACCTTGGTTTTTAAACCTGTGGCAGTTAAATATATGGAATTATATTACGTGCTTAACTATTCTACAGAGGTAATTGGTTTTAACTTAGTTTTTTTTTAATGACGAAAATGAAATTTAAGTAGGTACTGATGAATTAATAAAAAAGAAAATATTTATTTGGCGCATACCGATAAAAGTTACTAAAAAGACAAATAATCTTAAAGAAAAAAAATACAAATTTAAATTTATACCTACTTAGGAATCATTAATGGTGGTAAAGGGTGGTAATGGGATGGTAACCCCGCCTGCGCTATCAGTATACGCTGGCGAGGCACCAGTGATAGACAGGCACTAGTGATCGTGACGAATTCCACTGCGATTAACCACGATGGCTGGGGGGAAAGGGATTGTTAGCAGTGGAGTTTGACAGCCCCATTGCTAGCAATATGCCTTATTAGGTCAACCTCCATGTGGAGGGTTCCAGGGGGAACCTGGAAACCATCGTGAACAATTCTTGTTGAATTCATCACGATGGGCTAACTGACCTATTTCATCTTCACCTATCATCCTTTACTGGTGCCCCACCGGTGTATACCAATAGCGCGGGTGGGGTATTATTGGTGCGCTATCATTCCATTATCATCCATTAAAAAAAAGCCAATGCCGCATGGCCAGTGGCGTAATTCTCGGAGGGCTGTACTGCGACAGTGTCCCAGGAGCCTTAAGCTCAGGGGGCCCCTCGGACTCTGACAAACTACATAAATTAAACTATAGTGAAAATTTCTCCCACATTCGGTATAGAAATAAACCAGATTCCAGGAACGCGGCTATAATAATGGCAACTTGTTTGGAAAAATATAGCAGAATTTCCGAACCTATATTCCTTGGTTAGTTTCACAGTCGCACCATCGAACAGCGCGTTTCAACAGCATGCGCACGTTTGTCATGAATCTGGATTATGATAAATCTGAAGTATGTTGAATTCGAAACACGACGAATACGGAACTAACGAATTTAAATAGTTTAGTTGGGGCTCTAGTTTATTTTTTTGCACCAGGGCCTTTGGTTACCTAGCTATACCACTGCGTGTGGTGCCGGTATAGAATAGGTCACCCCTTCCTACCTTGTGCGTGTCGTAAGAAGCGACTAAAAGAACATAATGGTTGAGGGATAAGCAGTAGCGTCCCACTTAAAACATCTCTAAAAGCCTAACTACGGTTGCCAACCCACCTGCCAAGTGTGACAACTACTGGCAAAACTCCCCTTATGGGGAAGGCTTATGTTCAGCAGTGATAATGATGAATGTTGTAGGTAATCGTGTACATTACGTATACAATACCGATTCTAAACCGGTTTTCACAATAATAATAATAATGTACCTACACAAAGGACCTAGTTTCATTTTAATTTTGTGACGATGTTGTAGGTTCGTTCTCAGTCTGATGTAAGAAACAATATTCGTATTCATATTACAGTCCAGTCCTGTTTAGTTCGTCACAATGAATCTTTCTATTGATCATACCCAGATCAAACCAAGAAACCAATATCATTAGATATAATATGGGTCCGGCCTTGTTACTACTATAAAAACATTCTGAATAGAGGTTCTGGTAAATGGAATGAAGGGACCAAGTATTTGAAATTTATCTTATAGATATATGGTTTAACTCGGGGCAGAAAGTAGTTTTATGAAAGTTCGTCGTTTTGTTCATAAGATTCATTTTTAAGTTACTTGCTTTAGACTCTTGGGGAATTCTATTTAGCAAAAAAGGCCTTTCCACCACCAACTTATGGTCTGATAATAATTAATTTTCAGACGCTATCATTGCTAATAATGGCCCTAAAAGGTATTAAAGTTATTGAGATGATGGGATTGGCTCCGGGACCATTTTGTGGATCAATATTAGCCGACTTCGGAGCTAGCGTTACCGTCGTTCAGAAGGTATATTATTCCATAATAATATTATTATTACCATTATGTGTACCATTAGGTACTCATCTCAAATAGTGATAATATTTAATATTTTTGACATAAAATTCGTTTTGTTAATTAATAAATCTTAATAGTTATTTTTATTCAAATTGAAGATAATAGGAGAGGGGAGGGGGCATTATTTTTCATGTTGCAACAAAACTAGCGTCAGGCGTCGTAACGACTCGTCATTTATTTAATCTTTTTCTGTTGTTTTCGTGGACCGTTTCGGACGCTTCCAGGGACTACTATTTTTATTTTAGTCCAGAATACTCGACTAGTCAAACTTCGATTGTTCTTACATTAAAATATATCTCTGCATTTGTTTATATTTTCATTAAACTACAAGATTATACTATTATAATTTTCAAATCAATAAACATAATGAATATCTGTTACAAAAAAATCTGATATTATTGTTCTTCTTTATTTTTTCTCATATTTTGCCTAAAACCTTCATATATTGAGACTCTTTCGATATAGAGTCTATATAGATATTTAGTTTCAAGTTCAATTAAAAAAAAATTCTTATTTTCACACTTAGGTATGAGTAACATTATTCATCCATAAACTTACATACTAACATAATATTAATAAGTAAATTTTGTTTTTCAGATAGAACCTTCTCCATTTGATGTGATGTCGAATGGAAAAAGGATGATATCGGTAAATTTAAAGACCAAAGAAGGTGTTAATATTTTAAGGAAATTATGTGCATCATCCGATGTTTTTTTGGATACATTTAGACCAGGAGTTTTGGAAAAACTTGGCCTAGGACCAAATTCACTTTTAGAAGAAAATTCTCGTTTAATTTATGCTAGATTAACTGGTTTTGGTCAAAAGGGGAACCTAAAACTGAAGGGTGGTCATGATATAAACTATGCAGCAGTATCTGGTGTACTCTCATTATTAAGAAATAAAAAAGAACCTCCAAGACCACCAATTAATCTGTTAGCTGACTTTGCAGGAGGTAGTGTTTTATGTGCCTTTGGAATTCTATTAGCTTTATTTGAACGCACAAAATCTGGAAAAGGTCAAATAGTAGATGCTAGTATGACTGAAGGTCTAGCTTACATTGCATCTTGGTTATTTAGATCAAGAAATTTGCCTATATGGTCAGGAGAGCCGGGTACAAATATTTTAGATGGTGGTGCCCCATTTTATAGGACATATAAAACCAAAGATAATAAGTACATGGCTGTGGGAGCTTTAGAACCAAAATTTTATTCAAACTTTTTAAAAGGCTTAGGTCTGTCTGAAGATGATTACAGTCAAGGTGAAGATATTGAACATCATATGAAAATATTTGAAGAAGTATTTCTTCAGAAAACACAAAATGAGTGGTGCCAGATATTTGATAATTTAGATGCTTGTGTGACTCCTGTATTAGATTTTGATAGCATTGATAATGAAAAATATTACATTTCTGATAATTTATTCAAAAGAAATGCAAATAATACAATTGTACCCAAGCCAGCCCCAGGGCTATCAAATACGCCTGGAATATCAGTTGGTTTGCAGCCTTTGCCGCAACCAGGGCAACATACAATTCAAGTGTTAAAAGAATTGGGGTATGATGACTATGTAATTAATGATTTAATTAAGCAAGGCTGTGTTTATGCTAGTCAGAAGTCCAATTTATAAATTCCAATGCTAATTTATTCATGAATAATATTATTAAGACATAATGGAATCTGGATGTTGTGAAATTAAGTTTTTTATATAGAGAAAATCTTTAATAATACTGGGTGATACATAGTTATTTAAAAATGTGTGTTGATCAAATATTGTATTTATAACTTTTAATATAACATTTAAATCAAACATTATATGTTTTTTTCCTAATTTATATTTTCCAAATATTATATCATTTTCACCACCAATTTGAGTAAGTCTCTTTTTAGCAATATTACACAAAAAAATTAGGAAAGTAGTAACATCCATACCAAACAGTGATTTCAATATCAATTGACACTGAGAATAAAATTCAGAAGTATCTCTAAATTCTTGAATTTCATGTTCTACAGAAACTAAACTATTTTGTAGTGCTTTAAATACTAGTTCTAAATTACATCCATTTATCCAATTATGATTAACAGATATTGTATCTAGCAAATTAACTACTTGATGGTGCCAACCAGATGGCACAAATAATGCATCACCTTGCTCTTGTATTATTTCGAAATATTTTATACCTTCAGACATTTCATATTTGAATAGTAATGGTAAATTTCCTAATGAATCTTTTAGTTTTTCTTCTTCTTGTGGTGGAAATAATATCCATTTTTTTCTACCCACTATATTTACTGACCAACTATATGAATTATACACATCTACATGTAAAGGCGTCCTGTAACAATAATTTTAACTATATAAAACCTTTTTAATTCATTATTAATTAGTTGTTTATAGAAAGAAGTAAATCTTTATACATTGATTTATTATACACAATTTGTAATGAGTTGATCTTAATGGATGGAAAATGTACCACCTGTACACATGAATAGCATCATAGACAGTACAAAATAAATGGCCAGTGGATACTCTCTGGCACCCATGGTTCCTCTAATTTTTTCCATTTCTAGTGTTACCTTCTCAAATTCAGTAATTTCATAAAACTTCATATATTAATGATAATTCTAATACATACCATGACTTTTCTGGACCAATATATACAAACATAAAGTCATCTTCTTTATGATCTAAAGCATATTCATTGAGCCAATCAGATGCAAAAATAAAAGGAACTTCATAAAATCCATCATTGGGTTTTATTTTTCTCAGATGCCAATCTTTAAGATAAAGAAGCTTTTCTTTTTCATTTTTCTTTAAATAACTTATATAATCATTCACTTTCATAATGCTCTTACAATGTGCATTATATGTTATTTTATTACAGTCTGCGACAGGTGCTTCTAAATTACCATAACTAACATTGAAGTGATCATAATTTATTATACCATTATTTATCCATTTTTTTGCGCATTCCCAAGTTGAACTGACGTTTTTAATAATGCAAGGTATATTTTTTTGCATATAATTTTGAAAGAAATGTTCATATTGCAACTCATTAATGTTCAATTCCATACAAACACAATCGTCGTAGTTGAATTTGAATGTGTAATCATAATGTTCAATTTCAATTTCTTTCATAGTTTAAAAATAAACACCACGATTCAATAAATATCTAAAGCTCAAGAAACATTTTCATAATATTTTCTACCCGTATGATAGATATTTCAGAATATTTTTTTTTTTTTTTTTTTTAGTACGTTTGTTCCGTTTGGAACAGGCTAAGATAGATAATTTGTCTGGAATTTTCAGAATATTGTCAAAATGACAAACTAGTAAAATAAAAATTGAAAATCAAGATAATATTTGACAAAAGTCAATTGTTAGAATTTTTTTCACATTAGAAGAATTTATTTTCAACAATGGAATGGCAAAGGAACTAAGTCATACAGTATGATCTTCAGATAGCATTTGACATTTGCTGACTGTTGTTTTATTCCATTCTTTTTAGATTAAGGATATCCATGATTAAAGAAAATAAATATCAGCGCATTTGAAAATTAAATAAACCTTACATTATAGTATGTTACACTCCGTCCATCCTTGATCGTATACTCTTTGCCCAACGTCTATGAAATAAACACTTGATTATAAATATAAGTATAAGATGATGATTGCTAAGTAAAAAAAGTAAATGGAATGTGATTGCTTTTTAATAGTTAATTGAATTAAATTGCACTTCTTTTCGATAAATAGCGCCAAATCTAGCGAAACCATAGATACCTATAACAGAACTATTTATTAAACCCATTTATATTCTTTGTATTCTTTTACAGAAACACTACAGCAATGTTTACCTAGTCGTATTTAGGTTATATAAAATGTGTTTAAAATAAAGACTCAAATATCTTGCGATTTTCGGCTATCGTAATGTTCACTATTATATGAAAACGGTTCCAAGGCATCAATTCAGATTTTATGAGACCTAAAGATTAGACTGTATGATATTATTTCCTTTACTTGCTTGTATAAATAAATGATACAATACGTCACGTCAAATAAAATTTGTCATTCTGTGATGGCGGTGCTTGGGAGCTATGTTATTTTATTCACAAAACATAGTTTATCGTGTTTATGTGTTGTTTTTATTACACAAATATTACTTAATTTATAATTTTTAATTTTAAAGTAACAATTGGAATATTTTATAGTGATTTTCTTTTATATTAATGAATATTCTTTGATATAAATGTATTGGCGCTAACATTACTGTTGCTTCTAATAAAAATAATATGTATATAAGAAACTTAAGAGTTTAAGTGATATAAAAACTTTTAGACATACATTGTTTTTTGTATACAGATATTGTGTTCATTCTTGTGATTTTTCATAAACCTGATTACAAACAATTTGTCAACATGAATGATGTTCGTGATAAAGTTGTTGCCGGTTCTTCGTCGTGGGAAAATGTTGCAACGCACAGCGATTCATCGCCTGAAATTCAATCATCACCTAGTGGAAGTGGTGACACACCACAGACTCCAGGGGCGCCTGCTCCGCTTGCTCCACATCTTGCCGCTGATTTACATCCAGATCTCTTACAACAGGGTTGGCGAAAATATTGGTCAAAAAGGGAAAATAGACCCTACTTTTGGAATAAACTTTCAGGCGAATCAATGTGGGAATTGCCAGCAGTAAAGAGAGATTTTGATCCCATAACGGACCCTCTTGGCATTTGTCATACAGGTCCTCCTAACGCAGGCAACATGACCCCTGGTGCTAGTAAACGTCGGCCATCAGAAGACAATGGTCCCCCTCCAAAGAAATTTGTGTTAGCTGGTCCTTGGGACATAGAAGTACCAACTAATGTTGTAATATATGAACGTCCCCCTACAATTTGCCCGCACCCCCATCCTGAAATAGAAGGTTTCAGATTTACATTAGCTAATAAATTGAGACAATGTTATCAAGAGTTATGTCACACAAGAGAAGGTATTGATGCACCCAAAGACTCCTTTAATAGATGGCTAATGGAAAGAAAAGTTAATGATCAGGGTGGTTCTGATCCCTTACTGCCCAGTCATTGTTTTCCAGAAATATCTCGTTCTATGTATGAAGAGATTATGAATGATATACCAATTAAATTGACACATCCAAAGTTTACAGGAGATGCTAGAAAACAGTTGTCACGATATGCAGAAGCAGCTAAAAAAATGATTGAATCTAGAAATGCATCTCCAGAAAGTCGTAAAGTGGTTAAGTGGAATGCTGAAGATACATTTCAATGGTTAAGACGCACAGTTGGTGCCACATATGATGACTTTCAAGATAGACTGGCACACTTAAGAGTAAGTCTATGTTTCTGCAAGAAATTGTTATACATAATTTCATGATCTTTTTTTGAAAAATGCTCAGAACCTATTTAAGATACAGGTGATTTAGAAGAATATGGTAAAAGCACTTACATAAGAAATATTTTTGGTATGCATTTTTCACAAAAGAATTATGAACTATATAAACTTATGGTAATAAAATAGAAATTATCATTATGGGTTAATTCTAAGCAATTATTTCGGTTTGCACAAGGAATATTAATTATAAAATATATTCAATTAACCAAAGTGAATGCATAAATATAAAGGTGATTAAAAATATTTATATAGGTTGATAAAAAAATATATATTTAGGGGGTTAGAAAATATTAGTCTTACCACAAAAAAATATGTAAATTAAAAAATTATTATTTTAATTTACATATTTATTTAAACAGCATTTAACAAAACTGTTTAAGTGATTACACATTGTTTAGTTAAAAATTCAAATCAGTTAATTTTTGTTTTAATGCAATTTAGAATGGTAAACAAGCTAGCAGCCCATCTAATAGATAGTGGTAATCGTCACCTATAGATATAAACAGTACCATGGACATAACAAAATATTTTGTATGATCCATGATACCCTTTATGTGTTGTCATTCCTGAGGACTATATCTATAAACTAATGTAAAAAAATATATATATATTACTGTTTTTAAACAAATTTTTAGAAATAAACAGTTTTGAGACATGTTTTTGTAGTAAGACATCTAAACATGTATGAAACATCTGTCTATCATAAGTTAAACTTTTTTATGATAGAATACTATATATTTTACCATGTAAATAGACCATTAAAATGAAACTAAAATTTGTGTCCTCTTAAATCTGTATAAGATCATAAAAACCACAAGAGCTAGTAGTTATTGTCTAGGCATATTTTTATGTACTGATAATTTTTTTGTATAAATACAGAAAGGTTGCATTACATAAATTGTTTATTTCTGTTGTTGTACTGATGTTAGTAGATAGCAATGCAAGTTGTAAGTTGATTTTACTTTTTTAATTAATTTTCTTTAATCATAGTGCCATTTAATTTTTACTACTATAATGATCAAATAGTAACTTTGAGTACTCTTGATGTATTTCAAATTCTAATAATTTTTGATTCATAATATAGATATTCATAATATAATATAAATATTCTATTTATGATAATAAAATATATAGTCTCTGACAGGGTCAATTTGTTGACATTTTAAAAATAATATGTAGTAATTAAAAATATTTAATTTTTACTATAATGGAGATTGTAGAAGAAATTCTGCAGTATTGACTCTCTTCATTATCACTTTCTAAATGTATATGAAAAAAAAATTTATTACTAAATGTGTAACTAAGTGCAAAACTTGAGAATTGAACCAATTTTGCTATTTTTGATTTACATGTTCATTGATGCTCAAGGAAGATTCTTAACACTTAATGGGCCCTGTAGATTTACATTTTTCCACTGCATAAAGGTGAATGTTTGACAGAATATCATACATATAAAAAATACTAAACACTAAATTTTAATAAATACTGTTATAATTTGTCTAATAAATTTTTATTATAGTGACAATGCTTTAAATATACTATACATTCATGTTTATTTAATTCCCCTAAAAATTCCCAGAAATTAAGGAAGACAGAGCAGATTCTAGCTGTTTGTTAAATGTAAAGGAAAAAATTGGAAAATTGACCAGAAGGTCCTGAGAACCACTTTTTTCCCATACAAACTGATCCAAAAAATTGATAACTGCATATATTAATGCCTTCATTAATATTATATTTGATTTTTCTTGTTTTGTCAAAGATGTTTGACATCATTTGTTAGGTCAGGTAGTTAATTATAAATTTTTCTTTGAAGCAAGAAATTAACAAGCAGGTGTGTTGAAGTGGGTATCTCACTGTCAGGACATCTTATGTTTCTATATTCAGCTATTTGCCATCTTGGTGCAATACCATCAGTTGTTCAAAGCTAAAGGATATTGTTCAGATTGATACCTGCTATTGATTTTCACCACCATACCTGCTACAAATTAAAGTTCCATCCCAACCATCTGGATGAGTGGAAGTTTTCCACTGTGTGTTTTCAAGGCACTTTTTTTTCCATGCACAACCACACTTTGATATCAACTTCCCACAGCAGTATTTCCGAATCGATGCAACATGTAGGCTCTATTTATAATTTTATTAAGAAATTGTTATGCTTGCTTTGCTTCTAGAGCTTAACTCTCTCATTATAAGGATATAAAAAATAGTATTTTAAATGGAGCAAGCACTTTTTTGTCCAAAATTAAAGAAAAATTAAAACTATTCAGGAACACATTGAAAATTGATTGTGTATTGAAAATTATAGATACATAATGGGGGGAAAACAATTGGTATAACTTACGTACTGATGGGCATAAGCCATTGAGAGTCAAGGTGAGGGGCTCGCTGTTAGTCTTGATATTGCAAAAGCACTTTACAGGTTCTGGCATCGGGGTCTTCTATCGAAATTGCCCTACTATTAACTTCCCGACATCTTGTGTAAAGGAATTGCCAGCTTTTTGTCCGGCAGACACATAAAAACCGTTGTAGATGGTTGCTGCTCCGATGATGGCGTTCCGCAGGGCTCTGTGCTATCTCCAACGCTGTTTCTGCTTAATGATATGTTAACCTTAAGCGACATTCATTGTTATGCGGATGATAGCACTGGGGATGCCCATTATACGGGTCGTATCAATGTCCCTCGTTCCATCGTGGAGGACTATCGTGAACAGCTTGTATCTGATATCGAGAGAACGTTAGCTAGTTTCTGATTGGGGACGATAAATGAACGAAAAAAACAAGACACAAGCTTTAGTGTTCACCGCTAAAAAACCATTTGCTGTGGCTCCAAAATTCTAAGGCACGTCTTTAAATATTTCTAAAAGCATTGGGATTCTTGGTGTCGACATCTCTAGTAGTAGTCTCTCAGTCTCAGTTCCGTTGCCACTTCGAAGATAAGGTGAAGCTGGCAACCAAAAAATTCGATGTGCTTAATAGAACGAAGTATTACTTCACGCCATATCAACGATTAATGCTCTACAATTCACAAATCCGGCTGCTTAATCGCGTATTGCTGAAAATTAACCTTCCCATAAGGGGAGTTTTGCCAGCAGTTGCCACGCTTGGCAGGCGGGTTGACATCCACAGTTAGACTTTAGTGATATTTTAAGAGGGAAACTGCTGCCCACCCTCGATTATTAAATTCTCTTAGTCACCCATGGGTAACGAAGAAGAAGAAAATTATTATATGTATAGTTCAATAAAACTATCATTTTTTTAAGATATATTTAAAATAAAATATTTTTGGAAATGGTCAATTTCAAAAGATTTAAAGTCTTCCCCAATAGAACCTATAACACTATCATGGTATATACGTGTTAGTTTTGTTTAAAAATAAGTCTAATTTTACATTTATCTTTCCGTTTGGTCTGTCGAATGAAAGAATTCTCTGGGTTCATATCAAATTGAAGGTATTGCTGGTATCAGCATGTATTCTCGTAAGATGTTACTGAACTAAGTATCACTCCATATCACTGGTTAGTTAATTAGAACTATTTTGATTAATTCAACAACTGTTATTATGTATAAGACTGCCAACATTTGAAAAATGACTACAATTATTAACATTAGAATTAATAATAATTTAGTAGCGAAATAATAGCTCTTTTCCACAAAAGATTCAGAAAGTACTTGCGATCGATTGCGAAATGAAGTTGTTCTAAAAACAGACTTCGTAATCGTAGAGTAATCTACCCAAACGCGCAATAGAGGAAATTGCTAAGGAGTAACAAACTTCTCGCAATCTAGAGCGTATGAGAAGCATAGAGGCGTCGATTCTGGAGAACAGAAGAACTCCCCTCGAAGAGTTGGCCTTTTCGATGGCCGTGCGCAACTCTGCGATGGCCAAATTATCCTAACAGATATCGTAAAACTATCCTACAAAACAAGGATTAAGAATGGTATCACCCAAGTAAAGGTTCTCATTGGTAGACTGCTCTGCTTCAGGAAGAGCAATACACGTCTGAGATTTTTTTTATTTAAGAGTTTCCTCTTGTTGGGCAATTAATTCTTGTATTTCCTTTCAGCTAGCTCTATTTCAGGTCATATCTTTGACCTACCTATACGACATAACATCTAGTTTTTCCTTTATCTGTTCCATGTAGTAATTTCTCGGTTTTCTCATTACTCGTTTGCCCTTTATTTTTCCTTTTAGTATGCTCTTTCAAAAATCGTCATGTCTGTGCCTTTTCTATTCTCTATTGTTTTTATTTATGTTCTTTTCTCATATACTTTTTCCAAAATTTTCTCATTTGTTACTTTTTCTGTCCAACTTATCCATTCAGGAGAATGGATAAAATAAAAGCTGGACTTAAACTGTGGACATGGAGGACCATGTCAACATTTCGAATGCTTTAAGCTTCTTATTACGTTTGTCCCAGGCGAACTTTGGTAAAAACCCATGGAGCGCATCGATCTGAAGCAGAAGATCGTTGCATGGGGGAAGCAACTCCGACTACTCTAAAAGGGTTGGTTATTAACAGAATCACCTTTTATGAGAAGCGCGTAAAAGTGTAGTCCATAGGACAAATATAAAAAAAAAATGCGACCTTAGGCGTGCAATTCCAGAGTGCCATTGAAAATAGGACGTTGTTATACTTCCATACAATCGGGATCATTCATTTAGTTCCTAAGACAGACGATCCATCTAAATACCGCCCCGCCCCTTCACTTTACTGCTCGACCACTGCGCTTTAACTTTCTTTGAAGGCGTAACTGTATGACACCGTGCCACGACGATTAACAAACAATATATAATATGTTAACTTCTGTTCTAAGCGCTAAGTTCTCTCGTCATGTGTATGAAAATAAGATCATGTCTAGCGTTCAAAACGGATATACGGGCGGTAGTCGCAGATCGAAAGAGCTGCTCCTCATATATGCTGTTGCTAGTTACGTGGTTAAGCGAAATCGTCGAAATTTCTTTTCCGCCTCGATAAAAAAGCCGATCCCTATTCATGGTTCCGGGGGATACTTGATCTATACAAGATTGATAGTACGGTTCGAGTATTCTTAGAGGTATTCGTATGTATGTGGCAATGGACTATAGTTTTTCAACTATACTATAGGTTAATAAGTAAGAACAATGAGCTTTATCTATTTATATAGATATATACTCTTTATTGTTTCCTCCAAAAGATTACAGTAGTAAACTTATTATGAATATATACAAACAATTTCAAGAAATGTTCATACCGAGAAAACATTAGACGGTCTTATTGCTAACAGCGATCACACACAGTAGACAGTTTGATCGAAGGCACGATGAAAATTGTTATTTTTAATACATATTGAGATGAAATACATGCAATAATATAAATATATATCCCTAGGTACTTTCTAATATACTACTGTAATCAAAAAGTAAGGTGAATTTGTTTATAAAATGTAAATTCTTTATTTATTTTTCCAAATCAATTTCATCCCCTTCAAAGTAATCCCTGTCCGATAAAACGCACTTTAGCCAATGTTTTTTCCAGTCCTTGAAGCAGTCGGAATAGTCTTTTTCCGGTACAGTCTTCAGACCTTCGATTCAATTTTTATCTCCTCAATTGTGTCAAAATGGCGTTCCTTCATTAGCCTTTTAAGTTTGCTGAATAGCCAGATGTCGCACGGAGCCAAATCAGGCGAATACGGTAGTTACGAAACAATATGTGTAGAGTTTTTGACAAAAAATTCGTGAAGAACCGCAGCAAAAATTGAGCCATTTTGGTACAAATCGAGACTTGATTATGATATTTATTCTTATATCTTACTTATATCTTATTATCTTTTTTATTATTCTTCAAAATGGTTTAGGCTGAGCCAAATGATATTCCAACACTATCAGCGAGGTCTCTAATTGTCAATCGACGATTTCCAAGCACCAAATCTTTGATTTTTTTAACTTGGATGTCGTGGGTAGAGATTGATAGTCGTCCAGAATGCGGTTCGTCTTTGACGCGTTCTCGGACCGCTTTGAACTTGTTGTACCATTTATAAACGTTTTTTTTTGTGCCATAATTTGATTACCAAAGGCCTTTCGTAACATTTTCAACATGTCCGCACAAGAATATTCATTCCGCAAACAAAATTTGAAGTAAGTTCTTTACTCAACAAAATCAATTCACAAAATCAAAAAAATCGAAAAATTCACTTTTAGTTGTTTTATAAAAACACGTGTAACGTAATGTTGGAAAATGCTATAGACAGTCTTACCAACCGAGAAAAAATTTTATTCGCTTCCTGCCCGGGAGTTTTAAATGACAATTTCACCTTACTTTTTGATCACAGTATTATATATGTCCTTTAACTTGCTTTGACGTCGGCGGTACCTGAATCGTAGATTAGAGTATGGGCGCTTACGCGTATTACAGAGCCAGGTCAAGTCGCAGAGGGCGGGAGGGAAGAATGTTTTTATTGTACTTTAGTACTAATTATTTATACTGTGCTTAAATCTTCCCTTACTTTCACCTTAATAAGAATATTATCATATGGTTAACGTTTTTTTTAGTTCATTAACAGAACACTTAAATTATTAATCTGAATTATTGAAGGTGTTCTTAAAAGTTGACAGATACTTAATTGCTACATTGCCACACTTCGGAAAAACAAAGTTCGAACGCTCTTAAGATTATTTTGCTATTATTTGTTGTTATTAGTAGTGTGTTTTGATCATATTTGTTTTATTACAGAGACAATGTCAACCACATTTAGCAGAGACTGTTAAAGCTTCAGTGGAAGGAATTTGTTTGAAAATATATCACTTGTCTGCAGAATACGCTCGTAAAATAAGAGAAAAACACAGTACTCTTCTAAAAGAGAATGGCATTCAGGTATAATATTTTTTAAGTTTTCAGTCTTATAGAAATTGACATCTTCTATCTATCCCATTTAAGAGCTGCGCTCTTGTCGGTGGAGCTCTCTTACAAGAGCTATTGACATCAATCTCATCTTATACATGAAAGTTTATAGAACTGTTTGTATGTTTGCTACCTGAAATACGCTGAAATAGATTAGTCGCATTGTGAAGAACATTCCATGTAACAACAACAAATGTATGTGTATATATATATATATATAACATATAGAATATCTACTTTATATACTGACCGATTCGTGCAGAGAAAGCTGCGAGATTTGGCAAGATCTATCTACTATGTAATAAGGTTTATTCATCATTCAAGCTATTCAAACATATCGAAACTATAACATTGTAGATTCTACAATATGTTTATATTTTTTTTTTGTTTGCCAGTTTGGCTGTTTCATTTAATTCCGAAATAGGTTATTAAAAATCTTAGGGTTGGCATGTTTTTTCAAAACTATCTAGTTTCGAGTAGAGTGTTCACTCTACATGAAAATAGATATATATACGAATTAAAAAATTATTAACGTAACGTAACATCATGTGAGTCTAAATTCGAAATCAACGAGAACTTTTATTTGTTGTACACTGATTAAAATATACTCTATTTATTAATTATTATTTTAAGTGTTATATGCAGTATAATTTATTGTCGAATAGATTTAATATTGACCATACATTATGTATAGTAAAATAATATTAAATCTATAATCTTTAAGAGATAAATTCACCTTTCCTCACATTCTTTTTAATAATTGTTATTATTACTGTATTTCTGACTACAATAAAGAATATATATATAATATTTTTTTTTTTTCAATTTGGAAAAACCTTTTTCATAGGTAAATCTTTGGAAATATTGGAATCTAAAATGTGAACACGCGTATTTATACATTTCAACTCGCAATTCGCAGCTTTTTGTTGCAGAAAAATAGTAGCCACAGTAAATTAACTTCAATCGTCACTAAATTAAATTACAACCTTCACGTGAATAAACCCTATCGAAAGTAGAAATAATTGAGATAATCCACTCTGAATTGGCGACGCACCTAACTGTCTAATATCAAAAAAAAAAAATGGAATTGTGTGATTTCGATTGATAATTAAATACTATTGCTAGATTGGTCCTTTTATTTTTTTATTAGAAACAATTGCTTTTCTTCTCTCATATAGGAATAGAATATTTTTACATTTTTTTAAGGGAATATATATTTTTACAAAATGACTACCTACTTCCATTATATAAACACTTTTCCAAATAGTTCAAATTAACAGAAGCTTTAAAAATTGTACAAAACAACTATTTTGAAAAAAGTTTAAGTTTCAGCCATACAATCAGTTTCGGTTGGACATTAATAAGAATTTATTTCTCAATTTGAAAATCGATAATTAGGAGATGCCAGCTCCGCTGCAGCAGGCGGCATTACGAAAAGTGTGGTGTTATCCGGTTCAGTTTGCTGTGCCAGCGCCGCGACCACCGCTCGTTGAACATTTTCTCGATCGCGATCAGGCGCTACTACGGTACCTCGGCGAGACACAGATTCTCAATGCTACGTATCTACAAAAACTAGTAAGCAATTTCTTTGAGATATTTGTAAAAAAATACATTAAAAAAAAGATCTTTATTTCTTATATTAAATGGAATAGTAACCCCGTCTACGCTATTGATATACAGGTAAATTTATTTTAAATACACTATCAGGACTTAAAGCAATGAACAATTTTTACAGGTAAATAGTATCTACATATCTGCTCCTTTATTGCCGACGTTTCGACGTGGATTGCATCACGTCGTGATAACAACACCACGTGGTGCAATAAAAAAAAATTAAGTCCTGATAGTGTATTTAAAATATGTGTAAACAAACGCGAAAGCTTAAAATTAACTACAGGTATATTGATAGGATCCCAGTAAGGGATGACAGGTGAGAATTAAGGCAGGTCAGTTGACCCAACTTGGTAAGATTTTCAGGGGGAACGACTATGTGGAAGTCCACCCGACAGGGTATATAGCTAGCAATAGGACCGCTACGACGCTTTACTAACAATCTCTTACAGTAAACTCAATTTCCTATAGAAATCTATCTAAAATTGTTTATTAATTGTTTTTTTCAACGTAAATTTAATACACTTGAACTTGAATCCGAGTAAACTCAAACCTTACTGGAGTAAAAATTTGCATGCAATGGAGACAAGGGCGTGTTATATACTTAATTCCACGGCGATGACGTTGCAGGAGTGCCTGTACAGACATAGCTGTTTCGACGACAAGAAGTTCGAGCAGTTCCTATCGCGCGTGTGGTGCCTGCTGCGGCGGTACGCAGCGTGGGTGGGCGCGGGCGGCGAGGCGCAGCTGGCGCAGATGGCGCTGCCCGTGCCCGTGCTCGAGTGCTTGCAACGCTGCTTTGGCGTCACCTTCGAGTGCTTCGCCAGTCCGCTCGACTGCTACTTCCGCCAGTATTGTTCTGCATTTGCCGATACCGACTCCTACTTTGGCTCGCGCGGGTAAGTACATATTTAACAAAAAAAAGGTTTAAATAGTTTCCAACAGTGTTGCCTTTGTTTACTCTCCATCTCGTCATCGAAATAATAACAAATGTTTTGCTAGTTCTTCAAAATGCTTGTAAAAAATGACATCCAATGTCTTGTTACTTGGAACTTTGGAACTCTAAAAATATTTATTGAAGCTCGAAAGTTTATAACAAACGGGCGAAAGTTGTATACCTTTTTCAAAAAGCAAAATAACAGAAATTCGTTTAATGTGTTATTAATAGGAGAATGAAAATTTTTTTTAATCTACGTACTATCCATCTGAGCCAAGTAATTATTAACATGTTTATCGTTGAAGGAATTTCGGAACAATAATGGAACTCTGTTTTACGGTTCCTCAATGGATATTCCTATTGTATTTTGTGTACCTATTGGACCTATTAGATAATTATGCAATAAGTACGTCAGGTGTTAGAAAAGAATCCGAAACAAGCCTTGTACAAATACAAAACAGATTGACAGATTACTATGTTGAAGTTAAAGTAAAGTTACCAGTTAAAGTGGCTCCCTATCCAACTTCGACATGATATGCACATCCTTTCTTTCCTTTATAATATTCTCAATAACCCCAATTCTCCATCGTAGCTCCGCTCCCGGTTTAGATTATTACACCACCAGTCCGTCGTGCAATAGTTGTGGCACTTCAGCTGCCCGCTAACGAAATACTTTCTTACTGTACTGAGATAAGTCCACTCTTACTCACAACATTTATAAATACATTATTTTATATGTAACTTACAATATATATATATATATATATATATATATATATATATATATATATATATATATTTGTTGTTGTTACATGGAATGTTCTTCACAATGCGACTTGGTATATTTTAAGACTGATTGCAAAAACGGCCAATTTTTATAGAGAAGATACAAACGAATGTACTGACAGAACCGCTGCTGCAACCTCATATAATATAGGATAAGACATCGCACGTTGCCATCTTATTCTATTTCATAAACTTGCTAGAAACGATTTAATCAATAGATTTTTTAGTACTTTGTATGAGGATCAAACTAGATAGCTGGATAAATTCACTATAAAATGTATAGGTAAATTTAGTACAAAGCGAAGACAACATAATATAAATATACATTATACGGTAGAAGATGCACAGAGATGTTGCATTTCTGTGAATCTTCTACCAAATTTATCATGGAGAGTGTTCTGAGGAATTGTTCGGATTGATACCTGCTGCTAATTTTCACCACCGTACAGTACAACCCGCCATAAACTAAAGTTTCATCCCAACCATCTGTACGAGTGCCAGTCTTCCACCGTGCGTTTTTCAAGGCACTTTTTTCCACGCACAACCACTCTTTGGAATCGACTTCCAGTAGCAGTATTTCCGAACCGATACGACATCATAACCTTCAAGAAAAGAGCTCCTTTTTAAAAGGCCGGCAGCACATCTGCATTGCCATTGGTATTGTGGGTGATCATGGGCGGCGGTAGTCACTTACCATCAGGTGAGCCGCATGCTCGTTTGCCCCCTGTAAATATAAAATATGAATACATCAGCTCGAATTTCGCAATGATATTGTAGTGTTGTAATTCATTCAATCATTGAATTCATTCATATTCTTATGATTTTAAAATCGGCACCACTCGTGCCTATTTTAAAGTCATAAAAATATTATTTTTATATATTTAGTTTATAGAAATTTTAAAGGTAATGATGCTATAGACGAAAAGTTCCACTTATAAAACTACGAGACTGTTATCGATATTATCTGTTCTTCAAAGCTAAATCCCCCTATACAACTACAAAACAAAGAGTGTAAATTTTTTTATGCAACTTCGAATGGCAAACAAGGTAACAGGCCACCTAATGGAAAGTGGTAACCGTAGCCTATAGACATGAGCAGTACCATGGGCATAACAGAGTATACTGTTTCACTCTTGATACCCCCCATGCGTTGCCATTCCTGAGGACTTAGGTGTTATTTCTCTGTACCTTGTAAATTCACTGCCATATCCCACCTTTCAAACCGAAACACAGCCATGCAAACACAACTGCTTCACGGTAGAAACACGAATGGGACAGAAGTGCTCAAGCAAACGACTTTTTTACAGTTTCCCTTTAGTGAAGATTGTACAACATATAATTTATTTGTATAAAATATTTATTCAAATACATACACGTGCTTGGTGATAGGCCGTTCCTTGAGTTGCGGCCGGTGTCAGGATCGATGGTAGCGCACCCGCCGTACTGCGAGGAGCTTCTGGAGGCGGCGCTGCGGCACATGGAACGGCTACTACAGGACTCAGCCGAGCCACTCAGCTTCGTTGTGGTGCTGCCCGAGTGGCCCGACCGTCAGACACACGCTTTGCACAAGTTGCAGGCTAGCCATTTCAAGAGAAAACAGGTATATCCAGATCAATTTACAACCTTTCACATTTAACTCGCCTGTCGATAAAACTCATAAGGATCTATCTTCACGCAATATAAGTTATTTATATTTTTAATATTTCTAGAATTGTTCTATTTATCTATAGGTAATATTTATGTATTTAAAAATAATGTAGGTTTGTCTATCAGGTAATAATAATGTGATATACCTCGAAACCCAAAGCTCAGACACTTCAAACTCGAAAACTTAGAAGTTGCAAATAGTTGGCTCTTGATGCCAGGATTAAATCACTCAAAAGTCGATTGCTTGGGTACCTCTGTCCCATTCGTGTTTCTACCGTGAAGCAGTTGTGTTTGCATGGCTGTGTTTCGGTTTTGAAGGGTGAGATATGACGTAAATTTACAGGGTACAGAGGAATAACATCTGAATCCTCAGGAATGGCAACGCATGGGGGGTATCATGGGCGAATCAGTATACTCTGTTATGTCCATGGTACTGCTCATGTCTATAGGCGACGGTTACCACTTTCCATCAGGTGGGCCGATAGCTTGTTTGCCATTCTAAGTTGTATAAAAAAAATTACTCTAAGAAATAAATTATTTTGAGTAAAAACAATATGTGAATATAATAACAAGGGACACTGCAAACTAAACAAGCATATGGCCCAATTAGGCTTATGCTCAAAAAGTGTTTGCAGATTTTGTCATAATGAGGAAGAAATGTCGCAGCATTTAATTTTATGGTTGTAGTCCACTCATACATAAACGATATATCTCCTTTGGAAAATATACTTTATATCCTCAGGAAATATAAAACATTGTTACAAAAAACGTCTTAAAATTCCTATCATTGATAGGAATTAACCGAGCTGAAAAAAGTCAGTCTTTAAATAATAAATATATATTATCAGGTATAAGTTTGATTTAGTTTGGGACTGGATGGTAACTTACGTCTACTGTGTGATCTCTAGAAATTATTGTTATAATTTCTAGCGATCACTGTTTCATTTGTATGTTTATCAGATTTAACAGGTTGTTTTATTTAATATTTTGGTCATTATCTAAGTATATGAAGGAATAAATATAAAGAAATTGATATTTAATTGCACAAGTCATGATATCAATTTCTAAATATAACAAACACGAAATCTTGCGTTTGACAGTTATATTACGTTTTCTATATATATATATTTATTCTTCAAGTTTTTAGCTAATATCACTCAATATGACAAAAGTAAAATATAATTGTAAAAAGTGTCATGTATTCTTGTTTATGATGCTATTTGAAAGTGTACTTTAAATATCTTGTTTTTAGGTTGTGATACCAGCTTTCGAACATGAATATCGACATGGGTTCCAGCATGTACTTCCAAAGTGAGTTAAAATTAATATCATTAGTCAATTATAAAAAAAAAAGAGAAAATGATACTAGAAGGATCGTTATGTATATCTTACAAAACTGTAAATGTATGACTATAATTGGCTAATATGTAGTGAATGTATTTCATAATATATTTTCATATATAACGTAATTCAATTTTGTAAAAAGCTGTTGTTATCGCAAATAAAAGAAATAAATAAATAAAGATGGGTATTATGCGCAGAAACGAGGTGTACTTCCGGTGGGGCGGCGGTACGGTGGTGGTGTGGCTGCAGAACGCGGCCGGCTTCGCGCGCTGGGGGCCCACGGAGGAGCGCGTGGAGGCGCTGCTGGACGCGTGGCGGCCGCGCGCCAAGCTGCGCTCGCCCGCGCCGCCGCCGCCGCACGCGCCGCACGCGCCCACCGCGCCGCACGCGCCGCACGCGCCGTCCGCCGACACGGAACCGCCGCCGCCCGCGCCGCCCACGCCGCACCACGCCGCGCACTCGCCGCACCCCGCGCACCTCGCGCACCAGCCGCCGGACAAGCGCTAAGTCCCCTCTATCGGAACGTTCCTCGGTGCGGTGTTCGCGTATTGATTACGGCGAGGCTATCTAACGAAACGAAAATCGGGTGACCTGTACTGACTATTTCATTGTCGGAATTGGTTAATCAGATCGCAAGGTTTTTGGATTGGCGAGCCATTGTAGTGATAGTGTTCGTGAACTTGAATAATTTTATTAGCAAACCTATCTTTTTGACAATTACATTCTCCGAGGTCGCCTCGAAAGATCTCTTTGCGTTAGGGTTGCCGTATTAAATCTGCTGTAGTAGTATATTCTAACCGCTTATATATTTTTATTTTCTATGAAAGAAATAAGAAAATAGTTTTTCGCAATCTGATGAAAGTAATTTTCGTATTTCAACCTACGGTTCTCGGAGAAAATTGTTCAGTTTCACAGGTGTCATTACTCGATGTTATTATACATGTTATGTAAGTGAAATGACATACACATAGACAAATGTATGTAACAGACGGCGAACGCAGTGGATGGTGCACATTGGTGATATTGTATGAAGCCGAGGAAACTTTCGATGTTTAAATGTACTGTGAATAACTTTGAAATGAACTGTGAAGTTTTAGCGACGTTTTCTCAGACGTAGCTAGCGCACAATGTCAATAAGAACATCTTTCCACTATCTTCCATTTGGTAAGTGATCTGAGCAATGTCAATATTAAATAGAGAAATAGTGATAATGCAACTGTATCTTAATCAAATGTGACATGATGAATTTATAATGAAGTGCATAGTGGGCCAAACTTGTATATAGTTGTGCAAATTGAATCTATGTATATAGATTTTTCGGAATCGTTTAATTGTCTACTTATTTTTATAAATTCTTTTATGAGTCCTTTAATTCTGTTGTATAGTTGGATAAAGATTTATTTGATTGTTTATGTATATGTCTATCATTATATTTTTAAAAAAAAATTTTACTCCTTAATTTCAACACTTTGAATAAACCCTACTTTGTTTAATTGACATCGTACTATCTGGGATAGTAAATGTACCACGTTTAACTATCAGCCAGTTCCTGTGGCAGCATATTTTGGTAAGTTTTATATATATAGTCATCATCATATTAGTAAAGTTTTGGATTTTTTTTCAACATAGAAATGATCCTAAAAATTACATATTATGCGAACCACTCTACATTTGTACTGTAAATTATATAGGAAAATAAGGAAGGAATATTTTACGGTGCCTATTTTTGAACGCAGAAATTACATGTAAGTCTTTGAAGACAATGAAAATATTTAGTAGAAGGATCTACATAAAAATCTAAAATTATCAAAACTGTTTAAAAATGTCTTAATTGTCTTGTGAAGGTAGATGAGTTTACTTGTAACCTTTGACTTTGCCTCCAAGAATTAGCATATCTTATCAAAAACATAAAAAGTAACAAAATACCAAGCTCGCAACGCAGTTCATCTATTAAAAAAACTTGTAAGGTATCATGTAAAACCGAGTCAGTTATCTTAGTGACTATACAAAGCACCTTTTCAACAACTGTCTTATGAATTGCCTATAAACATTTGTAGAGGCCGTATTGATATTAGATATCTTTATTTTTATAATAATTGACAATGACTTGGCAACTACAAGCCACCAAAATTATAAACGAATAATTTAAAACAAAATTACTAATTAGAATATTACCTAAAAATACTTATTGTTAGGTGAACTATCTTGATTTACTATCTATATTGAATTATTTAATAAATATGTTTTGAGCTTTAAAAAGGAGCAAAAATTATGTGACTAAAAATAGAACTCATAAAAGAATCATTTATAAGCGGTAAATATCTTCAATTTCAAGTATAAATACAATTAAAAATATTCAAATTTAAAAAAAAATTCGCACCATTTTTAATATTGCAAGTGTCCTAAGATTTCCTCGTAATTTTTTTCAATAAGAACTGAATTATTTTAATTATTATTTATATTTTGTGCTATTTTCTCTTACATAATATAGTTTCAAAGAGATTTTAAATTCCACTATATATATTTTATTACCAAAGGATCTTTATTATTTAATCAATTGCTTTCAAAATCAAAATCCGTGTATACTTTAAATATCGGATCGTTATCTAAGGATCCGTATATATTTTAATTTAATGCTATAAAAGTTTTACTAATTTTTAGAGCAATTTGAAAGAATTATAAAATTCTATCAAATTCTTATTTTTTATCTAAGCATTATTCTTAAAAAATAAATCTATAATTAAATATATAAATAAAGTTAAATATTATAAAGGATTATTTAATCCTCATAATATGTTAAGTTACGAGCTTCACTTATTTACCTTAGTATAATCATTTCTAATCTGGTAACCCCGTCACGTACACAGTTGTATGAAAAAGTTGACCCGCTTTATTCGAACCATTTGTATGGAGACATGTTATGTAATCCTAACTTCCAAACATAGCCCTCTTCATAACTCGCAGAGTAATTTGAAGCTTTACATACCGGCAAACTTGTAGGACCATGTTTCAGTTCCATAGGTCTTCTCTGGTAAGGTATTTTACATGAGATGTGGCGTCGTTTTCTGAACGCTGCCCAGTCGACATATATACATTTGTTATTAAAAAGGTGTATAATAATAATAAGCGTAATAGGAGGTGTTTAAATCATGTAAAAAACTTTTAGCATATTACATGATATTTAAATCTGTAGTAGATTCTTCACCAATTTCAATTGCCCTTTGTTCTATGTTTATTTATTCAAGCTTACTAAAAGAAATAAAAAAAAAACAGTTCAATAAGGCAAAATATATTTGTATCACTAACAATTTCAGTAATAAGTATTTAAAACGACGCCCTGAAAAAAAAAATAGGCGGATTATTTTCGTAATTAATGTATCTACTACCTACACTACGCTAATTTTAATAAAGAAAATTTACAAATTCATTGGATTCTATTAATTAATTTATTTGATTGTTTAAAACAGGCTTCGTGTAAATATTACGAGAATGTAAGTAACATGACAATTAAACACTCCATCGATTTTCAATGATAACAATAAATTGTAACTAATATACCTGCTTAAATAGACAATTTAAAAACAGTATGTAATCTTAAATTAATAAATGATAGCCACAATCTAAATACCTAGATGTGGAACTGAATATGGCTTTGGAAAACTTGATTAAGACTCGGACGCTTTGTTATCCTATACTATTGTCAGCAGATCTATCAATCTTATAAAGCACATGCTTAACTCACCACGAGATGGACAGAATAGAGAATTAGTATTATTTGTTTTCATTGACTTGTAATACATTTTTATTTATACCTAAATTAGGTTATAATAAAAACATTACTTTGTGTACATTATTATCAATCGCGGACTCGGAATTACGTAGATACTGAGTAGTAATTTAAAATGACCATAGCTTTGATTATTGAAGACTGAGTTTTAACTCATGGGCTAGCGAAACGAAAAACGAAACGAAAGACAAGGTGGTATGGTGATATGGTCTAAATAACTTCAGTTACCACTAACATGAGTCCTTTTTTCTTTGCGTGGTCATTTCTACATTGGTACATACATAGGTACTTAAATTATTTTGAAAAATAATGTTGAAAGAAAATTGTAACTTACTTAAGATACTTATAACCGATAGAAGTTATACACTGTCAATTCTCGAATTAAATATAGGTATTAATGAACAATATTGAGATCAGAAAATGCCCGACATTTTAAGTAGTTACATAGCAATATTGCAATATTACAATTTGAGTTGTTTCTATAAATCCATATGCAATTAAGATAGTAGATAGTAAAAAAGACTGCCAATCATTTTATACCTAACAATTAATTCGAAGTGCTAAATTAGTTATTTACACATTAAACGTGGTTAATGTTACAATTCAAACATCATGTTTTGCTTGCATGAACTTACATAAAACTATACCATTAATGTTTCCAATTTTAAATATAAGCTGGTTTATCAGGTATAATAAAATATTTATTGAAAACGGTTTGTTCTTAAGCGTACAGATTTATAGCGATAGAAAATATCAAAAAATACTAAGAAAACATATATAAATATAACGGTAAAGAAGTCTCCTATAGTAAAAAAAAATAGCACTGAGTAAAAGGTACAATGAGTTTAGAAGATACATTTCCAAAAATATATATACAATTTTTGTTATTCTCAAATTTTTTTAGTTAAAAACTTAGAGAGGATAAAAATGTTTATAGTTTAAACTTACATTCTGTAATTAAATTTAAATTCACATATTTTTGGTACAATTTAAAAAAAATCATAGTTCAGAATAAGTATCTTACTGGGGAAAGCCAGTCTCTTAAATTAAAAAAATTAAATATAACATAAAAGAGACAATAGTACCGCAAAATCAACCTCATTGGGTTAATTCTGATGCGCCATTGCTTTAAACTTATCTACTAACCTAATAATTTTAATTTGACAATTTCGCGAAATTACTGTTTTTTGGCCATCTTAAAAGTATAATAACTTTGACTTAAATCTAAATATATATTATATTTATACTTTATTATATTGCACACAAAGATATATGGTTTCAAATTGTTTTACTTTTTTCTATTCTATGAGAAAATGATTTCATATTGGTCCTTACAATAAAGATTTCGCTGTGATTTTAATTTTAGAGATAGGTTTAAACAAATGTCGTTTCAGAATTGACCCCATTGCTAATATTTTTTTCATAACTTAATTTATTTTTTAAATTCTCGTCTCTTTAAATTAAGAACTTTAACAAAAAGTACTAATTAAATATATACCATAGGGAACACCTGTGCAGTTTCATGCTTCTTACCAGACTAGACAGTGAGTTAATCAATCAAAGTACAGGCATATACAACATGTAACCATTTTCTTGGCAATACCGAAATTTTTATAAAATTGCATTTATTTTATTATATCTTATTCACAAAATCTCGTTTTTCATAAATCAGATCACAAACCAATAACACATACGTGAATAGATTATCTTAATTACCATCCGACAATATTCTGTTTCTGATAATAAAATTAAATATTATATATCAAAATACAGAATATGTAATTTTTACAATAATAAAGAAGTCAACCAGTGCACAATAAGTATTTGCATGAAATACATCTAAAACAAATTCTTAAAATCTAGTCTAATTATAAAATGTTTCTTGTGTTCAATACGAATAATTAAGCGAGTGGAACATATAATCAATATTAATTTATAAATACATTAGGTTCTACGCTAACACCATGAAGTATGGCGTAGGTAAATGAAGTCACTTATAATGAATAATAATAATTAAATGTTAGTTACTAATTATAGTATTTTAAACATTAATCACTGCAGATTTTCCAACGCGCCATATAGATAATTAAATTTTTTGCCAATAATAAGTTGTAAATTACATTTCAATATATCTTGTGTATATAAACCGAGTAGAAATTAATACTTGGATTGTGATAGTACAATATTATATAACTCATATAAAAATTATTTTTGGAATTATAAAGTAAGATGTAATTAAATAAAATAGTAAATTAATACACCAGTTATAAGATGTTATAGTCCGTTAAAGTGATCGGTCACGGCGCTCGAAAGGCCTGACAGACGCCTACTCTCAGCCATGTTTGCGACATACATTTTGGTAAGGGTTGATATTTATATGTACAAGCAAAAATCACGATTTATGCAAGTATCACTTTATTTATTAAAGTTGATATAAACTCTATATGATGAAGTATATTTTTGAAAATGCAGTGTTTTGAATACACCGCACACTTACACATACTTCATACACAGAAATGTTAGTATTTCTCCTATTTAACTCTCCATATCTCTGTGGAATTAGTATTTGCTTGCGCACCCCTTAAATATAAGAATACGATGCACGAAGTTGAATAGATAAACATATAAATTACACCTCGATACCGTTACATACATTTATACTCTATAAAACGACCATATTTAAAACGAAAATTAAATACAATATTGAAAATAACTATTCTAAATTTAAAATTTTTGATTCACCGTTTATGGATGTTCATATTGTGCTATTTGCTAGCAGATTCTATCAGTAGATGAGAGGTCTAAATGTTTATGGAATATGTATAGGATTCATGATATTTGTTATTTCAATGGTCTATTAAAAATTTAATCTTTGAAATGATGTAATGCCTGAATGTTAACATTACAGTAATTTTAGTAAATTCAAGAGTTTATTTATGAAGTTCAGTGCGTGAAGAGCACCTTCTAAAGATAAAGACAGATGAAAATAAGATTAAATAAAAAAATATTAAAATACATCAAGTTTGTTCTAACGGATTTTACAGTCAAATATATTAATATTAGATAAAGAATATTTTTGTTCAAGAGTTCCATTACGAGATATAAAGGATTTTTATTAATTAATAAATATAAAAGGAAACATTTGAGAGGTAATATACAGATAGGTATTAAATAATTATAATAATGTTTATGATGTATGACTCTATAAAATAAATATTTATATATTGCTATTTTCATTGGTTCACATGTTTTTCATTAAATTTACAACATTTTGTATATTCTACAGACTACAATTTTATGTCATTCAACTAGTAAGAAATTATTATAAAGTAGCTGTTATTTCTGTTAATGTCATTAATTTATATAAAAATTAATTAATAATTGCAATAAAAAGTGCAAAAAATGTACAATAAAATTCTCTCCTTTCAAATTTAATTATATTCTTCATCTTCGTCCATTGCGAAGTCTACGCCTGAATCAACAGCACACACAGGACTGTAAATAAGAAATCACTTATTAAATATATAAAGTTTAGAATTAATATATAAGTAGAAATGACATCACTATTACAAATATAATAATAGAAGAAATAAAAGCTACATGCCACATAGTAAGCAAGTTGCAGTCATAGATCTAATCGTGGTTAGTTGCCGGCACGTTACACCGATGCCAGTACCTGATCCGCGCCTTTTCGCTGCGCATGCGCGATACCTACATATTTTACCCAATGTGTCCTCGGCGCGAATACCCTGCGTCAGTCAACTCAGTTTTACCTCCGTATGCGCAAGCGTTCATACTTATACTTGCTGTTTCCGCGTTCTCGGCTGTTTATTGCGACCTAAACAATTTGTACCCCCTGTTATTGTGTACTTTGTTTTGTGTGTGGCAATATATACTGTGACAAGCACTTATGCCTTTTAAATTGCTTTATCGACTAGCTTGCCCACTATAACTATAAATTATAACCTTAATATGAATATTACAGATAATTAATTAATACATAATACCATACAGACAGGTGCAATGTAAGGTGACATAAAGAATTTAATATCCACATTGACGATTGTTTATCATGAAAGATAACAAACACACTTTGTAACAAATTCTCTTATTCTGAATAAGCATCCCCGCGCACACTACAGGCGTTACAAATCGCGCATTGAGTGATCTGTGATTTATCGGCGCGCAGGGTATTAATGTGGACAACTGATTCGTAGTGCACACAACTATATATATACAAACTGACGAATTAATAAATATACGAACGGGGCGCGCGGTTCGCCTACGTTTGTAGCAAACATGCATTGAAACACAGAATGATAAATTTCATAATAGATTGCATTGATCTGTATCTGGCATAAAATAACACATAAACATACCTCATAGCTCTACATGTGAAGAAAACGATGCGCTTCAACTTTCTATTATAAAAGAAGTAGTTAAAAGCCCATAAACAGCCCGGTTCCCCAAATGGATCACTGGCCAGATCAGGATTGTAACTGTAAATTCGGCATTCAGGTAATAGCACTTCTTTGTCGATGGCAGCCCATAGAGCTGGACGCAGTTGTCGCCAGCGCATGCCGCCCACAGTTGATAGTGCAGCCTCCACTGCGCCCTGCACCCAGCTAAGTGATGGTTCAGCACTGAACTCACTGCTCTATAATGGCAAAATTTATTTTATGAAATAATAAATAAACATCAACAGGCAGACTTTGTATAAAACTCAATATCTAACAGTAAGGTGGCATTTAAATCCTATTAATTTTTTTAATAGTAATAACAAGTAATATGATTTTATATAGCAAAGACAACATATAGGACTGATTACACTATGAAATATGTAAAATGTATAATTTATATGCACTCATTAAATCAATAAATTATGGTACAAAATAAAGAAAGTGAAATTACAGGGTACAGAGGTATAACCTTAGTCCTCAAGAATGGTAATGCATGTGCAGTGCCGTAGACATCACAATTTATTCTATGATGTCCATAGTGCTATTTATGTTTATAGCTAACAGTAACCACTTTTCATCAGTTTGGTCTCAGCTTGTTTGCCATTCTTATTCTCATAAAAATTTATGATATACATATTTAGAAATGGAATTCTTGTCATTTCATCTTATTGCTGGTGCATCCTAATGTTAAGATGTAAATAGATAAAAAATGTTTACCTTTGCCATGGAAAAATCATAATCTGGAAATGCAGCATTCAGTGTTGCAATAAGATAGAACAATGTCTTCCTTGATATAGTATCACATAGAACGCCATCTTCATCTCCAGACAGACTGCGACTGGAAAATTGATTAAAATATTATTATTTATAAATTTTACTAATAAAATTGTAACTAGAAGATGTCTGTATATGGAAGATATTTAAGAAAAATTAATATGAGGGGTCTTAATAGGACTAATAAATGCCAAAACAATAATTTTAAAAATTTTATCTGTCTGTCTGCATGTTTGTTCTGATGTTACACAAAAAATACTACACCAAATTGGATTCAGAATTGTGTTTGTAAGGATCTAACTTTTAAGTTAGATTTTAATATGGTGTATATTATCTTGATACTGTTAATCTATATCATTGGTTACCTACTTCTGAACTCCACACATGTAGTAGCTAATAGAATCAAAATAGTGGTTTCACACCATGCATTATTACCAAGTGAATTTACAAGGTACAGAGGAATAACAGCTTAATCGTAAAGAACAGCAATGCATGGGGAAGGGGGGGGGGGGGTTATCATAGGCGTAACAGTATACTGTTATGTCCATAGTACTACTCATGTCCATAAGGGATGGTTTTTTGTTTAGTAACAATGATCTTAACATTACATAGTATCACATATTATAACTAATATTTATCTATATATACTAGTATCACATATAATAATATTTAAGAAAATGCTTTATTTATAAAGCATTTTATTTATATTTATTAAAATTTTGTCTCTGGAATAATTATATTCAATTAATGTTGTTATTCTAATTGTCTGTTATATTTAATTCCCATACTTTTATATGCAATATAAACTTAATTTGATTAATTTTGTTTTTGTAGGCAAACACACTGACTGAATAGGATTGCACCTAATAATAATTGGAGTTCTTTATGCCATATCATAAATAGTGCTGTGAATGTTAATGTACCTGTACGAAACACCTTCTGGAGGTGACAGTGCTTGAAGATCATGAGTGGTCTCACCATCAGCCGTAAATCGCTTGTAGAAAGCTTTCTCAGTTCCAGCCATTTTGCAACTGTAGCTCTCTACCCTACCTTGTACAGCGCTGTCCCCATTGAGGATCGAAAGCGCTCTACTGAGAGCCTCCAAATGTCCACTCTCAAGAAGTTTCATGGTGTCTAAAATTGTTTGCCAACAATTTAACCACTAAAACTTCTCGTTATCAGCAGCAATAATATTCTTTGGCAGCTCGGTGCACTACTTCTGTACATAGCAGACGGGTGTATAAATATTCCTTTTCTTTTTGAGTGTAGAAGATTCACACTCGGAATAAGAATCGTCTTCTGTTCTTCGTCCGCGCTGATGGAATGCGGGAACATCACAAATAGGAAAGAAATTAGAATTTTCAAATTGCTAATGCAGCAAATTATTTATAGCTTGTTTATTGCCTTCTACACTAGGGAGCGCGTCACTTGTTGTCCATTAAACGTACAAACACTCTTGCCGATGTTACAAATCAAAATCCATAGCAGACATTGTTGACACAAATAATAAAATCACTAATACGTATTTTGTTTTCTTGAATAATTTTTAAATAGAAAGGAGATTCGATTTCGAAATGCACAATAAACTGGGTAGGTAAGTAGGTACACAAATTAGACAACACAAAGAGAGAGAAATCTATTTTTAGCTTTACTGTCAGAAACAAGGACAGAAAGTTATAGATTATGCAATCTATAGGCTTGATTATAAAGATATCCGTAAACGAATATTTTTTTTCTTTTTAGTTGCATAACGTTAATAATAGTGTACTAATCTTCAAATCATTAATTTATATTGATTTATTAAATTTCATTTGATAAGTCAAAAATGCCATTTGACTCCAAATAAAGTATAAATAATATAAACTATCCATAGTTTATTAGAAATCAGTGCATTTAATCATTTAGCGATGAAGAAATAATAATGTTATAAATACATTTTTGGACAAATATTAAAATAAGAATTGTTTTCTTGTTGTACTTATATATATTTATATTAATTGATTACCCTATATTATTACATTGTTATCTGTTTTATAAAAAAATCTTCTTAATATCGTAAAAAAATCTTCTTAGTATAGTCTCTTATATATCATATAATCATAAATTCTCTTTCCTGGTTACATTAATATAATGAACAAAAAAAGGACAAGATGTGTTATCAGTTACTTTTTTCTCAATTTATATTGTATAATTCTTCCTAAACCGTACTTCCGTACCGTACATCATACTTTTATTATTTAATTGTTAACACAAATAGATTTAATTATCATATCAAATAGATTTAATTATCATATCAATTATTCCAGTCGTTAATTGACCACTATTGGACATAGACCTCCCCCATGGAGGATTGCTAGAAGTTGCCATGCTTGGTAGACAGGTTGGCAAGAGCAGACGGTAAACGTTCAAACCGATAACGTATGTTAACCGATAACTTATTATATAGTTCAATAACTACCCGACTGCATTGCGTCAAGTTTCATCTTCACGGTAGTAACAAATAATGTAGATGATCCATCAACCTGTCTATATCCTAAACTTAATATATGTACTACGTATCAAAATTTAAAATTGTAGATCAATATTTATACAATATTGTGTCAATTATTTAACCAGAATAAGTACATTTCATTATTTTATATAAGTTTATTGAAGTATTCAATTTTAAAAAGTAAATTGAATTTTTTCAAGTAACTATTTTTTAACCGTAGTTTAAAGTGACTTACTGGCAGTTTCCTTAACCTCAATGTGATCTTTAAACATAGTCTCTCTAGTCAAGCGGGTTTTTTATTTTTTTTATCCTAAACTTAATATATATTATATTCTCACTAAATTCAGTACTACGTATCAAAATTTAAAATATATATTCGTAGCAAGACGCAGTCATTATATTAGAAGATATCCTAACGGTGATCAGTTGCTGGTTCGTTACACCGATGCCAGTACCTAAGCCTTGCCATTGGTTACCGCGTGTGGCATAATCCGTGGCTTTCGCATGCGTCTGCGCGGTACTTATTTTACCAAAGGTTTGCCCGGCGCGACTTCGCTGCGTCAGTCGATTCCGTTTTACCTCCGTTTTACGCACGCGTGCATATACTCTCTTTTCCCATGTTCTCGCCTGTACCTTAATACCTAAACAATTTGTATTGTTAATTGTGTACCTCAACATTCTTCTTGTGTGTGGCAATATATACTGTGGCAACTACTTATGCCTTTTAAATTGCTATACCGACTAGCTTGCCCACTATATCTGGCGCCCAACGTGTGTGGTACGAAATAACACTATATGAATAACATATTTTATCCTATAAAAAAATAAGAAATTGTTTTACTAATGAATATATCTAACATAATAATGAATACAAAGCTGTTTATTGAATAAAAAAATACAAAATCGCATCATCTAACTTATACGTTACTGCGTTGAGGATTTAACTCAATGTAATACAGTTGGATAATTCTAACGAAATAGTTAACGTTAGGAGTAACGCAACGTAGTAGCCTATTATGAATTGAAAAAAATAGCAACTGATGATGTATCTTTCGTACCTTTTTTATTAATTATATTTGCATAAGAAGAAAGGAGGCAATCATATGATTTACAGTTTTTATTTCATCATTTCTTCCATGTAATTCCTTGTTCTTAGTTTTAATAAAAATAATTTATTTGGCAGAAACATAGATAATATGATGTTACAATTTGTTTTTTAATGTTCAGTATGTTTCGCCATAATTATTAGTATGCAAATGTTTATATGTAGTATTTATCAAACAATGAATCCGTTACATTATAATTGTAATATTATTAACATTTATTAAATTCTAATATCGTGCTTTAAGAATAATATAATAAGTCTGTAATTTTAGATGTCGTAGGGGCTCCTAAAATTATCCTTTTTACTTTACAAATCTCTTGTTAGAAGTAATTTTGATTACGCTTTCTTTTGTTAATTATTTCTTAGTAATGGTGCATGTTAACTAAAGAAATTAATTTGACCTCAGTTTCGAATACCTAAAACTCAAATTTCCTTCATTAACCCACTCTATGTTTTTGAATAAAACTATTGTCAATGATTTGAATTTACGAGATGAATATAAATTATTACAAATTAATATTTATACAAATACTTGTGTCAATATATTTAAATCCAGAATAAGTCCAAAATTAAAATCCTTAAATATAATAAATATATACAGGTATACAATATAGTTGAATTATTTATACATTTACGTACATTTCATTATTTTAAAAAGTAATTTATTGAATAAAAATTGTATTCAAGTAACTATTTTTTAACCGTAGTTTAAAGTGACTTACTGGCAGTTTCCTTATTGATTTTGGTATTGTTCTTACTTTTAAACACAGTCTCCCTAATCTGTGATTTTAAACTGTCAATCAATGTGATCTTTAAACATAGTCTCTCTAATCTGTGAATGTTATGGAGAATAATACTTACCTATCAATTTGTATATAGTGTCCTTACTTCATTATCTTATTAATTTTGTAATCATGTTATCGATATATCCAACCTTTACTAATTTTCTAAAAGCTCAATGTCCAAAGTGTTTCAGGTTTCAAAGGTATGGTAAGTAGTCTTAGAATAAATACCTACCTATGTAATTTTTATAAAATAATGCAATACATAACTCATAATGTTTGATTTCACTAGTTACTCGCAAAAGGTTTTATCGATGTACTGGTATAATACAAAATGAAAATAAATGGGAAGTAACTTTGGACCAGCGTCGTTTAAAAACACCGAATGGTCGTGTATTGTTGGTTAATAGCGAACCTCTCGCTCGTGCCATAGCAGCTGAATGGGATGCCCAAACAGATACAATAGCACAACCTACTATGCATTTGGTGAGTAAATACGTGAAAATTTGGAAAGATTTATGCTACTAGCTTGCAGTAGCAGACAACCTATCAGAAGTCCAGGGCAACAAAGTTGAATGAGGCCCTTAGCTACAAACTATTTTATTCAGTTCCCATGTGTATGTTTGTGTATTTATTTAGATAAAATTTTGCAAGTGAAATTTAAATTAAGCTTAAATAAACCTACATCAAATATGAAAATGAATAAGGAAAATGGAGGCATTTGGAGGCCACCTAAGACAAGAGGCCCAGAGCGAGCCACCCTATTCTCCCTCTTTTCATTAGTCTGCCACTGGTACCTTGATTAGGAGAGAGTAAGAATTTCCCTGCACTATGAAAGCAAAATATTTATAGCTGTTCCTTATTTAATAAGCCTTTTAAAAAAACTTTGTTTAAAACGTGAATATAAATACATATAATTATATTGTATGTTAATATATACTCATAACTTTTAATAATTGTTACTCAAATATTATTAATTATTGAGACAGCTAAAACTTTAGTGTTAATTAGTAGGTGTTGAATATTTTTAAATGATATTTATGAAATTTTTATGAAAATGTCTGATGTTGTCAGTGTGAAAAAAAAATTACTTAGTTTTTATGTAGTGTTAACTACCATTCTGATGAAATCATGTGCATAACTAGTGTTACAATAATTGTTTAATACAACAGTGTGTATTAAATTTTACACTTTTACACTACATCTTTTATTTTTATCATATCATAGTTTACCTAAACAATCATGTTAATTGATATTTTTATATAGTTAAACTATAAAACAACAATATTTGTTAAAAAACAGCAAAAATTTAAAATTGTCACTAGCACTGTATCTAATTATTATTATTTTTCAGACAACTTTATGTAACACTGCATTAGATAATCCTGGAAAACTGACAGTGCATGATATTGCTAATTATTTATTGGATTATTTTCCAACAGACACACTTCTCTTCCATTCAGAGGTATGTTTAATTTACTGACATCAATCAAACTCATCTATCCATACAATGTGTTATAATCTCAGCAATTATTTGTCCTTTTGTACTCAGCTAACAAAATTTAGTCACAAATAATCAAATGGAAATTGTTCTAGGAAGAAGAGTTGAGAGCACTTCAAGAAAAAAAATGGATTCCTGTACTAGAATGGTTTCAAAAGAGATTTGGAGTTAAACTAGAAATTTCCAAGGGTTTGGAGCCTCCACCTGTTACAACAGAGACTCGAGCTGTGCTTGCTAGACATTTCCTTTCATATGACTTTACAGCACTCAATGGTATATTTGTACATCGTATAAATACATACATATAAATGTAATTTTTTTATACCACTGAGGTGGCAAACAAGCATATGGCCTATTTGAAGGAAAGTGTTTACCTTCCTATGAATGTCTGTAATACCAAGGGCATTATTTGCATGTTTCAACTCTAAAGAAACCTCTTTATTCCTTTTTTTGAAGAACTCATGCTGTAGTCTCTTGGAAAAACCTCAACAGGGAGATCATCAACTTATCTGTCTCAACATCTCTGAAACTGGTGTGCATTGCCATTCAAGCTCTGAGGTGTGGGCGTATACTCTGTCGATGGTGAGCTCTATCATGGTAGAAAGTGATTGTGGGCATCATATTAAACCATTCCTCTGAGTATAGTTCTTTGTACAAGGGATATAATTTGCATAGTGAGGCAAAATTTCTCCTAAGACTTAAGACTAAGGGTTTGATACCGCTTGTAAACCTGGGATTTAGAATATATCAAATGTTTGATAGATTCAATTGTCATTGCATGTCACATCTATATTCAAAACCAATATAAATGATATTGGATTCAACCATGCTTGGTTTTTGTTGCAACAAATGTTGAATTCGAAATTAATTTTGTTCCGGAAAGGGCTATAATTTCATAAATTTCAGAAATCTTTCCTTTAATGTTTAGGAGTTCTTAGATAATGTAACTACTATATTAATTTTAACATTCTTTTATGAATAAGAAAAGAAAGCTATTCTTGACTATTGTTTTATTTTTATACAAATGAAATCTCTAATTTTACTTTATATGCAATCTGGCTCCACATGTAGATTCAGATCTATTTTTTTCTCTGCTGCAACTAGTAGCTAAGTAGCTAGTTATCTTGTTACTGCTAACTCGCACATCTAGTCCATGCTGAAGTGTACGGGTATAATATTTCGTATTTTTTATTAAACAGCTATATGTTTTGGAGTAGAAGCACTTAAGTCGCCGTTATTAATGTTGGCTTGTATAGAACGACATTTGGAACCAAAAGAAGCAGTGCTACTTGCTCGTTTAGAAGAGGAGTTTCAGGTTAGTATAATAAATAAGTAATTACAAAAAATATATCTGTGCTTCTAGTGAAAAAGAGTATCATAGTTCAAAATAGCTATTACTTAGGAGAAGCAAATAAATTTTATAATTTAAAATTTGGTGCTTTTGTTCCATAATAAAAGAAAAGAAGGTGCAGGTTTGTAACAATCATTGTAGTATTTTACTGCTTTATTTTATACTACCTTTTATCCGCTGCTTTGCTCGTGTTAATATTGATTTTATTCAACAATTTCGAATGTTGGTATAGGTAGAGATAAAATACAAAAAGAGAAAAATCGTTAATAACATAAACAGTCATACAGAGGCTTCGATAGTAAAAACTGCATATAGTCGCAATAGTATATTGGTCAAAAATTATATCTCTATACACAGACCCTGCAAACAAACTATATATTAGATATTATCTGCTACAATCAACATGCCTGGTTGCTACTTTTGAAATAACTCATCATGATCGTTACCGAAACGATCTCCATCTAACCTAGGTACTTTGATCAAGCTAGACAATTTGTTTGCCTTCATTTATTTATTTTTATTATAATTTTTTGTTGTTGTACATTTAACTCTTATTTGAAAAAAAAGCAAAAGCTGTGATTTTTGCTTTGATTGGTGTTTTGGGGGGCTCATAAATTTATTTTTTCTATGTAACGAACGCGGCCTAGCACTCTACACCATAAGACGATGCTCTCAGATTAGCAGTATTAGTAGTGTAATAAAACTAATCGCGATTAAACAAAGGGCGACGGACAGAAATTGATCCCCGTTAAATTATATCTTTCAGCCCACTCCCTCTTTAGTCATTTTATTTATCCTGCCCGGCCGGCGCTTTACATCTGTATTATGTCGGGTATAAACTTGAGGTCGATTTGGTGCGTCTTATTGTTCTACATTTTACTGTTATTAGGATAAAATATATTTTATATGAAGATTGTATTAAATATCCTTTTTGTTTATAACAGTTGATACGATGGGGTCGTGTACCATGGGCCCACGAGTTAAACCAAGCGGAGTTGAGCTCGCGTGTTGCTGCTGCGCTGCTCGTTGTACAATGTTCTACTGAAAAACATTCCACAACTGTAAAGACTCCAGCACGCGAACAAGCCATGAATTGAAGATCAATATATATTTATTAATTTAGCAGTTCAATCTACGACCTCTTTGATTGTGGTTAATAAGGCATCATTATTTACTAGGCACTAGATAGACTGTTATTAAATTACCTAGATTAGAAAAATCTTTTATTTGCTCCCTATATAATATAATAAATTGTACAAATTATTTAAACTAAGATTTATTAGTTAGACATATTCAGAGGATGTTGTATTTCATCTAATAAATCAATAGGTACATTCTAACCATAGTTCAAGTAATAGTACTAAAGTATTCTGGCAGTACTACTCAACATCTAGAGGGAACCATTTGATTACATTTATATATTGTGCCACGATTATCAATTCACAATCAATCAATCATATTTGCCACGATTCAAGACGTTTTGTTGTGGAACACACTCTTAAGTATTTTGATTCAGCCAGAATTATTGAAAATTGCTCATGGATTAAAACCATTTCATTTTTGTTTTTTTTTTTTTTATACAACTTAGAATGACAAACTCTAGGTAATTTCGATACCTATCACTCCTCTTGCTTTTGAAAGTTGCAGTTTGGTAAGTTTAGGCATAAACTCTCATAATTAGATTCCAAATATGAATTTACTGTCAAACTCCCAAAGAGGCAAACTTAGTATTTTTTTTAGATTTATAATTATATAATTTAACTGTTTTATAAGAACAGGGTTACCATGCCATTTTCACCCATCAAAAAACTACTTATATATCTATATCCCGCGGTTTTGCCCGCGTAACTCGGTATATAAAGTGTGTTTAGTTTGAATATAACGTATCTAAATCCAACCGGCTGTTAAGTGTTATTAAATTACAAACATCTTTACAAACTTTCACGTTATTAGTAGAGGGTTTTTTTAATCTGTGAAAGCAGGTCAGTTGGCCGATCATGACGAATTTAACAAGATAGTTTCCAGGAGGAATTACGTGAAGGTCGACTTGATAGGACATATTGCTAGCAATGGGGCTTTTAGATTCCCATTACTAACATTCTTCATTCATTCATTTAACTTTCCTCCCTTGTTCTTAGTAGAGGTTCTTTTTTTAATGGGCGAGAATGGAAAATTAACCCCATCTGCACTATCGGTATACGCGGGCGGGGCACCAGTGAGAGATGATAAGTGAGCATGAAGCAGGTTAATTAACCCATCATAACGAATTCCACAATAATTAACTATGATAGTTTGTGGGGTATAAGTACGTATTGTCTTGATAGTTGTAAAATAATGTAGGTAAGTATTTGAATTAACAAAAAGTAATTTTAATGTACGAGTAGAATGCAAAATACTTACTAAATAGTAATTATATAGAATATTGAGGCCTTGGAATAACTGCTGTGTCTAAACAGTATATTATTGCTTTCTTGTTATACCTACATATGACTATTTAGTCCACTAACAAAGAAACATTGTCTGCTTCAGTAAATGACGTCTACTAACAATATAATTCAACTGTGACCAAATAATATGTATACACGAATAGAAATTTTTAAAAATTTGATAGTGACGATTTTATCAAAATAACGTGTATAAAGTAAATAACTGAAGTACCACATACAAAAGGCAGGAAGAGAGGTCGGACACAGAGGAATGAAATGAAAATAGCAAAATGGAGTCGCGAAGTTCCGCTAAATATAGATGGGCGGGCGGAGTGCAGGCGCCGACATCGTCGCCACAGTGTTTGCGCGCGACCTCGCTTTGTTTGACGCGAGCTAGATTATTCATTATGAAAACCATTTTTAAATAGCTTATTTACTTCAAAGTATTAACATGTTTGCATTTCTTGACCCAGTCCGTGGTTGTCGTAATTGTAAAGTTTAAACAGTGAATTTTCTTTTGGAACCATAGCCTATTTACGACATGAGTAAATGCGCGAATTGAGGCTCAATGTCCTAGATTTGGATGTCACTTTTGCAGCCGCGCCTTTATTTTTCACTATGTAAGTGCTTTTGTTTGTTATTATAATTCATTTTTATTATTATTTAATAACGAAACTTATTTTTAAACCTAACATTTGTTAGTTGGGAAAATAAATAATCGTCCTTAGGTATTTTGACAATTTTGTTCTTTTTTATGATGACCATGTCAAGCGGTAATTTGTCACTACGTAGTTTGTTACTTCTCATCAAAGTTTTCGGTACTTGAAAAGTTTTTAATCGATCCAAAAACAAAACGGCAAAAAATATATCTAAATAGTACCTAATTTTGACACGTTTTCAGAGGTGATGAGCGGCGAGGCTGAAACGGAGGCACCACGCCCTCGTCCACTTTCTGGAGGACTTTGGACATTTCTTTCGTGGCTTCGCCGTGACGAACACAGCTCGTCTAGCGAGAGTTTATCTAGTGCTGGTTCTGACCGAACTGCCGCTAGTTTCGCATTTCTTGCACCAGCGCATTATTGTATTACTACATCACCCATTATTCTTCCACCATCTGGACCACCTACTGATTCTTATAAAAAAAGAGTACGCGAAATAAATAAAAGACGACAGAACGATCGAGATTTAACTTTACATCGTAAGTACGGACTTCACAGAGGTGAAGGTAATAGCAGTTACGACGCTTTCAGTTTACCACCACCACGTCGATTCGTTTTGAATAATAGTGAAACACAAGATCGAGACCGGAGAGCAACAAGTGAATTGTTGCAACGGCGTGCTGCTTATGTTCCCGGCAAGCGACGTGCACCAGCACCTCCAGTGCGTGCATCATCAGTTACCGTTTCATCATTGACGCGACGCCCAACACGAAAGCGTCCAGCGCCACAACCACCTACGAAATTGATAGAAAGGTCTAAACAAAATTGCAATAATAATATACAAATGAATTCACAAACTGTACATAATGAAAACACATTATCATGTGATAATTCGATGGATTGTAAATCGGAAAAATATATAAAGAAAGGTACAAATTCTAAAGAAAATAAAATAAAACAAGAAAAAGGCTTTTTGAAACAAATATTTGATAATAAAAAAAGAAATTCTGCGATAGATGTTTCTGCTATAAAAATACTACCAAATATCAGTGAACTAGACAAACAAGCTGCTGAAATAATAGAATCGTCTAAAAGAAATATTTTAAAAGGTAATAAGAATCTCGCCATTACCAGACTTATTAAGGATTATCACAATTCGGCTCCGAATATTTGGTTATGTAAAACATGTTCCAGACAGCATGATAAATCTGTAACTATTTGTCCACATTGTTTCTCGAAACAGAACAGCGAATTTAGTATTAACAAAAATAAAAATGATACAATTTATACTCAAACTGAAAATCAAATCGAACCAATAAATACAGCTTCGAATAGTCGATTAAGCGGAAGTGATGAAAAACAGAAACTAAGAGAAATGTTGAAAGAAATGAAGGATTCTCTTCCCAAAAGGCCTAAACATGATACTAATAATGAATTAAATAATACTAATATTTGTACCAAGAGTAACCTTCGAAAAACAGTAGATGAATCCTCCTTATCCAAAGGTAATGTCTTATTTATAGAAGCTCCCACACTTCGTATAGGATCCTCATTACTCGAACAAAATAATGCTTCTTATAAACCATTGAACCAAAGTTTATCGCGTCCCATAAATCAAAACGAAAAAAATAACGTGGAACAATCTGGTGCAAAATCACTAACTCCAGGTCAAATTGAAGTAACCGTTGCTAAAGCTTCTGCTTCTTCACACAGTGTTGCAATAGATAATGATAAAGACTCAAAAGTGAAAGGTCATCTTCACAACGTTAACGGTTATAGACCTGATAGCCTTAATACACCTTTACGAATTTCATCATTATTAAATCCAGTTTATATTCCAAAATGTAGCGATAATTCAAAGGAACAGTTACAAAAAAATATATTAGACGAAAATTGTTTACTCAACTCACATTTAAAAAATACACCGAAAATCAAGGAAAACGCAAAAACAGAAAATAGTGAAATATCGACTAATTTGTTGAGTTCTACAACATCATCAACATCAATTTCATCGAATGAAAAATCTATATCCAAAGATACGACTTCAAAAATTAATAGAATATCGATGAATCTACCAAGTTCAAATGCACCTTCTACCTCATCTTCTTCTAATCAGAAATTGGCGTCTAATTATGAAAAATCTGTTAAAAGCAAAGAAAAAAACTTTGTAAAAATAGATATTGCTAAAGAAAATAATACTCAAAATAAATTGCAAACCAAAATTAAGTCAATACAGGCAGAAGAGAAAGAGTTATCCGAAATGCAACTTAATGAAACTAGTTTTTCAAAAGACAATCCCGTTTTATTGAATAATGAAACGTCATCGACCTCTAATATAGACAAAATAAACCAGCACATTAGGCGAAGAGATTTAGTAAATCAACTTGAACAATCTATTGCTAAAGGCGATGAACATGCAGCAGCCCAGGCTGCTATAAAACTAGCTCAATTACGACTTTCGTGTTCAGTATTGTCTTTTACATCACAAATTCTTGGTGAAGCATCGACATCATTGGCTACAAATGTTGTGAGTGATACAAAAATAGATAATAAACCTTGCGAATTAAAGGTTAAAGCATCTACCACTCAACCTTTATCTAAATCAATAAACTCTGGAACCCAAACATCAGTATCTGCAGGATCAAAAGGAAATATAATTAATGTACAAAAGTCAATTAATAAAAATAATTATGAATTAATATCGCCAGAAAAAGATAAAGTTTCCTCACCTCTTGACAATAAATTTCATATACAATCCCAAAAAAATAATAATGAAGCATCAACTTCTAAGAAAGTTGGGACTGAACCGAGTGAGAAAGGTGGAGATAATATTGTCTCGTGAGTATTTTATATTTTAAACATTTTATGTGATATTTCATAATAATATAACTTGTTTATGTTTTATAAAAGACGGGAATTAACGCGATTTATCGATAGCTAAATGTAAATTATAATAATTTACTTGAATTATTTCGACGTTTCGACCAAGCTACACCAGCTGTGATCATGAGTAGACTGATGTAACACAGTCGTGTCTCCCCTTCCGAGGCAGAAGCTTTTTCTATCCACTCGCTACATCAGTCTACTCGTAACCAAGGTAGACCAGTGTAACTTCGTCAAAACGTCCAGATAATTTAGGTAAATTATCATAGTTTACCTAAGAGGATCGCATTTATTCTCATCTCATAAAAAACATCACAATTTTAATTTTGGCTTGATAAAATGTTTTCAAAAAACATTCACTGAAGTTATTTAAAATTTTTTTGGAGGAAATATAATACGATACCCATATCGCCCATCGTATTTATTAATCATTTAGGCGACGGTTGTTACTTTCCATTATCATCAAGTTCACTGCGATTTTCATTTCAGTATAATAAAATTTAGTTCGAATAGGTTTATCAATTTCAATTACACATTTCGGAGATACCTATAGATGGCGAGTGGATTAAATATCGAACGGTTTAATATATATTTTAATTTATCGATAATGGTAACATTGGTAACAAACTATATTAATAAGAATGGTGGAACACACTAGTTCAAGCCTTAAACGATAACGAGGCTTAAACTCTAGTATGCTCGGCGATCTATGGACTTGACCAAATGTCTCTAAGTGCCCCATCCCATACCTTAAATACTCTGATGGTGATAGACTTAAATAATCATATTAAGTAAGGACTCCGTTTAACATTATGTTTTTAAAAATTGTTAATAAATTTTATTTCAGAATATCAATATTGATCGAAGACAAAGAAACGGCTCGTGGTCCTGTACAGTTACGTATTAATCGAGAAGCTCGCTTGGGTCACTTACGACGCCACGTGGAAGTGTCACTAGGAATTGCCAGTCGGCTACAGCGTTGGATTATTGGTCGAACACTCTGCACGGAGGACGATACACTTCTCAACTCTCTGGCGGGTCCCAATCTTAATGCGCCATTTTATCTATACTTAGTTGAATATGGTAAGTAAATTTAAATATTACTTATCATTCCATACAGGCAAACGCAGTGTAGGACGACCTCCCCCCTAACAAGACGGAGCGGCGACCTTAAATGTTGAATCGAAATCAAAATGAATCGTTTCTTATGGCAGTCTATGAGGTTTTTTTAAGGGTGATAATGAAATAGCAACCCCGATTGCATTATATATACACTGGCGGGTCACCCGCATTGTTAACAATAGACCCCTGCAGGTCCTTCGTCACGATAGGTCAACTGACCTGCCTTATCATCTCATGCCTCATCTTCACTTATTGTTACTGATTGGCAATCCGCTAGTATATACCAATAAAGACAGAGTTACAATTCTATTTTCATCATTAAAAAGAAAAAAAACTACGCAACAAATTTTGACACGAATATCACTTACATATTTAGATACGTTTTATATGAATATTTTATATAAATATATTAATTATAATTCCCATAAAAGACCTATTAAACCTTTTCTAGCCGATACATTGGAACAGCAAGTTTGAATTTGTATCTAGTGTTAATATTATTAAGATTGCTGTTTTTAGGAAACATTTGAAGCTTCCTGCGTATATACAAAATGTTTGTATATATGCATTGTGAAGCTACTGTGAGAAAATTTGCTTCTTAAAATTTTTCTCTTAATGTTTCACGACTTCCCATAGAATAAATTGCGCGTCCCCAGTGCCATTCCATAAAATAATTACATACAGAAGATATACACGTAAAAAAGAAATCTACTCTTGGCCACATATACCAGTACCAACATATTAGGGGGAAATGGATTGTTAGTAATGGGGTCTAACAGTCCCATTGCTATTAATGTACCCTATCAGATCGACTTCCACGTGATTCCCCCTGGAAATCATCGTGGTTAATTCTCATGGAATCTTTCACATTTTTTTTTTCATTGGGCAACTGACCTGCTTTAATTCTCAGCTATCATCTCTCACTAGTGCCCCGCCAGCGTATACCGTTTAACAGTAGGTATTTAACTATTTAAATAACAGTCATTTGTAATCTCCATTACAATAGTTCCCCAGTATCTGATCAGAAATAATTGTTTTAGGAATCGAGACGAATACTGGTGCAGATCCTAGACGAGTAGCGCCACAAAACAGCGAAAGTGACGATAGTAAGAACAAGACCGGCAATGTGTACACAGAGTTGGTACAGTTAGAACGGCAAGCTCTTGTTCCAAATACAGAATCTTTTCAGTGCCAAATATGTATGGAAGAATGTTTGGCCGGTAGAGGAGCCGTGTTACGGGAATGTGTACATACATTCTGTCGGGATTGTTTAGCCGATCTAATACGGCATTGTGAAGAGCCTGCTGTTTCGTGTCCCGCTATGGGTTGCCCTGGAACTTTACATGAACGTGAAATCCGTGCCCTTGTACCGCTCGATGAATATGAGCGATGGTTGGCACGAGGATTAGCCGCAGCCGAAAGCAGAACACGGAACGCATTTCATTGCCGTACTCGTGATTGTACAGGTTGGGCTTTTTGTGAACCCGGTGTGAGGAAATTTCCTTGTCCAGTATGCAAGAGCAATAACTGTGTACCGTGTCAAGTAAGCATTTATCTTTATATTCACATTTAAATTTAAAACATTCCGCTGTAAAATTTAGCCGTTTCAAGATTATATTGTAATTCGACATTATTGCTACATAGGATATAAAAAAAATTAAGGTCTTAAATGTAAGAGTTTAAAACATCTCATATTTTTTTTTTAAGAATAATAGAAACCAAAACATTTATAAGAATTTTTGTCTGTTTCTATGTTATTCACGTAATATGTCATGAAAACTGCTACATCAAATTACTTGCGGTTTCAATAGTTGTGTTCCTGAAGATAGGTAATTTAGAAGTAATCTATTCCATTGTTTCAAAATTTATTCGTACAAAATCTAGTATTCATTACTTATATAGAAATTCCGTGTCACATGTGTGACCTACGTGTGTGCACCTAACGTGAGAAAATAGTGTTGTTTGCTTCAAATTAATAGATAATTTTTATAAGTGATGGTAAGAGGCAAAACATTATTGACCGGGTTAGCTAATTATACTAGGTAAATATATAGTCACCTATGTAAATGTGATTTAGTATTCGTGCTCTCTATCACGTCCTAAAATGTTGACTGAGAGACAATGTTCTTAACATGAAGTCCACCTTGTACATTTTTTTTTATTGTATCAATCGTTAACTGCCAACTGCTGAATATAGCCTCCCCTATAAGGAGAGGGGGCAGTATTTGCCATGCTTGGTAGGTAGGTTGGCAACCTCAGTTTGGCTTTTGGTGATGTTTTAAGAGGGACGCTGCTGCCCTATTGCATATACTATGTTGTATATTCATATTGTCTACTAATGATTTAAATGAAATGTACTAGTATCTTCATAAGTTACGTAAACAAAAATAATGTATTGAAATCAATCCTATTTACTTACAGGCTATACATGAGGGCGAAACGTGTGAGCAGTATCGCAATAAATTGCAACAAGCTGTAAATGGAAATGAATCAAGACAAACAGATGAAGGAACTCGGGCTTTACTAGATACCTTAATATCCCGTGGAGAAGCACTAGAATGTCCAGAGTGCAGTGCCATTATTACTAAGAAATGGGGATGCGATTGGGTAAAATGCTCTGCTTGCAAAACTGAGATTTGTTGGGTAACCCGTGGCCGCCGTTGGGGTCCCGGTGGTAAAGGAGATACCAGTGGTGGCTGCCGCTGCGGTATTGATGGCAAAAGATGCCATCCATCGTGTGGCTATTGTCATTAGTTATTTAATTATTTTGTAAACTTTATAGGCAATTGTTTAATGTGTTCATATTATATAATTTTATAATAAAATCTATGATAATAAACTTATTTATTTTCGTTCGAATCCGAATTGAGTAGGTATTAAAGTTAGAATACGATCTGTTTTGACAGATTACCTACTTAGAAGTTATGGGTCCTTTGCTAAATCGACTGAATTGACCGCCAAGCTAATTTTATAAAGTTGTATTTCTACAACTGAATCCAACTGAGAATTAAATCCAATATCTTTTTCTATAAATAAATCCTAATGCGTATTGGAGAAAAATTGCATTCATATAGATACACGTTTGGTAGAATCAGTCTCTCTTATTTCCATTAACTATATTCAGAAAGCTGCAATGTTGATTAAGAATATATAGATTTACGCCATAATATGGATGACATTTCGTTATCTCGGTATGGTAAAATATTATACTGGTCTACAATTAAAAAGTATTTGAAATAATTTTAACTAATTTCGGATTTTTTACCCATGCTGAATACAAGTTGACAAGTACCTAAGTCATTTATTAGTTTTTGCAATACTTGATATTTTACGAATTTGATGATTCTACCATCATTGAACTTAATAATGTTGATATTTACTTGGAATCAAATGTTAAAAATAATTTTAAGGCTTTGTTATGTTTTTTTTATGCAACTTAGAATGGCAAATTAGCTGACGGCCCACCTGATGGAAAGTGTTAATCGTCGCCTATAGACGTGAGCAGTACCATGGACATAATAGAGTGTACTGTTTCGCGCATGATACTCCTCATGTGTTGCCATTCCTGAGAACTGGTGTTATTCCTCTGTACCCTGTAAATTTATGTATTATGTATTAATGATACAAGTTTTAAAAGTGAAATAATAGATACATTCTATAGCAAAATAGTCTCGAAAATGTGTGAATAACCCCGTTAATTTTTATTACATTTGTGCTGAAGTCATATTTAGTACACAAAGATGTTATATAGTCTACAATAAAAAACTATTACTATTTTCACGATAAAATATAACATAGTACAATTAAAGCTGGGTTCCATATTTCTGCTGTAATCTGTGGGTTACAAGTTCAAAAATTGTCTAAATTGCAAAAAAGTATTCTTTCATTTTGCAGTAGCGAAAATCGACAAATCACGTAATTGTTACTTCTGCATGACAACTTATGTATTTGAAAAAGGTAAGCGTTTCTAAAAGAATGCCATAGTATATCCAAATCTACCAACGAACTATCCTATGCCGCACAGCATCTTCACCCAATTCCGAATCGTCTTAATATTGGTACCTAATTACGAAGATGAAATTACACTTACTTCACCATCAATTTCTTGAATGTCATATGTCTTTGAAAATCCACTATCTACATTTTCATTTAGACTTCTTTGCGCATAATTGCGGGGCTTACAACAATTCCATCGCAAACATGGAATACGGTATCATATAATGGTAAGTTGGTGGATTATTGTTGGACTATTTATCGAGATGTTACAGAAGCATCATACACGAGGGCAGCGAAAAAAAAATGTCGCATAATTCTGACAATGAATAGAAAAACTATATGCTTTCTATTAATTTTACAAAAGTCGCGTAATTTTATTTTCTAGATGGATACAACTTTTAATATATATATACATACATACATATCTGTCACGCCTGTCTCCCATTAGGGTAGGCAGAAACAATAGAACGCCAAATGCTTCGATTAATTAATTATTTCGCTTTTAATATATATTAATTATATATTCAGTATGTGGAAACTAATAAGATAAGATGTTTTACATGAAGTTTACTTTTTTACTCAAAATTTGTATAGTAGAAATAGTACAAAATTGTCATGAATGGAATGCGTTTCATCCAGAACGGAACTTTAACATACAGAATACACGCATTGTTTCTTACGTGATATTTTACCAGACTGATAACAAATCGTGATTAATATTATAGTGTAAGAATGGCCTTATATGACGCCTTCTAGTTTGAAACCAAATTTAACAGAGCTTGTACCACGGAATAACTGATAGTTTTTTTCTTTTTTTGTAAATACAAACATTCATATATAGAAAACACCCAGATTAATTAGATTAGATTGAAAGAAAAATAAGACACACAGTCAAATATTTATATTGTATTTTTTTATGGATGACAATGAAATAGTGAGCCCGTCTGCGCTATTGGTATACATTGGCTGGGCACCGGACTGGTATGAAGGCAGGTCAGTTGGCCCATCGTGATGAATTTAACAATTATTAACGACGATAGTTTCCAGGGGGAACCGCGTGGAGGTCGACCTAATAGGGTATATTCCTAACAAGGCGACAGTTTGACTCCATTACTATCAATCCATTTTCCCCCTAATATATATATATATATATATATATTTACACTATGTACTATGCATATGAAGATTGAAATTTATTTTAATACAAGCTCATAGAAGATAAACAAGCTGTCCAACATGAACAGTAACAACTCTTAACAGAATGCACATCCCATATTACCTTACATGATTCGCCATTCTGGAAGGATATTATTATGCTTTTATAAAATGAAATTCATTTATTTTACTAGAATGTACGTAATTTTAAGATGAAAGAGGTTTACATTTTTCATATAAATTCTGCCTCATTGTTTCCGTATCCTGCAATTTTACTGCCATGTGAAAGCACTTCACCTACTCTTCAAAACAAAACAGCTATTCAAATGCTTCATAGCAGTAACACAATCGGGATAAAAGGTACCCAAGCAGACGACTTTTGTACAAACTATGGTAAAAACAGCTGGTAAAGTACGAGTTGGACTCGCACAACGAGGGTTCTGTACAGAATCACCGAGTTTTTTTTTTTTGTAAAATAACTATGAATTAATAGTTCTCGAACTTTTTTTTTTTTACTTGTGCTAAATGACATTGCTTCTTGCCAAATTCCATGATTCTAGGTCAACGGGAAGTACCCGAAGAAGAAGTAGGTTTCATTCCCTTTGCTAATGTCAAAACATGCGATATACATGAACGTAAATGGACATATCTTTTAATTGCGTCGATTTAGAAGCTTAATTTTTTTACTGCTTTAAGAGATTACAGACCTGAGTATATGATATTAATTTCAACTTGATACCTTCACGCGTTCCTAAGAAAAAGGGTCTTGAGAGACAGACGAACAACAAAGTTATCCTATAAGGGTTCCATTTTTTCCTTTGGAGGTATGGAAACCTAAATAATTGAAAACATTGGGAATAATTCTGAAGCACCATATCTATTGTTATTCATTAAAAAAAAACCTCTCTGCTATTTCCAGTCTCTAAGAAAACTGGATCCTTTGAGTAGATTGTAACTAGAATGATATATTTACAGTAAAATCAAGTCATATTTAAGATTACGTTTATTATTACTATATGTGAAAAAATATGCAACATACAAATATTTGAATATCCAGTCTCTTCTGGAAGTATTGGAACATATAAAATGCTTTTTAAATTACAATTATAATACGAATTTCAGCTTTCTACATGATGGGCCCTATATACAATGTTAATTTAGCTACTGATTGAATAGTACTTAGTGGTAAGTAATCAAATTATGTAAAAATTATCACTGAATCACTTTCTAAATTAGTAACAAAACAAAATATTTCATCAATAATTTTTTTTTATTGTGCTGTTGGGCATGTCAGACATTGTTTTCAGATGTATTAGTTTTTTGGTTTTGAAACAGACTACACATAACACATAAAATTTTAACAATAATGAAGGGTTTAATGGTATAACTAATAGCAATTTGTTTATTTGCATATTGCAATGTGGAGATACATTCATGCCAATTTTGCAGTAAATACACATGCATAGATACTAATATTAACACATTCATTCAATCAGACATTTTTTTCACACTTTTTATACAATATCTAAAATAGTCCATTTTAGAAGGGTTTTTCTTTATAGAACTTAGAATGGCAAACAAGCTGACAGCCCACCTGATGGAAAGTGGCAACTGTCGTCTATAGACACAGACACCATGGAAATAACAGAGTATACCCTTTTGCCCATGATACCCCCCATGCGTTGCTATTCCTGAGGACTCAGGTGTTATTCCTCTATACCCAGTAAATTCACGCCTTATCCCACCCTTCAAACCAAAACACAGCCATGCAAATACAACTGCTTCACGGTTGAAACACAAATGGGACAGAGGTACCCAAGCAATCAACTTTTGTACAAAGTCTCCCTCTGCATAAAATGCACATTATTACTATTATTGTAATGTGCAACTGAGGTTGTCGTTTCTTGGTGACTTAATGCCTAAATCAATTATTATTTAGCATATACATAGTAATTAATTTGAATAAAAAAGGAGATACCTTGGCTTTTTTATCCTAATCAATATGTTCTGGACATGCAAAATGTCACAGGTAATACATTATATATAGTGATACTTTAATATACTTGACAGCTGGGAGTGCTTTCTACCAAATAATTGTCAAACACTCATCATATCATACTTACTTGACTTCATTTAGATCTTTAATTAGGGACAAATAATTTCAGGAAATCCCTGATGTCCTATTGACTTGCAGGACTTACATCTATCAAAACTCTTAAATTGACAAAGTCAAACAGCTTACAAAATATGTCACAGACTTTACTGAAAATAATCTTAAAACTATTCCACATTATGATAATTAAAACTCGAATTATTTGTTAAAATTAATAGCGACGCATTCCAGGCGGCCCTCGTCCTCCAGGCCCACCGCGACCCATACCTGGTGGAGCACCCATCATCCCTGGTGGTGGCCCACCCATCATAGGGCCTCCGCGCATTTGTGGTGGTGCTGACAACTGACCTCTTGATCCCGGAGCCATGTGTTGTTGAGATGGTCCACCAACACCTCTTGCAGGGCCTTGCAAGCCAGGTGGAGCGCCTCCAGGCCCAGATCCACGTCCAGCAGCTCTTCCGCCTCCAGGGCCACCCATGGCTCCAGGAAGTGGTACGCGAGGTAATCCTTCTTCTGGGGGTGGTGGCCCTTCAATAGTAAGAGAAACAATATTCTCTCCACGAAGTAGAACAAATCCAAGGGTCCGCTTTTCTTCCCTATCTGCAGTTTTACTATTTTTGGATTTAATTTTTCTAAATTCTTCGCAATCTCCTAATATCAAATTCATATGCTTGTCGAATGCTTTAAAAGTTCCAATAAAAGTACGAGAGTCTTGTAATATTACTCGTACTCTATAATTTATGTGTTGTTGCATTTTATTATTCTTTCCAATCGTCTGTAAATAACAACATATTATTAATACAATACAATGATAATTAGGTGAGAATTAGTAAAAAGATATATTCCAAAAATTTTCAAATATAGATTCACCGGTACCGGTAGAGTAAAACATTAAAATTATAATTTATTACACAATTTGTTGACCACATACTACAAAAGAAATATATACGTACCATTTTTGAAATAGGATTATTACTTATTATTTGGATAAAATTATAAAAATCACTTGAAGCGGGAATATGTCATATACACAAAACAAGACAGATGAAAAGCTCTAAACAAATATGGATGCTCTTAGTGTTGCCACCTCGGCATACAGTTAGAAAGTATGTTAGACAGACCAGAAAAAAAAAACAACGTACTATCCTTAGTCTATGTTGGTACTATCCTTATTCCTTATAACAGCAAACATCACGTCAAAAAATTTGCGAACGATTACTAATTGTCAATAAAATTCTTTTATGTATCAAGATTATTTAACTCTAAAGATTATAACTGAAGAAGAGGGAAAATATAGTTTTCAGTAATATACAAGGTTATTTGTAGTTTAGTGGCAAAATATAGAATTAATTTATTACAGTAATTTAGACACTAAATTGCTATGTAAAAACAACATCAACATTCACTACCTAATTGTTACATAAATATTCATTTTAATAGGGTCAATTCTGAGCCGCTATTTTTTAATCTTTAGATTATGAAGTGCATATATGTTAGAGCAAAATAGTCAATAGGACATTAAGTAGAACAAATATGGTCGATGCTGATTTGGTCCAAGTTTTTGGAATTCTTTGTTCTTAGAATTTGGAAGAGGTATGAACATAGATTTCAGAATAAAATAAATAGAACGCATCATCTATATAATATGTTGCTCGTTATATTTATAACATTGTTAATGCATTAGAGAGTGATAGACATATAAAAACACATCTGCCTTTTGAATAGTCCGTAAAAGTAAAATTATTCAAGTTATATCTAACTTGATTTTATCGGCCGTATAACCCTATCAAATTCGGATACAACCTGTTCGCATACTTTCTGCTTTTATTTAGTTATGTAAAATTTGTTATGGACATATTAAAGCTAAGTCTTTGCCTACTACGAATTGAGAAAAATGTTACTGATAGTATATTTCTCGTCTTCTTTTTGCTAATAATATTAGCATAAGAAGAAATAAGGTAATCAAATGATTTACTGTTTTTATTTAATCGTCTATGGTATTCCCAAAGGTTGTTCCTTGTTCTTAGGATATTACCCACAGATTTGTTATAAGTCTGTGGTATGAACCTAAAAACAAGGAATGTATGAACCAAAAATTTCGAATATGATTAGATATGAACCTTGTTGTATGAACAAAATAATTTTTGAGTGCATAGATATCTAAATGGCCGCTTATCTGTCATATGACAGATGTCAACTTTACTTACACCTTGAATCATGTGTTAAGATAGGTAGCAATTACTTGTTCTGTGTAGGATAAGGTTTAAGAACAAGGAAGTACGTAGAAGGAATGATAAAATAAAAACTGTAAACCATATGGTTGCCTCCTTTTTTCTTATGGAAATATAATTAGTAAAAAGAGGACGAAAGATACACCATCAGTTGCTATTCTTGTTAATTCATAGCAGACAAGTAGTGTAAAGAAAATGTTTGATATGTCAATTACTTGTCAATGACAAATTTTAGATTGCTAGATTATATATTCAACACAATTCATGTAGAAAATATGCAAGCAGGTTTTATCTGAATTTGGTGGGGTTATACGGCCGTATAACATTTTCTGTACACTAGCCTGCTATGAATTGTAAATTTTTTCACTTCTATGTAATTCCTGTTCTTAGTAGAATGCTACTTATACTCTTTGGTACTTATGTACTAACCACAAACATGAAATGCAATCATAAAAAACGAGACGAAAAAGGCATTACATTTGTGTTCGTTAGATCTAATCGTGAGCATGAAATAGTGCTTTACCATGCACATTCTATCGTTACTTAAATTACCGACACTGAAAGTTCATTTATTGCAATTGATATTAATAATAGTGTATTTTAATTGAATGAAAAATAAGGAGAAGGTTCTCAATTCAGTTATATTTTTTTATTCTGTTATCTCAAAACGACGTCATTTGTAAACCAATTTGGAAATTTCATTTTTATTTGAAAGGATATATAGTCCTATAAAATTTTTATTTAAAACGGTTTAATAATTTACTTTTTAATTTAAATTACTAGTTTTGTTACGATCAATGTATGAATACATTGTCATTCTTAAAAACTTATGTGTAATAGTTACATAATTTGTTATATTTTTAACCAGTAGAAGATTTTATTCAAAAGTTATCTTCTTGGGTAAATCTGTTTCATTGGTGTTTCTGCGTTAGGCAATTGTGTTTGCATGGCTGTATTTCGGTTTGAAGGATGGGATATGGCACGGCAGTGAAATTACAGGGTACAGAGGCATGACACTTTAGTCTTCGCATGAAAGGTATCTTGGGTGATAGAGTATACCCTGTTATACCCATAGTACTGGTCATATTCATAAGCGACGATTACAGGTAGGCCGTCAGCTTGTTTGTCATTCTAAGTTGCATAAAAAAAATATCTGTAAATTTCTCATAATGTTTCTTATGGTTTTTTTTTTTTTTCCATTTAAAGTCTATGTATATTATTTGTATATTATTATTTGTTTTAAAATTATACGGCGACCTTCGGCGGATCTTATTCAGACCATTTGTCTGTATTAGCTGTTTTACTTCTTGGTCAACCTACCCTTCCACCCTGTAATATTTTGTTTTTATGTCTATGATCAGTCTAATATTTTTTGTTAAAATTTTTATAACCAATTATTACAGCTGCATATGTAACGGCCTGTTGCTTTTGTCAATTTGTTGTATCGTTACCATCAATAAGATGCCACTGATATTTATTGGTAATCTCTAAGGAATTTGTGGATATTCATGTATTTGTTAATATTTGTTGTATATAAAAAAATATATATAATTATATTATACCAAAAAATTATTTAAAAAAAATTAATTTGTATATTTGATGCTTCAGATATTACTTAGTTTAAATGTGTTAATTTTCTCTGTCGATATATATTCGATATGTAAAATATATAGACAGAGCCAAGATTTTGTCAGCTAATTGTCAAATTTTTGCTTTGTTTGTTATTTGACTGATTGCTTACAAAATCAATATCTGAGGAACTGTATACAACTTGTACATTTCAAATATGGGTCCGATGTCAGAATTAATCTTTTTTTTTTTGTTATTTGATCATATGCATTTAAAATCAATATTTGAATATCTGTACATATTTTAAATATGGATTCGGTGTCAGAATTAATCGAAATGACCGGTACTTTTATTTTATTTATTATCCGATTGATTGTTTCTAAAATCGATATGTGAATATCAGTGAACACTTTAAATCCGCAGTCACAATTAATAAAAAATGCCACTTCAAATATGGATTTGATGTCAAAATTAATCAAAATGGCTGTTATTTTTATTTAAATTGAATTAAGAAATTAAACAATTTTTTTTTTATATTTAGTTAACTTAATTACAAGTAATTAACTCATATTTTCCATTTCCATACGTAGGTAATTCCAAAAGCTTGCATAAATTTAAAATGGATTCTATATAAATTTTTACTAAAATCAATACAAAGAATCTGAGATTGTAATTCTAAAATATTCGTATTCAAAGAAATCAGTTAAGTAAAAAGTATTTAAAATGTCCGTTACTTTTAGTGACATTAACTATTCATATTTATAATATACATGGACCCACAAATATCGTTTCTCATCCTTCAGTTCAAAATTTTACTATTTTTTAAAGCAATATGAAAGAATTATGAAGTACCATCTACTGCATTGTTATTCTCTATCTACGCATTATTCTTAATAAATAAATAAGTAATATAATTAAATATATAAATATAGTTAAATATTATTTAATCCTAATAATAGTTTAAGTTGTTGTAACTTACCTTCACCTATTTACCTTAGTCTAAAGTAATAATTTCTAATTTGGTAACACTGTCGCTGTATGAAATGTTGACCCATTTTTTTAAGCATTTGTATGGAAACACTCCATCTATATAATCTAAGATTTATATAAAAGATTGGTATGCGAATTCCCGTTAAAAAGTCACTTTTTAAAATATAAATATTTTTTGGCATATTATAGTATTTTTCGACCCGGCACAATATTTTCAATTATTGTTTAATGCGCCAAAGAGAATTTGCATTACTCATCTGTCAAAAAGGTTAGATTTAAAATTGTAATAGAGTAAAATAAAGGAACTAAACATAGATACTTGTTTTATTCTCCATGTTCTTCATAAAAACATTATGATGCAGCTTTTTTTTATGGCAACTGTCGATATCGATATATTAGATGGTGGCATATATAGATAGCAGTACAACACTACGGATATAAATTTTTTTGTATTGTTATTTCAGAAAGGTAACATGCGTTTTAAATTTTTTCCAGCTTTCATTGATATAAAACCGGTGTCCAATCTTATATCGTAGTGATTACTTGCTCTGTTTTTGAGTACTTCATAATATACATATTATTAATTTTTTTGGTAATAAAATTTTTTACACTTTTTTTTATACCTATACAAAGGTTTTCCTTACCCCTACCCTCCAGTAATATAGGTATCTAAATATCTACGTATGTCCTAATATTGATGGAATAGGTCTAAATTTGTATTGTTTTTCGATTTATTTTATTATAAGTACCTACCTTATATCAAAGATATACTTATATAAAAAATAAGAAGTAGTTATATCTATACCTATCTTAGACAGGTTGTGATAATTTCTTTTTCAGTATAATTTCGATATGTAAATATTAATTTCACTTGAACCTAGCTCATGTTGTGAAAAGTTTCCTAAAGAGTCAACAATCCTCTCACAGGCCCAGCAGATTGATTAACTGATATGATTAATTTATACCTAGGTTTCTACCTCAGTAATTGTAGACATCTATTGTCATCATCATCATTTCAGCCATTATCCGTCCACTGCTGGACATAAGCCTCCCCCATAAACTGCCATAAAGAACGGTCCTGAGCCACCTGCGTCCACTGACTCCCTGCAAAGCATTTCAGGTCATCATTCCATCTAATGGGGGGTCATCTTACACTGCGTTTATCCGTACGTGGTCGTTACTCAAGAACCTTTCTTCCCCATCGGTTGTCGGTTCTTCGAGCTATGTGACCAGCCCATTGCCACTTCACCTTATTTATCCTTCGGGCTATTTCGTTTATTTTGGTTCTTTTGCGAATATCCTCATTTCGGATTCAATTACGC